AGTCCCATTTGAAGTTGGAAAGGAAGACCAATAACGTCGTGAAAACGTTACGAAGTAGTGCGGAATATTACATGTTTTTCATTTGTGTCCAGTGCAATAGTAAGGTGACAGTGAATTAAAATGTTTATTTACCTGAAAGAAAATTCTGTGAAAGGTGATAGTGACTGTGTGGTTGAATGGGTTCAATGATCTCGTCTGGAGATCAGCTGTTCTTCATGATTTGTTCCCTCCTCGAATGTTCAAGATCGACACAGTGACCCAGTGAAAATTATCTGTTTTCAGCATAGCAGGTTAATTTAGGAACGGATGGGTAAGTTTCATTTAAATTGTTTTTAAATTTTTATTAATTATTCCATTTCAAACATTTTTATTTGTTGTTTAGAATGTTTAGAATTTCCTTTTTTACATAATGATAGACGACAAGAGATTAGATTCCGTATTCATTTTAAACAACAACTAAAAATGTTTAATCAGTTCAATTTTTTTATTGTGCTATGCCAATGGGGTGCCGAGCCATTCGTTCGCGACCTACGTCAAGCCCCGCTTTCGTAGCCGACGCTGCCGTCTCTGAGCCCGCGCGCTATACGCGCTCGGATTGGTCAGTATTTTTGCTTAATAATTCAAAAAGGAAGCTTCAAACTACTTTTTCGCAAAGGAAAAAGTTGTTTAGAATCACCCCACCTACCACCACCTCAGAGGGTGAAAATACGTTACGGGACCCCCTGTATACCCCCGCAACCGGCAATGTATGTACGGTAACCGACGACGCCGCACAGTGGGACAAAACGGCTTTCGGCGATCAAAAGTCGATTTTCGTGAATTCGAAAATTGAAAAACTAATTACATACATCGATAGAGAATAAACTGTAGTTTAACGTAGTGTAATCCGTTTTTTCATATTTCTTTCCGTTTTGCCGTGGTTCGCACTCAAAGTTAGTAGAAATTCGTCAAGACGAAACGCTGATAATATTACCCATAACTTCAATGTACGATTCTAATAAATTTTACTCGGAAAGATAAAATTCAAATGAATTACAAAGTTTACTAGATTAGTATAGATTCTATTTAGTGCATAAAATAAGTTAAAATGTTAACAACTTTTTAAATAATAGGATCTGATTGAAACGAAATACATTTAACTAAAATCTTAACTTTGCGTTTGATTTTAAAAAAATGTGCACACTTGTGCAGGGTGTGATTATTAATGTAGTAAAGAGTGAACCTTCCTCTATCAGAATCGGAAAAAAACGGCTGCCCCAACCTGCCACTGCTCAAAAAAATGGCGATTGAAATAAATTACACCCATCTTGGCCGCAGCGCACGATGATGGAAAAGCAGTACCAGATACGATTATTATCCAGTTAACTGCATTCGACGCGTATATTCGTTACCCAAAACTTTATTTCGGCCTTGCAATATGCCATAATAAATTTTCATAATTGTCGAAACTATTTTCACGAATGATTTGGTATAGATCATAATAAATATAAATAAATATATTATAATAACACATGTCTTGTCATTTTGTAATTATTAAATCCGTTTTTATTATAGTTATTAACAGTTTTGAGTCAAATTTTTGTTAAATGACATAAAATATGTCTAACAAGTGAAGGATATTGAACGCGTTATACTTTATATGTTAATATTTTGACACCCTGTAGTTCAATATGATTCATATTGATACAACTTATGTACCATAATGTAGGCAAAAACTTCCCAAAATTTCATTCAAATATTTCCAATAGAACCGAAGTTACAGAATTTTGATCGCCGAAAGCCGTTTTGTCCCACTGTGCGCCGTATCAATACTATTAAATTAAAAATTTTATTACAATACATTTCTTTTCTTTTCGACACCTGTTACTGATTATATTATTATTATTATATATACCCTAAACTTAGAACTAGAGTTCGTCATTTATTAAAAAAATAATTTCCAATGAACTAAAGAGGGTTATTAAGTTACCTCCTTTAAAATATTTTACGTCTTAAAAAGTATCTCCGAAAGGTTTGTAAAACGAACTTAACTCGAATCACCGAAGAAATAATAATAGCATCAACCAGATAAAATATCATCTCATGTCTCATGATACAGTTCAGCACCGAACCTCGTCGTTGGTAAACTCACTGATTCTGGTTCTGTTTCTTACTGCGGCCGCAATATTTTCTAGAGGACATAAGAAAACGTCGAACTTTTTCGCAGCCGCGAACTCCCATAAGGATGGCAGTCTTTAACAGTATGTACTTCAGTTGTTTCATCTAACACAAGTGTGTTTGTCCCACGTGTCCGTGTGCGCTGTCCACAGTGACTACAGGTAGTAGAAGACTGGACAGGTCCTTGTTACTTTAGGGTGGTCATTTTTGGGGGATGCGGTACCACCGACGAGATACAGAATTAATTGAAGTAATTTAATCGATCAAGTTCCTTAATCAATAAATATTGGATTTATAGATAATTTTTATTAATATTATTGAATATATTTTCTTTTTCATCTTCACACAAGAAAAGAGCATGTAGTTTATGTTTTCAACCATTTATTTTTTCATTTTTCTTTGTATTACTATAATGATAAACAAAACCGCTTGTTCTCTAATCGCAGATTTAAACACGAGAAATAATTCTACAACTTCGCAATAAAAAAGATTAGATACTGATTACTTATAAAAAACGATTTTTCTTTTACAATTTCCGTCAATTTTGAGCAACAATTTTCAATCGTGTCGGAAAATGACAAATTCATTTTCGAAATATGTTTTGAAATTGTACAAAATTATTGTTCACTTCTCAGCAAATATTCAGTGTAAAGAACAACGTGCACGTTACCCAGTCTCTGTTGCGTATTTCTTGTTGCTGTCTGTTAAAAATATAACTTCTATTTTTTTTTGCAATTTTGAAAACGAAATTCTGAAGAGAAAATTTCTAATATCATTGTATTTTATAGAATGATAAACTAAAATTTGTTAACATTTCATATGAACAATTTTATAAAAATTTAATTTGATAGAACATCCTGTATTGTGTTCTATTAATCCACGTAACCCCAAATTTGATTACTAATGTTCTGTTAAATTATTTTCCTTTTTCATCAGTACATTAAAAAAAAAAATTGAATTTCCTTCTCCTGAATTTTTTTTTACAAAAGTATCCTTCAGTTTTTTTTCCCCTTGCGATGTTTCGCAAGGTAATCTGTCATTTGTACCCTCCTTAACAAAGTGTTATACTAAATAATGCTCTGATCGTATAGTACTCACTATTGCGGTGAAGATAAATAATTTACAATGAGATTCAGAGATAAACTCGCACTGTTCATCAAAAAATGTTGAACAGAGAGCTCGACAATTTACAGTCTATAAAAATAATGTATCTACCTATTTCAGAGATTCTCTTCTTTGTGCCCGTTGCTTTTGTCTAGAAAGTTCTACTTGTGTACTCCGGTATTCGTAAGTAAGCAACGATAACGAGGCTAATACTGTTCGCTGAAAAATCGTTTTACAACGATTACTCCTTGACGTTTTACATATACACGCAATTATTCATACATTATTCAGTTGACAATTATTCGTTACGCAGATATCTTTTTATATGTGTACATTTGAATTTGTGCGAGGCAGTAACGAATCCAGAATGGGGCGATCCCCCTACCAAAAGTTATGAAATTGAAATTGTTTTGTTTCTTTATAATTTATGTAAACTTGATTATATCGGTTACTATTGATAATACAAATATCAGTAAACAAATAATAAATAAATTTCTGATAGACTGAAAAGAGATTCATTGTTTTATATATTTTGTCCCTCTAGATCCACTCCTGACTTCAGGTCTGGACGCAAAAAATTTGAAAATTTTACATTCGAACTTACGAATAAATTTATAGTGTTTCTAATAATTGAAAACACTTGAAATTTTTATGAAATATCATCGAAAAATTTGATGAAAAATACTAGATGATCATTTCGATTATCTCGAAGGTTCATACATATTAATTTGTTTTTTAAACAGCAAAATTGAAAATTTATTTTACTTGGATTTGTTTAAATCATTGTTTCGCACATGTTCAATTTTAAGCCATGATTAATCGCTTTTAGAATACAATACCTATATTTAATATTATTTATTGCGCATATTGCCCGTTGAAATTAGTTAATAAAAAAAATTGTTCTTTTTTTTTTAATTAACACGTTATCGGCTTGGTACTACGAGTAATTTGTTTCCTGTACACGGAAAAATAAGAATTAAGTTTCCTTTTATTAATAACACTTCTTTAAATTTAATTTCACAAAATGTTTCAATTATAGACAGCTTCAAAATACTTCTTCCCTTTTTATCACAGATAACAAACTTTTATTTGGTGTAATGAATTAAAATGTTTTTTAACAAATAGTATTTGAATGAATGAAATTTTTCATAACAGGAAGAATTAAATTTAATTTCTAATCATACAAAGTAAAAGTTGAATAGCAAAGAAACATGGGTAACAAAGTGAACTAATTTTTTGTTTAATCTATGTAATACATCATGAAAAATTTTGTTCAGTCATTTTTTATAAAACATATTTTTAATATCGTTTGAATTATAATTCATTATTTTGAACACTGTACTCTATTTCGCATTGTACTTTAATAAAATTAGGGAACGTTTCGCTTATGATTAGAATGTAATCGAATAAAAATACAACTTTTAATAGTATCAAAAGAACTTTCATCTCTACATTATCAATATAAAGCTTTTTACTGTTAAATATATATGTATGTTCTATTAAACAGTGTTTTGAACATGACGAATGTTGAAATATATAATATATACAAAACTATATGTACATTCTTTATATTATACACATCATACTATTTAATCATCATTTATATCTTTGTAACAGTATGTGCATGAATCAATTTGTCAAATTGATATAATAAATAAACAAAAGGTAGTCCTCAATTTACAATATACAATATCAGACAGAACTAGATGTTAGAGGAAATTTAATATCAAACAAATAAAATTCTGTCTTCTCTAACAAGTAACAAAGATATAATTGATGAGTCCAAGTTTATACATGTCAATAACCTGTACATGCACATCACCGTGTTATATGTGGATATTTTACAGTATGACGTACATATATATTTGATAAAGAATATAAATTTTTTTTACAATCTATTCTACAAACTGACTTTACATAATGTTTACAACTTTGAAATATAATCCTGTATATCTAAGAAGAAAATAAAACAAAACGGAGATACACCGATGTAGTCTGTAATTCAGTGTTTCCAAGAACACGTTGTTGATACTTGTACATAGTAGTAACGCAATCTGAGCGTTTCACACTCGGATTCTCAAAGCACGCGTTTAGTTTTATCAATTCTGGATGGAATGCTTTTGTTAGTCTTATAATTACATAAATTCCCTCTTATGAAAACCATACAAGGCAAGATCTAAATGTGACGTTTAAATGCCTTAAAACTCACGGAAAGTGATAGCGCAATGAGATTCATTAATACTGGACATCAAACTGTTAACAATACTTTTTCAATGTGCTGTTATGGAACATCGTAACAAGGTACCAAGAGAAACTTACTTTTGCGTTAACAGGTTAAGTTATCAGATTTTAAGTTATGTAAATGCATAAAGGTCAGAGAACAAAGGAAGAGATTCATTTTGTTAAAACATGACACGTTACTTGCCACAACTTTACAAAGCTGTGCTCTCAATCGGTGAGGCTGCTCTATTAGGTGTACAACATCTTTCAGGAGTATGACACAAATCAGGTGTATGCCTGCCGTCTCTTATATATTCTAAGTCTGTAAAAAAATCACTCTTCATTGTGCCCACTGCGCTGTCTGAACCAAAACTATCCTGTCTACATAAATCCAAATTCTTGTAACATCCACTGTACTCCGTTAAAGAATTAGGCAATTTATTATCGTACATGGCCTTTGTATCAATTACTGCCTCCTTTGAATCATTGGACTCTTGAATGAAAGTGGTACAGTCATTTTTGTCATCGACATTAGTTTCATGCAGTGCATTACACGTAAGGGAATCATCGTTCTTAGAAAGACTCGAATTGGAACGAAGGTTATCAGTATAATGAAGAACAGCATTTCTTCTATGACTGTCCTCTCTATAGAGATCGTCTTTTTGCAATGTATTAAAAGGCGAATAATCTTTGTACATTGCATCTTTGTGTTTCGTTGTACAGTCCAATACTGTGAGGCTTCCTTGCCTGGATAAAATACTGCCGATATCTGAAACGTTACTCTCCTGCCTCGTTACCATATCGTTTCCAGCTTTACTTTCAATGATTTCTTCCGTATTAACAGCTAATTTTGATTGCAATGAAGTACCAGCTTCAGATGACTGAGAAGTTTTTTGTGGAGAGAATGCGTTCTTTGATGTTTCTTTTGTGGGAGAAATCTTTGTTCTTCTCAAATAAGAACCTGTAGACGGTTTGGAGTTTTCCACACATGTCTTCTTTGAATCGCTATCATTCTGATCATTAGTCTTGCTGCTCTCTTTCTCTATAACATTTATGGATTTTCCAATTTGCCTAAGATAAGAGCTAACTGAGTTTGCATCCAACATTTTAAATTTGTTTTCCAGTTTTGTTCTTGAATGACCACTGTTAACTGAATTATGATCATTGGACTTTTCTGGTGAACTATTATTCACTCTGTATGAGGATTTGCTAACGATGATATATTCAGGTGTATCTGATAAAGAACAAGGACTTCCTTTGCCCACATATCTTATTTTTTCGATAGTCGGTATTCGTTTCAAATTATATTCTGTTTCATCGTTTCGTTTCACGTATGAGTCTTGTTTGTCGCTTGAAAAGTGAGGAGATGATTCATTTGACTTGGTATTATGCCTCGGGAAACAGCCTGTAAACCCACTGGATCCCGGAGAAATAACTATATCTGGCTTTTCAATCGGTGTTTCTTTGGACCTTGAGTTCTGTCTCGAATAACGACCAGTATTTCCAAAGGATTCACTAGTTTTACTGTTCTGTCTCGTGTACCTTCCACGAGTACTTATCACATCAGGTACCTGAAGCGTAATGCTCTGCACGGTTTCCTCGCGTTCTAGCGTACTATCGTCGCAACCACTACACCGTTTCTTTTCCTGATGCACCTGGCCTTCCTTAATAGGCTTTAACTGTGACGCAAGTGTCTCCGGAGTCGTTGATTCGCTTGTACTCGTGCTCGGTCCAGTATAATTTCTAATATCAATCTCCAAATCTGATGGCAAATCCATGCCCATTGATAAATGCATCGCCAGCCCCTCTAACCAAACATGCATCACCTCGAATGGCGGCCTTTTATCAGGATTCAAATCGCAGCAAAGAAAAGCGATCATGTAGAACATCTCTGGACAGTTGGCACAGAATTTTTCTTTAAACACGTTCTGATTCAGACCAAAGTCCGAAGAGCGCGGCAAGTAATCGGGATCCGCTTGTACACGACCAATGATTTCACAAACGACGATACCAAAGCTGAATATATCAACCTTTTCGTCGTACTTGTTACCCTTCATCATTTCAGGAGCCATCCAATAAGGATTCCCTACCACTGTGTACCTTTTCTTTCGTTCTTTCTTCGACGTTTTCGCCTCCCCGTCGGAATGTCTGTTGTATTTACGATTATCGGGGGAATTGCCGTTTTGTATTATTCTGGCTAAGCCAAAATCGGCCACGACCACAGTCTTATCTTCCCGAACGAGACAATTGTGCGAATTTAAGTCTCGGTGTATAATGTTCATGGAATGTAGATAAGCCATACCGGCGGCAATATCTTTAGCGAACGACATTCGCTGTTCCCATGGTAAGGTTTCGTTGATGTCGTGTAGCAGAGCCCTTAGAGTTCCTCCTGCTATATACTCCGTAACCAGGTGAAGCTTTTTGTCTTTGTAGAGAACACCGATAAATCGGAGAACATTGTTGTGATGTAACGAACGTAATACAGCAACCTATTGAAATGAAATGAAACAAAGATAAAATAACCTAATGTACCGAAGTATGTACATATATTGATTAAGGACGGCATGCAAAATCATTAAGTGATCATAAAATCATGATCATAGCCGTGATTGAACTATATTCACGACCATAATCGTGATTTCTTTTATTTTGATTAATTCGGTTGATTAATTCTATAATATAAATTTAAAATTTAATTTCCTTTAAAAATATCTTAGACCATAAAGTGTTACAAACTATTATCTCGAAAAATATAGCAGCTATCGACCTAATTCTTTTTTTTTAATTAAATGGTACAAAGTGCTTGATTGTGTGGTACATACAACATTTTTCTTAAATGGCTACCACGGAGTTAGAATAAACTTACGTCGTCTTTTTTAAATGAGATGCTATACTAATTTCTTTTTATTTAAAGAGCTTTTATCAAACTCGATAACATTTACTTAAATCATTGTTTGATATTCTTCATAGTTAACGACTTATGACGAAGGGAATATTAAAGGAGCGAATATGCAGAGACCTCGAAGGTGTCGTAATATATAATATTATATTATAAGAGTCATAATATTAAAAAAGAAGAAATACATGTTAACAAATAAATGGTCATTTTCAATATTTAATAAAATGAATTTAAATACAAAATACGTCTGTTTCATTCTCCTTGGATGCCTCCATGTATTTGTTTCTTAAATATTCCCTTCAGTATAAATCGTTAACTACTATGAAGAATATCAAAAAATGGTTCGAGCAAATACTATCCAGTTTGATAAAAGTTATTTAAATAAAAAAAGGTCAGTATATTATTCCATTTAAGAAAGACGACGTCAGTTTATTCTGACTTTATGATAGCTATTTTAAAAAATTTTGTTATACATCACGCAATCAGGCACCTTATACCGTTTAATTTAAAAAAGAACTTTATCTGACTCACCCTGTACATAGTCTAAAAGTGTAACGCGTGAAAAGAACAGTTATGCTCTCAGAAACGATCATAAAGAACCACGATTAGTGTGAAAAATCACCGTGACTAGAAACGAACATGATCGAGTCACAAGTAATTTATAAATAGCAGTCCACGCCATCTCTAGTATTGATACATAAACCACGATTTAAATACAAAACTCACCTCCTTCAAAAAATTCTTTTGAGCTTCTTCATCCACTCTGTATAATTCTTTTAGCACCATGATCTCGTTAGTATCCCTATGTGTAACTTTGAAAACCTGGCCGAAAAATCCTGTACCTAAAAGCTCACCCTTCACTAAATCACTGGCACGGAATATTCTTTGATTCTTTGGTTCTACACGAAAGGATCTAGTTCTGCTTAAATCGCATGTAGCATTTGTTGGCGAAGATCTGGAATATTTAAAAAAAAAAAATTAAATTTCAAATTATATGATTAAATATTAAAAATAACACTATTACAATTACCCATCAAGTAACCGCGACATGGAACTACTACGTTCTTTATGCATAGGATCTCTCGTCCTCCGCAACTGTCTGCTTCGTGTTCCACTAATATAACCCTCATCGCGACGTTTAAATAAACGCTCTTTATTTTCGGGACTCGTTCTTGGATTTGCGATCGACGTCAACATTGCCGCAGATGGCGAGGAAAACGTTGGTTGTCGTGATACCGCATCTGGATCGTGTTCGATGGTCAACTGAAAAATTCAATACATTTGTTGCTGTGTTCGTTATAATTAACGATAGTCGGTGTATTTCATCCTTTACAGTAGGGATTTGTAGATCTTTTCGTAACACTAAAACTGCCAAACTAGTCAAAATGATTGGCTTCAAATTTGTTATTATAAATGTACATAATTAATTATGTTTCATCGTTTATCTATTTAATTCTTTATACATTATTTTCAACTTAAAAATAAGTGTGCATCAAACATTGGTAGTTCTAGTGTTAATAATATGTGACATTTGTGAATTTATATATGATACATAAAAGAAAATTACCTGTAGAACTGTATCTGAATATTGGATAAGATTTTCAATGTTTTCTATAGGCTGATCTTTTACTGGAGTACCATTCACCTCAAGTATTCGGTCACCAATATGTAGAGATATGAGATCGCTGGATATATTCAGTCTGAAACATATTTTACATGATATTTCTAATGTTTATAAACATTGTTTGTGACAAAACATGCAAAACTTTGCGTGCATTCAATACTATCATGACAAGATAAAAATTAGGAGCAAAACTAAAGAGTAGAACTAATATTGCATATTTATTTTTAACCTTGAATATTTGATAAACCATTAAATACATATAAAATATAAAAGATACAAAATGCAGCTTTGTTCAAGAATAGAGTAGAAACACAGTGACATAAAAGTACACATAAAAACATTAAACTTAAAATAAATGTTGTTTTTAATATATGTAGTTCTTAAAATGAAATGAAATTAACACAATATATTGTTATTATTCTAAAATATATAAACTGTCATGTCATTGTAAACATTACATACTTACAAACATGTAACACATATTAATGAACAGATAATATTAACTATTTTGCACAAGATACATTTTTTGCGTGCAAGTAATAGCAAATAATAAAAGAACACACATCTAATTTGTAAAAATATCTAGTGCATATTATTTATTTATTATGCTGTACCTATGATTAGAGAAGTGGCAGCATAGCCTAAATAGAACCTCCATCACAGAGGCCAGCAGCTTACTGATCTTTCCACGAACATTTCTCATTAACCTGTATTTTAGTTCAAAGTTATTAGAGGCCGTGCATCTATATTGATTCTTAATTAACCATACTCATGCACAGTTAAATATTATAGAAAAGCTCCATTAAATATAATTTTGTAATTAATGACAGTTCAGATTTGTTTAAACATCAATATTTTTTTAGTTTTATTTAATATCTTTCACTAAAATAAAATATTTAAATTAATATAAGTCTATGTATTACTTTTTTGTTTTGCACGTTTTTTTAAAGTGTCATACAAAATTAACTCCATTCATTTTCGTCATTTCTTTTGTCCAACAAAAATAAAAACACTATTAAAATGTGTAATAATTGAAATATATTGTAAAGATTTTTTTATACATACTCGGATATACGAAGCAAAGCACCACAATTTCTAGGACTAGGTGTTGTGTCTAATGTCAACTTGATTCCCCTCTGTTTTTCTGGATCAGAACCGCTCGGAGGTATTTCTACTAATCTGATACTATGAGGCTTTCTAGTAAATGGATAATTAGCTGTCCTATTAATTGGCTGCATCTGTCTTTTGTAACAACATCCACAATACAGCTTAGATCTTTCAACAAGAGCATAACTTTCTCCATCTCCAATGAAAGCACCACAAGAATTGCAGGCAAAACATTCTGGGTGAAATTTGTGATCTCCCGCCAGCATGACAGGACCTGTGATAATTTGACCGCATCCCTGACAAGCTTCTCCATAAGCAGCCCAATAATCATCCTTACAAAAGAGTAAGCCATCTTTTTCAAAATACCACGAGGACAAACCAATATCACATGCTGAACACCTGAAACATATAATTTCTTATGTATTTTGATAATACAAATAAATACAACTATTTATCAATCTATAAATTAACAATTCAATTTATAATAATAATATTTTATCATTTTTACCGAAAACAATCTATATGCCACTCTTGATTTAGTGCCTGTATAAATTCATCTTCATCAATTGCGTTGAGACATCCAGCACATATTAGTGTCCCTCCACTTTCCCCACTTCTCAAGTCTAGATGTTAAAAAAAAAAATAATAATATAGTTTAATTTAAAAAACAAACCACATCTATTTACAAATTCCTTCTATTTTTTGTTCATTTGGATCTTTTTTATACGCGCCGCTCGTTTAATGCTAAGTATTTACATACATATGGGTACATGCTTTTTTACGTGACATTCGCAGAACGTTAGCTGTAACAAAGTTATCTTTATGAAGCATTAAATTTCGAATATTTTGACTTATCGAAGTTACGAAAACAAATACGGCGCGGTTATAGAGAAAGCAAAGCGCGTCAGGGATGTATGTACATACAGTAGGAAGGAAATGTGATTCACGGTTGACATTAGGAAAGCGTTGGGAAAGTAGTTATCAACCAGTTAACAATAACTCGGATTGTTCTAAGGTGATCGGAATTTGTCAATTCAAAAAATGCATCACTGAAATCACAAGAAATTACCTGAAACATAGTACCCATACGAATTTATAGTTAAAAAAGCAAAATCCTAAACAACGCGTAAATAAAATCCTGTGAAAAGCGTGGGCCAGAAGACTTGGAAGACAAGACGCCCACGCGATTCACAGCGTATCAAGCGCACACAGAAATCATCGATCAATTTACATGTCGCGTGCAATGTTCGAAATATCATACATTCCATACTATAAACCTTAACGATTTTAATAAAAATAACACTTTACTTTGTCGAAAAAGACATACCATTTGATGAAACTTCATCCATCACAGCATCTAGGACTGACACACTCCTACTCCGTGCTTTGACCTCTGAATATATAGCCACTAGATTCAAAATCCATTCGCGAAACTTAAACAGATCTCAAGTTTCCTTTTCTACTGTAAGAGGGCGCAACAATTCGGGGAACGATTACGATTTCCGCGGCCCCCCGTTTTGAGGTTATGGTTGTGTTCTTGGGACCATTTTAAGATAAAAATGTGTATATCATAGGTACCAAATCGGCCTGGTTTAGCCAGTAACGTAGATTTCCTGTTTTTTTGTAAATCTGCAAATATCTCGGAAATTATGCGAAATATGGCAAAATGTCAAGACTTTTTTTGTAAAAAATTAAATTTCCAACTATTTATGTCCTGTAACATTTTTTCATCAGCTGCATAGTTTTCGAGATATATCAAATTTCTCTAAAAATATGTCATTAGTCCATTAGTTTCCTAAACCTAACCCTAACTCTAACTTCCCCCTGCACCCCCGTCCATAATAATACAACCTAACCTAACCTATTTTGTTTTTGAAGTACGTCGGTAATGTAGGAAATCGCAAAAAAAATATATGTATTTGCAAAATTTCAACCAAATCGGATTTGACAGGTGTTCGGAAACTATGATGGAATAATTACATATTGACATATTTTTAAAGAAATTTTATATATCTCGAAAACTACGCAGCTGATGAAAAAATGTTACAGGACATAAATAGTTAGAAATTTAATTTTTTACAAAAAAAGTCTCTTGATATTTTGCCATATTTCGCATAGTTTCCGAGATATTTGCAGATTTATAAAAAACAGGAAATCTACTTTACTGGCTAAACCAGGCCGATTTGGTGCCTATAACATATACATTTTTGTCTTAAAATAGTCCCAAGAACACAACCATAACCTCAAAACGAGGGGCCACGGAAATCATAATCTGCCCCAATTCGGTGGCTCCACCAGCACCATCTATCGCGTTTGCTCGATTCTTGGCGTCAAATAAAATTTTGAATTGCAAACATGGAGTTTGTCCCGCGACCGTTATGAATACTGTAGTGTATAAACGAAACGTCTGTTCATAAATGTACTTTTATAATGGACAACCATAAAAAAAGTTATTCAGTTTATTACAAGTAGAGTCTTGATTGTCGTAGTATTTGTTCAACGGGAATTGTAAACCCAGGAATTTTTAAAGTTTAAGAGTCATAAAGTGTGCACGCGAAGCGTTCGATGTGCTCTCAATCAAATTGCATCGAATTCATTTTGATTATTAGCTTTGATTCTTCCAGTTAATCTAGTCAATGATATGGTCGTGATGAGTATCATAAGATAACAAATTCTTTGGTTAAATCTCTCAGTAGTCTAAAGAAAATACAGGATAAAAAAATATTGAAGGAAGTGACAAATGAGGAATAAAGAGAATGGATTTTGAAGATAAAGAAAAAGAATTTGAGGAGCGTTATAAAAGGATCTGTGGAAAGAACAGGCTGTCTTCTAAATATGAGTCTCAAAAAGAAGAAAAAACAGATAAGGGAAAGACTTGCTCGAAAGAGAAGGAAGAAATGGAAAAGGAATTAAATGCCACAAAATGTGATTTAGCTAGCCTTCAAAGGAGTCTGGGTAAAATACAAAATACAAAAGTACCAATGGTATTATTTGCTTTTTACTAAGGTTTTATGTATTTTGTAATTTATAGGCGGCGATAGAAATATTCACACATCACAGTTTAACGATGCCGCCAAAGATGTTCCAAAAGAATGTTCCTCTTTCTTTGAGTTTAAATTTCAGAAGCGTAATTCTGCACAATTTGAGAAGTATTCCAAAGAAAAAAATGAATTGGAGGTACAGTTGGAGGATAGAAAGAAGGAGGTCAAAGTGAAAGAAAGGGAGATATTTGAATTAAAGGTTAAAATTTTTGTAAAATGATATAATTATCATTACAACCTTTTTAATGAAAAGGACAATTATGGCTTTATAACTCTGAATATGAATGAAAAAACAAAGTGCCATGAATCATAACACGGAAAGGCGATGATACTCACGTTACATAGAATAGGTTATAAGAATGGAAAACAGCTATTAATAAGTTGCGATTTTAAATTCTTATATTCATACGTTATTCTCATAATTTTTCATTTGTTTCTAGGTTATACAATTATCACATCGTTTCTTTTAATGGTGTAAAAAAAGCTTTTATCTGTTCAATTTTTAATTTGGGCATTTTCTGTCATTGTTCTTTTAAAACTTTCCCGCCGATTCAAGTCTACTGAATTAAATCCGTTCGCGCAGGTCTGATAGGCGATAGAACGCGTAAAAAAGTAAACAATGCGGTGGTAGGGGAAGGATAATGGTAGAGTTATTCCAGGGCCATGTAATCTTGCCCTGCTCTACCAACAACCTATCCAATTGTTTACAGGAATATAGTAAATGGATTTTCCCTACTAATACTACTATATTCTAACAATGTCACTTAGACCCAATTGTCCTTTTCATTGTCAATTTTTAATGTATATAATTGATCATTTACAATATGGAATTACAACTTCAGGAAAAAATAAAAAGATTAGAAGCATTCAGCAAGGAGAGGGATATACTTGAAAAGGAATTGATTTCAACAAAAGCAGAATTAACTGGGATAAAAAGGACATTAGGTAATAGATTTTGTAATGTATACACAGAAGTTTCAAACAAGTTATTTTCAATTACTTAAGTTTGAATATTTGTCGAATTTGTAAACTACTACATTAATCAATAAAAAAGTCATGGAATATGTTTTTAACGAGCCCATGACTATATTTATATTTATTATATACTGTAATATAAGTTGTATATTTTTACAATTCACTTTTTAAAATTATTTAATCTTATCAATAACTATCATCGCATATTTAAATATAGTAGTAATCACAAATGATAAATTACAAACATTAAACGAAATATATTGCATGCAATAAATATTTTATAATGACAGAGCTAGAACGGCAAGAAAGAAGAGATTTGGAGACTAGAGCCCTCGGTTTAATAAAAGATGCTAAACGTAAATGGGAAAATGCAGAAAAGGATAAAATTGCACAGTTAAATAAACATATTGAAGCACAGACTGTAAGAATTACAGAATTATGTACTAGCAATAATGAGATGAGTTCCAGATTACAGAGGACTGAATGTGAACTGGAAACTGCAAATGCAGAATTGCATAAACTTAGAGTGTTCCAGGTTAGTAGCACATGTATACATATGTATGTATGTATAATAGCATACGAAAATAAAATTGTATTACGGTTTTATTAGATGCAATATAAAGAATCACTGGCCAAAACAAGAGAACTAAATCGACAAAGTGCTCAAGGAGTTGAAACGAAATTAAAGGAAATAGCTGCAAGAGCACACAATCAGTTAGCTGAACTTAGATCTAAGTTAGATTTAGAAACAGCAAAAAACAGTGACTTGGAATCTAAACTGCGAAATGAACAAGATTCTAATCACTGTCGCCAGTCACGACTAAATGTAGCTTTAGAATTAGCGCAGAATGAATTAATGGACTGTCAGGAACAGTTACGCAGTATACAAGCTACAATACCTGCCAGAGATGCTGAAATAGAAGCTTTGAAAAAACAATTACAAGAAAGATCAAAGCAATTAGATAATGTTATGGCATCAGAACAGGTGGTTGCAACAATGCAAGAGCAGTTGGAACGATCAAGACTCGAGAATGAACAATTGAAACAACAATTACAGGTATGCAGTCAATATTTAGTTCAATTTAGAATGAAAATTATTTGTCCATTTTTATAAAATATAACATAAATATTGTTTAAAGGCAATGAAGTCTGACTTAAGTGAAACCATGATGAATTTGGAACAAAATGAAGCTCTTGCCTTAAATTTAGAACAAGCTACTCAAGACAAAGCTGCATTACAAAAACGACTACAGGATTCTCTTGAAAAAGAAGGTATGGATAGTTAAATTTTTTAAATGATGTTTAATATAAAAAGGAAAGATTCGATAAAGCTTCGTCTCTCTTTTTAGAGGAACATTTACGTAAAGTCGGCAATTTAGAAGAATTGTTACGACGCTTGGAACAAAGCGTTACTAAACTAGAATCAGAGAATGCTAATCTTAAAATGGAAAATGTACAGCCAAGTACCAGTATGGTACGAAAAACGGATACAATAAAAGCTGATATTCTACTGGAAGAACAAATACATAAATTAGAACAGGAACTTCGAACAGCGAGAGAACACTTAAATACAGAACGTCAGACTGCAAAGCAAGCTCAGATTAATTTATGGAAGAAAGAAAAAGAATTATCAGATGCAAATTTGGATAAGAGAATTGCAATAAGAGCAAGTAAAAAGGCAGAAGAGAAAATTGAAACATTACAAGAAGAGAAACAAAGATTATCAGAGAGATTAGATAATAAAATAAAAGAAGAAGATGAGAAATCTAAAAAGTTACTTAAAGAATTAGATAGTGCAAAAGCATCTTTAAATGACATAACCAAGGAATCTTCTAGAAACAAAATGCAAGCTGATTCTGCTCAACGAGTAAATATCTTCAAGAATTATAAATTTTTTTTATTATCTCTAATTATCATTTCATTTAATTCATATTTTGTTGGTTTTCTTTTGATCGATAAATTTGCTTCAAATATTTGATTTTTGTAACTTCTTTTTTGTTATTTTGTTTTACTTCATTATAGGCTTTAACTCAAGCTAATCATCAAATAGAAGAGCTTCAGTCATCAAGTGCTTCGTTGCGCAGAGAACTGGACGCTGCTCGAAAGCAGGCAAGGGCAAGTCAAGAGAGAGTTGATAGTTTAAACGCTGAGAACAAACGTTTGTCACAATTAATTGCAAAACATAACGAAGAAAAGAGCGAATTGGAATCTAAAATAGAAAAACTAGAGCAAGAAATCAAAGGTTACGAATTGAATACTGAACTTCTTAAAGAAACGTGTACAGTACTTGAAGAGCAGTTGACCGATTACGAGAGATTAACGAGCGATCATGAAACACGGGAAAATATACTGATTCAAGATAAAATGAAATTACAAAAAGATCTAGAAGCGACTGAAGGTAAACTTCGCGAAGCATGTGCCGCACAAAACGAAGAGAGATCCCTGAGATTAGCTGCTGAACGTAACATTGAAAGACTAGAATCGGAAACGAGCGACATAGAATGCGAAAAGAACGGTTTACTTGCGCAGAGAGACCAATATAAGAAACTTGTACAAGAATTAAGTGCACAGGTTGATGAACTATCAGCCAAGTGTAGTGAATTAGAATACGAATTCTCTGAAACGAAACGTAACTTAGAAATGACTAAAGCTGAAACGAGGGTCGTCAAAGAAGAAAGCAGTCAGCATTTGACAAGAGTGCACGAATTGAAAGAAGCGAATACAATGCTCATGAACGATTTGCAAAGCAGTGTAGATCAAGGACAGGAACTTCGGATGAGAATTTCAGAGCTGGAAAGCATCTTGGAAGAAATGCGACAGTTCTACCAGGAAAGGGAAGTTAAAGCCGAAAGCACAAGGCAACAGCAAACGAAACTAATTGATTATCTACAATTTAAATTAGAGGAATGTAGTAAAAAGAAGAAAACTGTATGTGATAAAATACTTGGTACTAAACAAAAAGAAAATGTCCCTCCAAGCGGTACTGGGATGCCCGTTGGCTATCGTGAATTAGAGAATCAGCTAGCTAAAGAACGTGCTAAAGTTAAAACGTTAACCGATCAATTATTGGCACTTAGAGCTATGCATGCTTCAACCTCTGCACCTACATCTCCCACGGCACACAGTAACAAGAACACAAATTATATTACGGAACAGTCGGTCAGTTCTTTGTCTAAACGATTATCCCCTCAGAGGATTGGACACAATATTCCTCATCGATTTGAGGTCGGTCTACCTATGAGAGCTGGAAAATGTTCTGCTTGTTTTGACTCTATTCAGTTTGGTAAACGTGCAGCTATTTGCAGTGAATGTCAAGTACTGACTCATTTAAAATGTGCCGTTACCGTTCCTGCCAACTGCGGTTTACCGGGTGGTTTTGCTAAACAATTTGGCAAGAGTTGGAGGAACAGCGACGAAAGCCTATCATCTTTATCTGGAAGTGTTCAAACGTTGAATATAGATCAACCAGATAACCCTGATACGGTATGTTACTTAATAATGTTTTAAATACCTAATTCTATATTTTATAATAATTTATACCAATCATTGATACAGAATGTATGCGATGCACGTGGTAAAAGCAGTGACGTATCAATGGAAAGTTGGATCAAAGTTCCAGAGAGGTCAAAAACTTGCTGGGAAAGGAAATACCTTAGATTAGAAGGAACCTGTTTATGTACTTATGAACACCAACCGTCTCCTGGAATGTCGCCCGTTAATCGTTTAGATCTGGTCGAAAAAAATGGATTTAATGTATTAGAAACTGTACAGCAACCGGATGTATTAGGAACAGCAAAGTCGGATATACCATTTATCTTTAGGATAGAATCTAATTCTTCAACGACTTGTTGGCCAACGTCGCGTTTAGATATAATGGCTTTAAGCCACACGGATAAAAAGAATTGGTTAAAAGCTTTGAAGTCTGTTACTAGTCAAAATTATTCGAGTAACGTTCATAAAACTAAGAAATATGAAACTATACTGAGGCTGGAAAAGAATCAGGTAAAGAGAATTTATTTATAATAATATACCTCTATCTATAAGATTATTATTAATACAGAAATCATCTTCCAGTTGGATCTGAATTGCGCTGTAAATCTAACCGAAGAAAATCTGCTGTTGTTGGGAGCTGAAGAAGGTCTCTTTTCATATTGCGGTTCTAAATCACGAACACTGACAGCAATTTGTGGAGTAAAGAGGGTTCATCAATTAACTTTACATCCTCATTTGGGAATAGCTTTAATGATAGCCGGTGAAAGTAGGCAATTAGTATCGTGTAGTCTAAGACAATTAAAGAGTAACGCAGTAGCTGCTGAATGTTCAAGGCCAGCAATCAATACAAAACCAGTTTTAACTAGCACCGATAGTTGTCATTTGTATCAGTTACAAAGGGACATGCTTTGCGCAGCAACAGCAACTCATGTAATGTAAGTTTCATCACATTTAATCAACAAACGTACATTAATAGCTTTTCTATTAATTGTAGATTACTTAAATGGTATACCGAGGAAGAAGGTGGAGAATTTGTTGGAGTACGGGAACTTGAAACATCCGAGCCATGTAGCTGTGCCATATTTACTCAAAACATCCTAATAGTAGGGTGCAATAAGTTCTTCCAAATCGATCTTAGGAACTATTGCGTCGATGGTAGGTGACAAAATGAAGCGTCTTTGAGGATTCATTTATTCATAATTCGTATTTACATTCGTATAACATTGCAGAGTTTCCAGAAGCAGACGATAGTTCAGTTAAAGCTGCGCTATCGGGAGTAGCTAAATTAGGTATCTTTCCCGTTTGCGTTTTAAATGTTTCTCTAGTACCTGGAAAAGTGGAGCTTTTACTTTGTTACAACGAGTTTGGAATGTTTGTTAATGAACACGGCCAAAGAACTCGAAGCATTGATCCAACGTGGAATCATTTACCTTTTGCTTTTGGTAAGAATTATTGAAACAACTTTTTTCCAACTCATAACAACTTCAGATATCAATTATAATTATTGCATATTTTTGTGTAGCATTCCGTAAACCGTACTTATTTATTATTCACTTTTCATCGGTGGAGATTGTAAAACTCGATCAACAAGTGTACACCTCGCCAACAAATAATCCAGAACGAGTTTTGATCGAATTGTCTAGTCCTCGTTTTTTAGGAGTGTCTGAATCGAAGGGAATCTATGTAGCAACCATTAATTCCTTTTTGGAATTGTTAAAGATAGAAGGTCCTTCTAATATACCAGAAAACAATGGCAGTCTTACTAGTTTGGAAACTTTGTACGTCATAAGCTTTTACAATTTAACGTTACCAAATTGTAGAAATAAATCATTGTGTATTTTTTCATTGCACAGGGGACAAGATGACGAGAGCACTTCGGAATTCAGTTTCACATCGAGCTTAATGGAAGATTTAGATGGTCATGGAAAAAAAGTACATTTCGCTGGTGTTTCTAAGTATTGATATTAAAAACTAACATAAGTATCCTTTCACTCGACTGTAGGAACTACAAGAAACCCGAGACCAAGACTGTAAACATTTAGTAAGCATTAAGGAAAGTAAGTCATAACAAACATGTTACAGGCTACATCTTACCTAGCCATTCCATGCATTTAATTTAATTTGTACATTCTTGCCAATGGGTAATATCAGTCTATTAATACATAATTGATGGAATGTACAAAAACTCTCTATCGTACAAAAGCTTTTTTTGCACAACAGTTTAATGTTTAATTTTATTTTCATTTTGTAAAACGATTAAATATCATCGGATCTCAAATATTTGCTATGACAAAGGATTTATATGGTACTATGTAGTATTAGTCAACCAAATTTGATATATTTATACATATCGCAAAAGTAATTTCTTTTACTTTTTATAAGCTCGAGCTTTTTCAATGAGAATAGTTTACATTCTTTTCTTTTTTTATAGAAAAAATTGAAATCGATACTTAGTGCATATAGATTTAAGTATAGAGATACGATTAATATGACAATAATATATTCTTGAATTTCCTAAGTTAACAAAACTTTTGTAACATTGTAATTTAATTAAAAGAAACTCTACTCTTGACGAGAATAAAGATTTATAAAGATATACCTTGTTATGTAAATGATTACTCGAGCACGATTGCTGCTATACTCGTGTAACTCTTTGTTACAACAAAAATTTAATTCACAATAGCTCTTCATTGTGAACAGTTTAAAATTACGGTGTCTGTTATTGATTATTCATACGGTAGAGGAATGAATTAAGTGTATTATGAACGCGTGTCTTTTAAAAATATGGAAATGCCAATGTGTATTTTTATTTATTTATATTTATCCTCTGCATAAAAGTTATTCAAGCAGTACGTTTATTGCGAAGTAAATTTATATATACTTAAAATACTCCTCTGAAATTAAAGCAATTAAATTTCAGATAAATATATTTTCGGCTCTATTTATAGATGTAAAAATGGAAAAATAATGCAAATAAAAAGAAACTTGTTTGCATAAGCGTTTCCTCTGCATAGATGTCAGCACCAATAAAATAATAGGTTCCTATTCCATCAAGCTGAAACTTTTGGTAGCACATATAATAATAATGACATTATGGAAGGAGTAAGGTTTCATTGAATGATTGTTGCACAGTTAGACATTGTTGAAAAAGTTTCAATACGCTATTGCAATTAGGGGCACTAACGGGGCACATAATTATGTAGAGTAATGCGACATCCGGCGAACCCTTGACATTTGGTAACGTCGAACTAACGAATATTCATTAGGACCAGTGAATACGTTTTGAAAAACACTCATTGAAAAGCAATGATTAGTATTCAATTTCAAGTTGTTGTAAAATTAGAATTTTGTTTCATTTGCCACGTTTCTATGAATTGTAATCGGACTTTTTAACAGCGGAAGATTCCGCCACGATTCCATTTCTTGCTCCCTGCTTTGACACATTCGACTAGACTTGGGCGTTATCATTAACTGTTTTTTTCTTTTTTTTTTTTAATTCGTTTGTCTTAAAGTATGCTTTTAAAATTATTATTTATTATAGTATATTCTCAATGTTATTTGAAGATTAAATTATTTCTCACTTCATTTATGGTTCTTAGATCAGAGTTTAATCTGAATGAGATGAAAATTATTTGTAAAAAATTCTAGTTAATAAAGATAAATATTTAACTATTTAGTTTCTATGTACCCGTACATTGTTCCTTCAATTTATAATTGTTTTTCACTTTTAAGCAAACAAATATCTCATTTCCATCGAACGGATACGCAAACGCACATACTATTTATTTATAATATATACTGCAGCATATGTAATTTTTCCTTTCTTCAAGGTAAACTTGGTATCCGAAATAAAAGAGGGGTGAATGATTCCTCGGTATTAACGAACTCTGCCGCCGACGAATTCAATCGATCCAGCTTTAAAAAGGTCATTTCGACTGAACATCATTATGCAGATGAAGCTCAGGAATTATTCAGACAAGAAACACGATAGCCCTAAGTGGTGGGGAACCGCATTGTTATAAGAAGTCCTTCTCAATTTCTCCGGCCTTCAATCGCGTTAATAATCTGTTGTTAGAATTGTTGGTGATACCGATTAAATATCCTAAGTTCTCTTAGTCCTTTCCTTAAGGACTTGTGTAAGAAGTCCTCAATATCCTCAGTCTTCGCGAATAGTCCAACGTTGGTGATACTAATTAAATACTCCAAGCTTCCTTAACTCCTTGTTTCTGTGCCACGTATGTATAGTGTTTGCTTCGGATCCATCTGTATGATTCCATTGGCATCGAGCAATACTTGAAGAACCGCAGGAGGTAACCAGCAAAGCACAGTGGTATTCCCTTGAAATCGGCAAGCAAGATGTCCTGCAACATGCAAGTGGACGCTATGAAGGTGAACTACGCGGCTACAGAACCCGGGGAGGAGGTGGTGATCACAGGTATCGCCGGTCGATTCCCGGAATGTAACAATGTGATGGAACTGAAGACGAACTTACTGAACAAGAAGGACCTGATCACGGAGAATTATTCCAGATGGAGGCTAGGTAATTGAGATTTAATTATTAGCTCTAAGAAGATCACCAAGCCCAAATAACCAGGAATATTTGTATAGATCATGCAGAGATCCCACGGGATGGTGGTAAACTGACTGGTTTGTCTAAGTTTGATGCGATCTTCTTCGGTGTCCATTATAAGCAAGCTCATACGTTGGACCCCATGTGCAGGATGCTGCTGGAGCACAGTTATGAAGCACTCATTGATGCAGGGATCAATCCCAGACAGCTTAGAGGAACCAACACTGCTGTTGTTATAGGCTCTTGCATCAGTGAGTCAGAGAAGACGTGGTTTTATGAGAAATTGCAAGTAAATATCCCTAAAGATGATAGAATTAATTTGGTACCATGTTGACTACTGTGGTGAAAGTGTCCATTTCTAAAAATACAAATGTACTTTAAAGTTTCTGATACTAATAACCAATGTCCACTACAGTAGTTAATTTTTTATGCTAGCCAATCTGAGGAAATATAAGACTTAATGACGTTACTGTTATACTTAGGCAAATGGCTTTGGTATCACCGGTTGCAGCAGAGCCATGTTGGCCAACCGGATCTCCTACTTCCTAGGATTACACGGTCCATCTTATGCGATAGACACAGCCTGTAGTTCCAGCTTATTCGCGTTGGATCATGCCTACAGAATGATACGAACTGGAATCTGCGATACGGTGATCATCGGTGGCTCTAATCTATGTCTTCATCCCTATGTGTCGTTGCAATTCGCTCGTTTAGGTAGGAAAACGTCAATCCACCTGAAAATTAACAGGTTGTTTTGTGTCAGGCTGTCTACATTTCAAAATCGGCTATAAAACTCAATTATTGTTTAATTAGTTGAAATGCGATTTGAGGTAGTAACAAATCATTCAGTTATTTTATGCACCATCGACACGTTTCTAAACATGCCTGCTCATCTACTTTCTAATTAGATGAATTGTAATACGACGTGGTAACAAATGATTCCTAATTGGTGCATGAATAATGTAGTCATAATGCAACTCGTAACATCAAGTATCATTTAAATAGAAGCTCGGGTGTACGGATAAGATTGTAATGAGATTGAAATTTCAGGTGTACTGTCCAGCGACTGTCGTTGCAAGTCCTTCGACGCCAGAGCCAATGGCTACGTCCGCAGCGAGGCAGTCAGTGTTATAGTATTGCAGAAAGCGAAAAATGCTAAAAGGATTTACGCCCAGGTCGTTTACACTAAGACAAATTGCGATGGTTACAAGGAACAGGGTATCACGTTCCCTGCCAGCGAAGTGCAAAAGATGCTTCTGAGAGACTTCTACAATGAGTGTAAGATCCCTCCAACGATTCTCTCCTATTTGGAAGCTCATGGTACTGGGACAAGCGTAGGTGATCCTGAAGAACTGAATGCCATCAACAGTATCTTCTGTCAAGGAAGAAAAACACCCCTTAAAATGGGTTCTGTTAAGTCTAACATGGGACACACTGAGCCTGCCAGTGGTATCTGTTCAGTCGCCAAGGTGTTAAAAATAGACAGATTTCATCAAACCGTCTAACCATGTTCATTGGTTAGATAGAAAAACTAAATATTTGTATATTTTAAGATCATCATCGCAATGGAGACTGGCTTGATCCCTCCAAACTTACACTTTAAGAGCCCCATGAAGGGTATAAAGTGCTTAGAGGAAGGAAAGGTCCAAGTGGTCACAGACCCAACACCATGGGAAGGTGGCTACGCGGGAATAAACTCGTTTGGTTTTGGTGGTGCGAACGCCCATGTCCTACTCAAGTCCTATGCCAAAGAGAAGGTTAACAATGGAGCACCTTCTGATAATTTACCTAGATTGGTAGTTGCATCTGGACGCACTGAGGAGGCGATGAACACTCTCCTAAACTATGTAACTAAAACTACACACAAATTTATATGTACATTAAACTAAACAGTATTAATTGAAAATGACTTTGCAGGTGGAAAGTATACCTGTAGACGTGGAGTATATTAGACTTCTCCATGAAGTATATGCTGAGAATATAACTGGTCACATGTTCAGAGGATACACAGTAGTAGGCTCTAAGATATCTGATAAACCACCAAGAGAAATTCAAGAATATTCTGGCTTGAAGAGACCCGTTTGGTTCGTATTTTCTGGAATGGGATCTCAGTGGCCTGGCATGGGTACATCTATTAAAATATCCTTTCTATTAATATTAAGAAACTGCGGAGTCAATAGTAATTTCTATTTTTATGAATAAAATAGGTGAAGCACTGATGAGGTTCCCCATCTTTGCTCAAGCCATTAAAAAATGTGATGCAGCTTTGAGACCACATGGCGTCGACATTGTAGACATCATCACAAACAAGGATAGAAAAACATTTGATAATATCCTGAACTCCTTTATTGGAATTGCTGCAATTCAAGTACAAGGACTTTACATTTGCTCTTTATGAATTATTGCTATTTATACTTGGTTATAATGAGTAATTTCTGTACAGATTGGTCTCGTTGATTTGTTAACCGCCGTGGGTATAGTTCCGGACAACATAATCGGTCACTCTGTCGGGGAACTTGGTTGTGCTTATGCCGATGGATGCTTCACTGCTGAGCAAATGATACTTTCAGCGTATTCTAGAGGTTTGGCATCCATAGAGACAAAAATGATTCGAGGATCTATGGCGGCAATTGGTCTTGGATACGAGGACATAAAAGATATGTGTCCACCGGATATTGAAGTGGCATGCCACAATGGCCCTGATAGCTCCACCATAAGTGGTCCCGTTGAATCCATGAAGGAGTTTGTTGCCAAGTTACAGGTATAATCCATATCATAATTTGAAATTGAGGTATTCAGTAAGTTCTAAATTCATCAATGACAATGGAACGTTTCAGGCCAATAAGATCTTTGCAAAGGAAGTACCATGCAGCAACATCGCCTACCATAGTCGTTACATAGCTGAAGCAGGACCAAAATTGTTGGCCTACTTGAGAAAAGTGATACCAGAAGCCAGACCACGAAGCTCCAAATGGCTGAGCACCTCTGTGCCACGTAATCAATGGTCATCACCAGCTGCCAAATACTCCTCAGCCGAGTATCACACCAATAATTTATTGAACTCTGTGTTATTCGCGGAAACCGCGAGCATGATACCAGCTGATGCGATAACCATAGAGATAGCGCCTCATGGTCTCTTACAAGCGATTCTGAAGAGGTCCTTAGACCCTAATGTGACCAATGTACCCCTAACCCAACGTGGCCACAAAGACAATGCCGAGTTCTTCTTGCAAGCTCTTGGGAAGGTTTATAATTGCGGATTGCAGCCGCAGCTTGCAAACATTTACCCACACGTTGAGTTTCCTGTCAGCCGTGGGACACCCATGATCTCTCCTCACATAAGGTGAGTAACAAAGTAATAATTTTGGTATCTCGACATTCTAAATAGTAAAAAGTTGTTTAATGAGAGCCCATCATATTTCAGGTGGGAACATTCCGAGGACTGGTTCGTACCAGTCTATTCGCAACGTCAGAGAATAACCACATCGGAACGAACAGTTGAAATAGCTCTTAAAGATGAGAACTACGAATACATGATGCACCACGTAATCGACGGGAGAAATCTAGTTCCAGCTACAGGATATCTAATCTTAGTCTGGGAAACAATTAGTTTACTGGAAGGAAAGTTGTACGATGAGGTGCCAGTTGTGTTTGAGAACATCAAATTTGAACGTGCAACCACCATCTCAGCGGATGGTAGCGTTCAATTAACAATAATGGTTCAAAAAGGTGGGCTTTCTTATGTTACGTTAACTCTTATGAGGACAAATATGATAATTTGATAAATCCTCAGGTTCTGGAAAGTTCGAGATCTCTGAAGGCTCCTCGACAGTAGTATCAGGAACAATTCGTAAATTGACGAATCCATCGCAAGAAAAGATCGCGCCGCTGTTCTTAACAGAGATCGACGACGAGGAGGCCTTGACCGAGAAAGATATCTACAAAGAACTGAAACTCCGTGGGTATGACTACACTGGGCTGTTCCGTGCCCTGAAGAGTGCTTCGATCAAGGGAACAAGAGGACGTATCGCTTGGATGAAGAACTGGGCTACTTTTATGGACAACATGTTACAAATCAAATTGTTGGGCATCGATACCAGAACTCTATACGTACCCACAGCGATACAGAAGCTGGTGATAGACGTGAAATTGCACAATGATAAAATTCGTTGCTTCACTGACGATGCTAATGGTTCATTATAAATATTGTGTCCACTTCATTGTATCTTATATCAAAATTGCTTTCATTAATTAAAAATATGATTTTGCAGAATTCTCAGTTCAGGTGTACAACGACTACGACGCGGTAATATCTGGTGGTATAGAGATACGAGGATTGAAAGCCAACGCTATTCAAAGACGTAAGCTGATGTCGGTTCCAGTTTTGGAGGAATACAAGTTCGTGCCCAACCGCGACAAAGCACAGACCTCCCTGGAGGAGATGATCGTTCTATCAACTCATCTTGCTTTAGATAGTAACATAATACCCAATGCAAAGATCATGGAACTAGTTAATCATGATGACGATATACCCGACGAGGAAGTTTTGGCTCCTGTCTTCGTAAAAGTGTTAGGAGATTTACCAATGTTTCGTCTAAATATGGTTTTGGCTGCAGAATCAAAAAGATGTGAGAAAATATCACTATCTGAGAATGTTACTATCATAGAACCGAACAAATTGCCAGAAGACGGTAGCATCTTCATGGCAGCTGCCTATAACATCTTCTCAAAAAAGAGACACGATATTCTCGAGCAACTTTTGCTCGCGATCACAGACTATGGTTTCATTCTAATTCGAGAAACTATGATCAACAACAACGCTTATTTGTATCTGCAGAGGTGTGGGCTGAACATTGTACTGGAGAAGAGTCTCAACAATGAGACACTCTTGTTACTGAAGAAACAGGAGAAGCCCCCTCAGAGGACAGAAGTCGTGTATGTGAACAACAATGAATTTAGCTGGCTGGAGAAAGTGAAGGAGACCTTGAAGAATTATGAGAAACGAGAGAACAATGAGACGGTGAGATTAGTCTTAGTAGCAGAGGGTGACCTGGAAAACGGTGCCTTGGGCTTGATCAAGTGCTTGAGAAGAGAGCCCAACGGTGAAATTGCAAAGGCAGTAATAATTCAAGATAAGAATGCTCCAAAGTTTTCATTGAACGATCCATTTTATGCCAAACAGCTTGATATTGACATTGCTATAAACATTTTGAGACCAGGCAAGATCTGGGGCACGTACAGGCACGTACCTTATCCTCCATTGAACCCAATTCCAGTTTTTCATGGCTATGCCAACTTAAAAGTAAGTAAATGTACAATATTCACAGCCATAATTTTTAAAACTTATTTAAAATTGTTTCATAGGTAAGAGGCGACTTGAATTCTATCCAATGGATGCAAGGTGCGATCCAACCGGATGACAAGAATCTTGTGAAGGTGGTGTACTCATCTCTGAACTTCAGAGACGTGATGTTGGCTACTGGTAAACTAATGCCAGAGGCCATCACGAAAGACAGACTGATGAGGGATTGTCTGATTGGATTCGAGTTCAGTGGGATAGACTCAAATGGACGTCGAGTGATGGGATTCGTCGACAGCAGGTAAGATTCATTTTACACGTAATCTATCCAATAGAATATTTTTTAAATAAATGATCTTGTTCTTCAGGGCAATCACCAACCTTGTTACTCCTGGGAAGTTCAATGTCTGGCCAGTGCCAGATGAATGGTCACTGGAGGATGCAGCAACTGTTCCAAGCGCCTATTTCACAGTCTTCTATGCGTTTTTCCATTTTGGAAAGTTGAGAAAAGACGAAAAAGTGTTGATCCACAGTGGTAGTGGCGCAGTGGGTCAAGCTGCCATCAACATCGCTCTCGCCGAAGGATGCGAAGTCTTCACCACGGTGGGAACACCTGAAAAACGTAAATTCATCAGAGAAACGTTCCCCAGTATCGATGATGACCATATTGGCAACTCTCGAGACACAAGTTTCGAACAGATGGTGATGAAACAGACGAATGGCAAAGGAGTAGACATTGTTTTGAATTCCTTATCCGAAGACAAGCTTCTGGCATCGGTTAGATGTTTGTGTTACCGAGGTCGTTTTCTAGAAATTGGCAAATTCGATCTGGCTTCTAACAATCCACTGGGAATGGAGATATTCTTAAAGGAAATTAGCTTCCATGGGATCATGCTGGATAGCATGATCAATGGTGTTATACCTAAACTACAAGAGGAGCTGCATCATTTTGTTAACACTTACCTATACTCCAAGGCTGTCAAGCCTTTGATCAGAAAATGCTTTGAGAGACATCAAGTAGAAGACGCATTCAGGTACATGGCAGCTGGAAAACATATTGGAAAGGTGATTGTTTCAATTAACTTAATTGCAGTTATTTATATTTGCATTGTTTAGAGAATCTACATTTCCAAAGTTTGTCCACAGATTTTAATCAAAGTGGGGGATGAAAAGGAACCCTTGAACACCCCAATATCCGCTTACCCGCGATTCAACGCATCACCAAACAAGAGTTATGTAATCGTGGGAGGATTAGGTGGATTGGGTCTAGAAGTAGCTGATTGGTTAGTTGTACGTGGGGCTATGAATCTAGTAATAGTATCACGCGGTGGTATTAAGAACGGCTACCAAAGAATGAGGACAGAAACATGGAAATCGTATGGAGTGAAGGTTCTAATAATCTCTGGTGTGGATCTTTCAAAAACGAACGACTGCGAGTTTACCCTGAGGTCAGCAGAGAAACAGGCACCAGTGGATGGCATCTTCAACCTTGCAGCTATATTGAAAGATTGTCTAATCGTAAACCAGACTGAGACGAACTTTGAAGAGAGCATGAAGCCAAAGGCTGGAATTACTAAGAAACTGGATGAGGTCTCCAGGAAGATTTGTCCAAAGCTTCGCCACTTTGTGGTATTTTCTTCCCTTTCTTGTGGAAGAGGAATGAATGGACAGGCAAATTATGGTATGGGTAACTCTGTGTCAGAGAGGATTTGCGAGAAGAGGGTAGAGGAAGGTCTGCCAGGCATGGCTATTGAATGGGGAGTCATAGGAGAAGTTGGTCTAGCTGCAGATATGTGGGAAAACAAACAGGAGCTCATAATTGGTGGGACGTTACAACAGAAGGTGTCCTCGTGTTTGGTGGAATTGGATAAATTTTTATCGCAGAGCAGACCTATTGTGGCTAGCATGGTAGTTGCAGAGAAACGTCCTAGTGCCAGTGAGGCTAGTAACGTTCTAGAAGCAGTGATGAATATCATGAGTACATTTCCATCTTTATCCTTAAATTATTATGCGGAACAAAACTTGTAAGCTCTTGTTTTTGTCTTTAGGTATAAAGGACCTGAAGACAGTGAGTCAGAGCTCTTCCTTATCTGAACTTGGAATGGATTCTATGATGGCTGTGGAAATCAAACAGACCCTGGAACGAGATTTTGAAGTATTCCTAACTGCACAAGATATTCGAGTACTGAATATAGCTAAACTCGTCGAGATGTCTGCCAAAGACACAAAGAAACAGAAGAAACAGGTCACAAAATCTGTCGTTAAAACGGAACACTTAAATGGTATGAGGCTACTGATGAAGACATTGAATGTGTCTATATTAAATACTGAACCCTGCGTCGAACTTCCCATTAAATGTGGAGAAAAGAAGAACGAAATATTCCTTATACCGGGTATCGAAGGATCTGCTTCTATTTTCTACCCATTGACACCATTTTTGAAGTTCCCAGCCACTGTTTTGCAATCAAAAATATACGACACAGATCAGTCTGTAGAGGAGATGGCAGAACGTCTTTTACCTGTTTGTATTTTGATTGTATCGACAAAGCTGAACAGAAAGAATATTATATATTTTCTATTTTGTTTCTAGCATGTTTTGGAAAGGAGTAAGGGTCGCAGAGACTTCGTGATCGTTGGATATTCATATGGATCAATAATAGCTATTGAACTTGCAAGGAGATTAGAAGCCCATGGCCTAGTCGGTCATCTAATTTTAATTGATGGATCTCCTGATTACATGAGAGCCATAAGGGAAAATCATTTCGAAGCTTCTACACATGAGGAATTGCAGGACAAATTCTTGGTTGATATACTAAATTTCTGCAAGTCACCTACCATAGCAGAGGTAGGGTATAAGATTTTATAATTTCTCCTAACTAATGCTGGATATTCAATGTATAATTCGTGTACTTTTACAGTTCAAATTGGAATTGGACAACTGCACCACGTGGTATGAAAAGTTAGAGAAAATGGTTCAACACACACCCCCAGAAGTTCTTAAAGTTTACACCCCTGAAAATCAGAAAACATTTTCCACATTCCTGTTCAATCGTCTATGTGCTATAGATAAATATAATCCCACTTCTTTGCCACCTCTTAGAACACCTATCACATTATTAAAACCAACATTGCAAGCTGTGCAGCTTGATGATCATTCTTATGGTTGCAGTAAGGTAAGATACCCTAAACACATTCTTACAATAGTTATTAATTTCTTAACTTTAGATAGTATGGTACATAAAATGATGACAGTTTAAAGATAGTGTTAGAATTAGTATTTTCATGCACTATTAGTTTTTAATAAAATTTCTTTAGTAAAGGGTTCATTCAAGTGTTTAAATTAAACAATTTTCAGTTAACATATGGAAAAGTGAACATATATGTGGTCGAAGGTAATCACATTTCAATGCTGGATAATAGTAAAGTCCCAGCAGCAATTAATGGCGAACCTTTAGATGACAATGAAACATTTAAAAATACTCTAAACATTGTCTCCTCTGAGATAAATTTAGAAGGCAAAGGGGCCAATTTCATGGGTTTGTCATAATGAAACGTAAATCACTCAACTTTCCCCAAAAGAGCAGGAGATTGCACATATTTAATTCTTTTTTTCAACAATACCTATCATTCTTTTCTATGTACCTTTCATTCATAACAAATAAATGAAAAACTCAATATTAATAAAATCTTGTCATGTTTTTATGCAAAATCAACATACATCCGAAAACATATCAGATTCATTCGCGATAATCGAAATGTCATTCATACAATGAATTGAATTGTACTTCATACGATGGCCTTAACATTACATTGTATACATACAGTATAGAAATAAAACTACCAAGTTGTATTTTTAGTTTTATACATTCCTTATGCATTCCAGTTCCTTAAACCGTACTTTCCTTTTTATAACGAAACAAACTATCCAACATAACACTCCAAAAATAGCAGAAATTAATATCTATCGAATTATTTGGCTTAATGTGTTAATAATGATTACAATAATACTGAGTTTTACATTAAATCCGTGAACGCATTTATTAATGAATAAATTCCTTTTTTTCTATTTTTTTTTCCTGCGTCTAATATACGCACGCAAATCATATTTAACATACAAAACGAAGTTGATTATCTGATTATGACTATTTTTGTATTTTTATTTCTTTAACTCAAAGACATAATTGTAACAAAACCTCACTGAATAATTAGTTAACCAATTCATTCGATAAGAAGGCTTCATACCTATTATTTTACAACGCTCCACAAGTACAACAGTATCGAATAAAAAATATAAGGTATGACATATTTTTTTTTTTTTTTTTTCACCTAATTTACATACATTTTAGAACACAATATCGTATCCTTCTTCTTCTTTTTCCTCTTCCTCTTCTAACAGTATACGAAAATGTGAATGCAATATGCCAGTGAATTACCTTCATAATTCCATTGGTTCAAAAACTAAGCGATTACTTGATACTGTTTGATTTAGATCAGACATAGTTTCATTATTGTTGTTGTTGTTGTTATTATTATTATTATTATTATTATTATTGTTATCATCGGACGCACTTGGTATAGGAGTCGGTGTATCTCGCGTTGGTAAAATACGTAAATGTTTGTTTGGTGGTTCCCAAAGAACTAGAGCCATGGAGGGCCTCTCTCTGAAAGAGAAAATCTTTAAAGCTTTTATCGACTTTACTAAACTAAATTGTATTTCTGTTAAACTGTAACATATAACTTATACTTACAATTTGGATAACAAAGAAGATGGAAGAATGGGTTCCTGTTGGAGTCTTTTTAATTCTTCGGATAGAATCAATCTGGGATGTCCAGATTTTGCTTGATCTGCATCAACAACATTAGCTGCATCCATGTCTAGTTCCATGTTCAGCTCCTTAGGGAGGTTCGATGGTTGTATACCAGCTGTTGAAGTTGATGCTACCGAAGAGTGTGACTGAAAACTAGAACTAATGTGCAGATCCTTGAAATGTGCAGCCATTTTTTCTTCCGTTATGAATTGTTTTGTCTGCCTCCTGCAATATTATAATTTATTAGATATAGAATTGAAACATCAAGTATTATAACATATATTTATGTTACATACATATCCAACAGATCAGGTGTTTCAAGTTTTCTCTTCTGGTGGGCAATAGGTTCAAAACTTGGTCCACCAGTAAATCTGACTAATTCAGGTTGCTGCATGGCTGGCAAACTCCATGATATTGACATTGGAGGCACTTGTGGCATTTGTAACCATGGCCCAGATTGTGATGTACTTTGTTGACCCATCATGTGTTGAAATATGGACGAGGGTGTATGAAGATTTGCTCCTCCCATTGCATTCTGAACCGGAGGAGGAAAATACATTTGATACTTCATAGATAATGCTATGGTTGAACTTTACTTTGGGGGCACAAAAATTATGGCCTTTTTTTTTTATCTTCTTAAAGTATTTAACGAGTAGAATCTAAAAACCTAAGTTTTAAGGCGCGGAATCCATCGGTTCAAAAGTTATGCATGTGTAAAAGTGAGCGGTTTTAGCGTATTTGACAGGTTATTTCGACGCCAAATTGACTCTTCCCCGCATCCAATCCTTTCCCGGCCACCAGTTGAACTCTATTCGTTGGGTGTGAGTAACATCAATTCTTATCAAATCCGAGAGGATATTGTTTATAAAAAAAAAAAACTAACCTTAGGTATACCGAGTTTAGGCCGCCACTTATGTATGTATATATAAATAATTCTGTTTTACCGACGGCGACTCCACTCATTGGACAACAAGCAATATGGCGTCGAAGTAACATGTCAAATACACTAAAAACGCTCAGTTTTACACACGCATAACTTCTGAACCGATGGATTCCGCGCCTTAAAACTAGGATTTTTAGATTCTACTCGTTAAATACTTCAAGAAGATAAAAAAAAAGGCCATAATTTTTGGGCCCCTGAAGTAAAGTTCAACCAAATTTAATTAAATTTCTGGGCAATGTACTATAACTTCTACAATATTTTGTTCTTTTATTTATTTATCTATTTTTCATTAAATTACTGTATAAAATTTATAGATAAAGAAGTGCCTACTGTCATTTGGAACCACTGAGAGCTCTAGAGAACACGCTTCAGGCTTAGAGTTTGCGTCGTAACAAAGCAATGCTTCCGTACAATTTCACAAAAGCATTCGTGTTGTGTAACATACGCTTTTGGCACAGCTATAAAAAAAATGTACGATACAAATTCTTCAACTCTGCCAGACGCTAACCTCTATCGTTCACTTATAAGCTGATCACAAAATGAACACGTTTCTGTAAAACAATGTATACGTCTGTTAACGTATGCAGAAAAGATCTGGAATCTGATGAGTTGTGATATATTTATCAACAATTCGCTCTACGATATTTGATGCATCATTCGAGAAAGATCGCACAGAACCAGTTGTTTGTTTTCGTCCCTCACAGTATCACAATGGACCAATCCGTCAAGCGTATGGAAGAAGTCATTTAATGTTATATGATAAACAGTTTATGTGATGCCTTCTTTACTAAACAAATACACACAAGAATTATTCTAGTTGTATATACACAAACTATGAGATTAACTGCCTCAAACGACAATAACACACAGTGATCTTAGCAACCATACATCCAAACTGAGGCTTTAAGCTTGTAAGTTTGGCTACTATGAAAACTTTGCGCATGCGCATATCGTGCCGCGGTGAAACAAATCTTTTCTACAAATCGCTGGAATATTCTCGCATGAACAAATGTTGCGAAAAAATATGTAAATGCAATTGCATTACATTTTTAATATCAAATTAACTGGAATAACATTTTGATTATAAAGAGTATTTAATTCTTCGCGAATTATCTTTATAATATATATTTATTTTTAAAAAAACTTGAAAGCAAGGAGTACAAACCATATAATTATATCAATTTCTGGATAAACTTTTAAATGTATTATATTATACCGTACATTATGCATTAAATATAATCTAATAGATTTATGACAGTCCGGATAGAAATATTATTAAATTGCCCAACACTAACAACATTTATCGATAAATGTGCAATAGTTTACAATTGCACCTTGAAAACTGCAACCGGATATACACCGCTGCGAGAATTCTTTGTTGCCTGGTTGTAGGAACAGATATGCTCTACATTTTACAATTTCATGTTATAAGCAATACAATCATACATATTTTAGCATTCCTTTCTTAAATAATCTGGAAAATAAATCTTATAAAACCTAACTGTGAAGTTAATAAGAAATTAAGATTCTCTTACAATTAAATTATAATATGTATCATTACTTATTAAGACAATGAAAATATTTTACTGTGAATTTTGCTTGATGTTATTTTGTTCAAGTTCCTAATTTACGGCCGAGAAACTATTTCTATCCCCTCTGCATGAATTTTCAATTTGACAGTAGTTTAGAACCAGTTTAACTATGAAAGGTCGACACGTGACATAGGAAACGAAAAAAAAATTTCCTTTTACCATTATGCTACTTTTATTCAGACCTTAGTCTCAATCTCCTAATCTTTCCACGTAACGCCTTTGTATGTGAGGTAACTGGAATGTTTCAGTCGTGCAAAACACAATAAAAATCAATGGAAAACATGAACTATATTATTGCTTTTCACAATGATTTTATCAGTTTTCCTAGCTATGTACTTACTCAAGAAGTTCCTATTCTAAACGTACACAATCGAGAATGCAAACGAGACTGTAGATAGATAAATCTTTTTCTATAAATCGTCGATGGCATACATTCACACGGTTTCTTGAAACCTGTCCTACGTCATCTTTTGCTTGTTACGCGGAATACAAAAAGCACGTAATATGTTTTATTGTCTAAAGTGGTTGCTTAATATAAAATACATTTTCTTTGGACATTCAAAATGAAGAGGTTGGAATTACCACTATCAGTTATTCGAGTATATTCGATTCGTAATACCGGTGATCCCCTATGGCGTTTATAGTGTGGAATTTCCAACTAGATACCTTATAAAATTAATATAATATCAATACTACTTAGAATTTTCTTTAATTTTCCTTTCTGATAAATATGATAACTGATATGGCAGTCAACATGTTGAAATGCCGGTAACCTGAGAAAAATGTTGTTCATGCATCGCGTGCACCAATGACGATTGCACTGAACTGGATAGATACGAAAGAGGCGGAAAAGCAACCGCTATTTCTGCTGTCGAGGACGGGTGGTCTTTCGTAAATAATCCCAGCTCGTCCTCCACCGTATTGGCTGCGATTGAAAGTGGTTTTTCCACATTGATTCCAAAGTATGCGTTTCAATAAATGCACCTTTCGTGTGCATCACGAACCTCTGCTTATCTGCATGCGAGAAAAATTCTCGTGCCACTTGTAAATATAAAGTGCGCGTCTCGTTTCAATCGATTTACGCGATTTCAGACACATCCTGCGAGCAAGTGATTTTGAACCGTGCCGCCTGTTAACAGTGAAAGCAAATTGTGCGTTTGTAAATCTTACAATAATTATTTTTAATCGAATACCTTATGATTTAACAATGCGTAGGAAATTATATAATTAATTCGTTAATTATCGCAGTGAAATTAGACATAATGCCGGCCTTTTGTAAGCCCCGAGGCATTCATCAATATCTTGATGTTCGTCACTGTATCTCAAAATGATGATAATGGAATTCGTGAAATACAGAAATTTATCACCTTATCAAGGGGAAAACAAAAAATGTAAAGTGTAGCAAATGAGAACCGCTACAGGGATTTCCCTTTAACCGCAAATTAATTGCATTATTATCGGCGGCGTCTCGATACCTGGCCAGATACGTTTTACCTTATCTCATTCTCAAAGGCAAGAAAAACAAGCGTCATTGGCCGCAGTCGCATCTTTCAGCGAGGACACGTGAGAGAGGAGAGGCGTGTGCACATCTTCGTCGGGAAACGCTCACGTACATACACGGTTAAGGCAGCCCGTAGCCGGTTATTATGTGTCCGATATGGCTCCGAGGCAATTAATACTACTGTTATGATTCAGACGGGTATGTACGTCATGTGGTGTTTCTCGACAATGCAATAGCGGGATTGGGTCAGTGTTCCAGAGTCGTTCGGGTCTCTAGTTGCTGCTTATTTTTTTCTCCTTCTCCGTTCGTCACTCTATTACTGAAACGCGTGCACCATACCACGCACGCTGGCTTGTCTCTCTTTCTAAAATAACATCTTGAGAAATATGTGCTGCTTGACACCATCGGCCAGCTGTACCGTTCAGTGTCGCGCCTACGATGCATCATATTGATAAACGTTCGGTGCGACCTGTCGTGTTTTCACGGAAAATATAATATGATATACCGTTCGCAAAGTAATTGAACGTCCCACCGAAGACATGGAACAAGACGGTAGAACTTGAACGTACAATAATCGCCACAGTGATTGTTTAAACGTGTGCCGCGGTGAGCCAATCCTTTCGAAAGGAAACACAATGGTTGAGGTGTTGGTGAATTAAATAACGCGAAGAACTGTGCCACGATTCCTTGAACTTGTTTCACCGAGGTGTACCATCGATGAGGTAGGCGGGTTATTCTTCGCAGTCAGGTGTCGGGTCAGCAAGAATTTGGCGGCAGGCTCGTCGTAACCAGGACGCGGCAACTATGTCGAACAACAATCTCGGTCCGTTCGCTGAAAAGGATACATCTAATAAGAACAATGCACCGATACAAGATGAGAAACAACGAAAAATCAATGCGATCCCGATGAACAAGAGCATCGAGGATATACCAGGAAAGTTAAATAAATCGACTCAGATTGACTTTACCCAATTAACGTACGCAAATCAAAGAGTAAGACCAACTTCTATCGCTTATCTCCCGAAACAGAGTCAAATCGGTGATAATCTGAGTTACTCTTGTCAGACATCTAAAAGCACGTTGTATCCTTCGCAGAGTGAATTGGTTCTATCGCCTAGAAACAGACAGAATCGTTATGTAGCATTAGATATGAGATCGATGGGCAGCCTTCCGTTTTCGAGTCCCCATTCGAACAGTCATATCTCAGGAAACAATGTGGCGCCGTACACATGTTGCTGTACGTGTGCAGGATCTCAACCACCACAAACACCATCTTCTCATCACACAGACCAAGACCAAGACGGTCCCGAAGGTCTCTCGTGGCGAAGACTTCACATGAGCAGAGCTAAGTTGAAAGCGACCGCAACAACGTCGGAACTGTTAAGTGGATTTGCTATGGTGAGTGGTATCTGCTTTAGCAAACAAAAAGTAGTTAAATGATGCAGTAAAAAAAGAACGTACCTATGTAATATGGCACGGTATAATTTATAATTGTTTAGAATACCATGGTTTCGGTTTTCTTACAAAATGAATACTAACACGTTGAATGCCACAGTGAAAATATAATGAGACATATATTAATTAATTAAGCATATTGTAATAGAAAATTTGAATGTCTTCGTGTGGATCCTTTGTGTTTTCTATAGAAAGCTATTCGACGAGTAATTGATAGAGGAAGTTGACCTTGTATGACCGGATTCCACTATGGAATCATTTTATTTAGAAGGGTGAATGAGAATCTGTTTACTTTGGTTTCCAAAAAATGACTACCCTTGGAACTATCCTGGACAAAATTCATCCATGTTTAAGAAACAAGGGTTAATGTTATTGCGTTCTGTTGAAAAATTCCTTGTCTATCGTGTTTCCTCGGTTAAACGTCTCTTTGATGATCTGATCGATGATGTACGATTATTATCGAATGCCTGCGATGCGTGAAACATCTCGTTGGCGATAAAAAATAAAATGATGTTGATGTAAATTCCAAATGGTCGTAGCGGGTAAAAATTCTTCGTCAAGTTAATTTTTCCAAGGAGAACCTGCGTGTATGTGTATATATTTGTAGAATCAGAGAACCCGCGATGGATTATACAACTGTTTCCTGAAAATCATTAAATAGACTTGGACGACAATTCCGTGTAATCTTCGGACTCATCTGTGATTACATAAGACAAATATCACATTTTTAACAATAAGCATCACGCTAACGTATAATTGATTATCAAACATTCAATGGACCCGCCTTCGATCTAGTATTACCGGTCTACGTACACAGAACTAGTAATATTAGTATTTGTTTACTAATCATTCGTCCTCTGTCATTAACGCATTGACTGGTTATGAGGGACATCGATGCTCGATACCTCAAATATTGTACAATTGTATAATTAACTCTTTAAGTGCTATAAACGTGTTTATACAATTACTAGATTAGATTCCCTTAAGCATTTAACAGTCTATTGTTCGTGAACAAACATGTTTCAATTTTTAAACGGAATAACAATCACATATTGTAATTACGTACACGTATGGTCCGTTTATCAAAAGTATTAAGCACCTAAAGGGTTATACCTAGTCAGGAGGTCGAAAAGAAGCGATTTTTCAAATATTTTTTTTGAGAAGACGTTTGAATTTATTTTAATGAATCTTTTTACATTGAATTAAGTTGATACTCATATTTTTTTTTTTACAAAAATATTGATTTATCGAGCCGCTAGGGCCGATCTCCGAGAGCACCCCCAAAAGAAGGCGTCTTGCGGTGAGCAAGATATCTCTGGACTGGATCATCTGAAATCAAACAGCAATGAAGATTTAGTTAATATAAGGTAAAATCTTGTCTTTAATCGAAGGAATAAGCAAAATATCACAAAATGGCGGCTTCTCAAAAAAAAAAAATTGACATTTTCGACAAAAAATTTCGTTTTAAATTGTTTATAAAATGAATAATAAAACCTTCAATTAAAGACAAGGTTTTACCTTATATTAACTAAATCAATATTTTGAAAAATATATATATAGGTATTAGTGTATACGTGAAGATCAACTTAATTCAATGTAAATAAATGCAAACTTCTTTGCAAAAAAAAAAAAAATACTTGAAAAATCGCTTTTTTCCGGCCTCCTAACTAGGTGTAACCCCTTAAAGGATATACTACCTTTATAGTTAGGGTTGCGGATATTTGGTGGGTGAATGAAGTAGCCAGAAATAATGTTAATATTAACAATAATTATCACTGCGGCATTTAACGTGTTAAGGTTGCAATAAACCTTGAAAATCATCACGAGGACTGGAATATTCTTGAACAGCATAATAACTCATAAGAAGTTTCGACCATCCATCATTATAAGCATCTGAAATTACATATTCCAAGAAGAACCGTGCAATTCAAGAATAGCTTTAGACAGCTATTCGTACAGCTCCAAGGTTGATGTACAAAATATTTCTTAGAAATACTTGCCTTTATTGGATGGTATTAAAATGGTAAATCTTTTCTTCTCTTCTTTATCTTTCCAGGTGGCTATGGTGGAGTTACAGATAAACGAGCCAACCGCGGTCCCAGAATGGCTGTTTGTGATATTCGCTGTTTGCACAACCGTTCTAGTATCAGTACACATCTTTGCTTTAATGATAAGCACATATTTATTACCCAATATCGAGGCTGTCAGTAAACTTCAGATGTCGCGTCTCGTTACGGAATCACCGCACGAAAGAATGCGGGGTTTTATCGAATTAGCATGGGCATTTTCCACGGTATTAGGTTTGTTTCTGTTCCTAGTAGAGGTAGCCATACTCTGTTGGGTGAAATTCTGGGATTACTCGTTCACCGCAGCTACTGCCAGTACTATCATAGTGATACCGGTGCTCATAGTGTTCATTGCATTCGCTGTTCACTTTTATCATTCGTTGGTAGTTTATAAATGTGAATCATCCGTCTCTGATATGAACGAATTGGAAAGTATTAAAAGGAATTTAGATAACGTGACGATGGGACAGAGCAGCGTATAAAACGGTAGGCTTTTAAATTAACTCGTTTGGTAAATTAACTCTGATTCAGCTAAATGATTACCTTGTTTCGTGTAATTCTTTTGTATCCAATCTTATGAACATGGTGAGATGAACTTAATAATAAGATTGAATGCAAAACAAATGTTGTACAATGACGTCAGTTATTCTGTAGAAATTGCTATCTTTAATGAAATAATTGTGTACTGATTATGTCATCTTTTTCTCACTAAAAATGATCATTATAATGGCCATTTGTACTGTACATAATTTGTTTCATTCAAATGGATGGTTATCAGAGATACGCAAAATAAAAACTTTTGCATATTTTTAGAATTTTTGTTATCTGATATAAGTAACTCTTATGAAGATAATAAATTATGTGATATAGTAAAGAAGCAAATATTAGCTTAATGCAGATATGTGGGTGATAACGTGACCAATACTGTACTCTTAAAAGGGTCAATTACGTACCAAACCGTATTAATTATAAACAACTGAGAAATAAAATAACATAGTATGTAGGCTATCAGAACAGATATATGTATATGTATAAAAGCGATGGAAAAAGAACACATGTATGTTTATTCAATAAGTTTACTTATTTAACGCGATCATGTGAAAATGATCTTTTTTTTTATAATATATATATAATATTATATATATTATATATATTATATATATATATATATATAAATGTACATAGCTGTACACATGCAAGTCGAGAATTGCAACAGTACAAGCAAAGTGCTCTTAATAATATCAGCTATAATTATTTAGCATTTAATTATAACTCTATTTATGACTTAATTTCCGATTTCTTCTTTACTTTGCTTTTTTATTTCATACATCGTATCACTAATATATTATATTATATATATATATATATTTTTTCATTTTGTCACTTAGTTTGTGGGAAAACTGAAGGACAATCGAATACGTGTGATTTATGTACATGCCTCCGTTCTTGGTATCCTAGTCAAATAAATAATTTGTCAGACTTGAAGACTCTCGTTAATGAAAACGTGGTTCTTTATAATAAGTTGTGAGAAGGGGAATAGAATTTCTTCTTATACTCCTTTCATTTTCACCATAAACTAAGTTATATAATCTTACAGTTGATATTTTCTACATTATTATGCTTCAAATTCTGTTTGTACAAAAACAAAAGAAAGAGAATTATATTAAATTAAACGAAGAAGTGCAATCGAAGCAAGAGGAGTATACAAGTGTTTTGCTTTTAAAATTGTTGTTCCATGGACCTTTCTTTTGCATGCAATAACGAAGATATTGAAACCTGCCCTATATTACACAATGTCTCTGATCATAGAGGTTCCCTTTTTATGCGTTTAATAATTTTATACAGTAAACTGGATTACAGGATAGGCGAGAAATAACTGATATAAAATTATTGTATAATGTTAACAGTATGTACAGTGGAAAGAAAGAAGTTATAAAACGTACATCACAGAAAAATGAACCCTGTATGATAATGTACGTTAATTTATTTGAAGAAAGAAAAAGCAAGTACCATTACAATGAACTGTAAAGTGGGTCTTAAATTTTCTGAAGTTTAATAACACACTGATAGATGAATTTCTACTAAAGATAACCAAATCTTCTGTTGCTATTTTTACTTTTTTCTCCTTTTTATTTTAACAGAAGTAGTTAAAATATACTTTGTTACTTGCATGTCTTTATATCTTATTACTGAAACAAATATTTCTCTGGTTTGTCTAAAAATCATTTCCTCAGGACGCACAATGAATTGCTTGTGCTATAGACAGGTAAATGAATGAAGCACGGTAAGGATCGCAGTTTTATACAAAAACTAATGAAAATCGTATCAAAAAGTGTATTTTATATGTGAGGTATTAATTGCTCGTATAAATTGTGTTAATTGTTCGAACTGCATTAACGCAAGTAAAAAAATAATTTCATATACAAATGATCCTTCTTGCTATTTTTTCTTTTGTTTAGAAAGTTATTAGTTTTTGTATAATACTATTTTTGACATTAATATTTATAAAAGTAAAGACGAAGTACTTTTACGAACAAATTACTAAAATGTTTCTAAAGAACAAGATTGCAAATATAATATTTATTTTCGTTTTTTCTCGTCGCCCATATTACGGAGTAGATTTTTAGTTTCTAGGTCAATATACAAGTTTACAAGTTACATTACTTTTTAAATTGATGCTATATTTCTATCTCCGATAATTTATCGCTCTTAATACCATTATACCATTCTAGATGCAAAACATATTATGTTAAGAAATGTACTAGTTCCCTTAAAATATCCTTATCCAACAAAAAAAAGATATATATATATATATTCAAGAAACCAAAATTCCAGATATACATATAATTTCTTCGTTACTTTCAGAATGTGTTGAATAAAGTAATATAAAAATAACCAGTAAATAAACTAATACAATCTCTGACGCTAAACTTCATATAATCTACTGCAAATTATATATGAATATTGTAAAAGCAATTATTATTGTATTTGTGTCATGTTGCATAATATTGTATCATATATCATATTGTATCAATCTACGATACTATATAAATTGAGATGAAAGAAATTGAACAAAGGAATTGATTGTTTCTGAGAGACTTCTCAATACGTTGGCTTTCATACAATATTATTTTCAGTCTTGTTTTTAAATAAACATAAAAAAGTCTTTCTGGTGCCTATCCATAGCAAGAGCTTGGTTAAAACACTCTGTGTTGCAATCGTGAACATTGTCCTTATCACGAGAGATAGTCCTTGAAAAATCAAGACTTAAATCTGCAATTTACTTTTCACAATAAAGTTTTACAACTTCCACTTTCATCTTTACTTAGAAAATCTTTCCAATTTTCGTCGTGCTATACAAAGCTAGCAAGACGTTTGGCAAGTTGGAAATGCTTGCTGTTAATCCTAATAACAAATTGTCAATTCTTTTTTTTCTTCTTTAACTCTTAAGTTTATAAAAACGAAAAATTTATATACAATTTTGCATAAAGAACACTTTTTTTTTATACTAGTCCCAAGTTAAAACAAAGTCACAACCTACACACATACGTTCACTAGATCTTTGTGGAAATCCTTGAACAATTATTAAATTATTCTATCCATAACTACATGTTACATACAATTATTCTGATATCGATTGGATAATAAATTAAAAAATCTTTTCTGCATAGAATATCACACACATTTATAACGGAGTTAGAGCAAAACTATTTAATATATAAACACGTTATTAGTTTGGTGTAAAAAAAGAATGAAAAATGTGTATTTCGAAGCATACAAAATTTGTATGATAAACTCGCTGTAGAAGTAAAACAAACGCATGTCTGTTTCTTTTTTTTTTTTTTTGCTTTTTTAAAGTGAATCTTAACACGCGTTTTGATATACTTAATAGATTGTGAGATAATAATCAGTATTATTTATTTTATCTACTATATATAGCCCATTCAATTACTCAACATCGAATTTAAGACACAAAAAGAATACCGACAACGTATTCGAAATAGTCAGTATTCTCAACATTTAGAGAACTTTCTTCCCTCCGATTAAAAAAAAATCCCCAGTTTACATGTTTGATATTATATTAAATCAATGTCGTAGCACGGTATTTCTTTAGTTACGTTGGGAATCACTCGCAACGCTTTTGATGTATGAAATTGTAATTTGCACAGTGGCCATTAAAAGATGTTTCACGTGTAAAAAAAAATTACTTACATTAGATGACATTGATAAAAATAAGGACGTGATGATAAGTGACAAGAGGATTCATACGAATGATTTTCCTCCCATGATGTGTAATATACATAAATCCATGACTGTTGTCAAACTTCCATGTGTTTAGGAGGTTGTTGAGATATGAATGGTTCACTCCACATTCGACGTAGATCTCCCTAAAACGTCAATGTTATATTTTTATAATTTGTACTTGTGTAAAAACGCGGCAAAAGTAACAGCAATTCACTCATAAATACCTTCAAATATGCCATTGTAAGTAATGGCAATAGAGTGAAGGGCACAAGGTACAATAAGGCAGGTTGCGCAGCTTTGAACACCTCAGAGCTTACAGTAGCAGTAAGTAAACCAAGAAAGTAACCAATTAAAGAACAGTGAAAATAACTAATGCGATTGATGTGACGCGGAGGTGGAATCCCTGTTTCACAACCACCGGGCAACAATTGAGTCTTTTTGTATGCGTCATATCGTAAGACGAAGCAAAGCAAAAGACCTGGCATGACAACATCGCCAAGACCTAACATTGAAAAATGTCCTGCTTGATGCATTGATGGAAAAACTAATTTTCCAGGTAAAGGAAGTTTTGGTGCTTCTCTTGCTACACCACCTAAGTGCAACCTTCTAGCCACAAGATTTACTGGATTATCCGCTGGTCTAGTTGCTACCTATCGTTGAAAAACAAATACATATTATAATAATGTTACAAATTGTATAGATTATTTTGCCTAAATTTCATCAAACTTACCTTAACCATTACATTTGTGCTGAATATATAAGATGAAAAGAAAACCCAGAAGACATCATAAATCAGTAATCCAGTTAACAATATAGTGGATACCTTTAGACTAGGTAATCTAATGAATGCAATGAATGCCACGCAAAGTCCCATGCCCATTGCATCCATGAGTAGCCAATGTCCAGTTAGTACCCAGATGCATACTATGCTCACACTCAGTGAAAATGAAAGTAATTCTGCCCCTGTAAACCTTCCGCAAACACCGAAGGATATTTTATTACCATCTGAGCATGGTCTAATGATGTATTGACACATGGGCAACAGAAGAAATGCCAGTGCAACTGTAGCTACAACTGTAAACAAAAAAAGTAATCAAACATCTCAAAAAAAAAAAGAACGTGTTAAATTTTGGTAATTATTTGTCAGGCGAATGATAATAATTACATATGTTTCTTAAGACTTACTGGCTGTACAAATTGCTACAAGCATCTGCATACTGTCAAAGAAGAAAAACATGACAAGTAGAGAAATGGAAGCACCAAGAGGTAGACAAAGAGCATGCATTGTGTTTAAGGTTTGAACTCTTCCATTAGCACCATCTGCATTTGCCGTGCTACTATTACTCAAAATCCCAGTCAATAAATTACTACGTTCCTTTTCTTTCTCTCTTTCTCTAGCTTCCTGTTCCATATTTAGAGATCGGAAACTGCCATAGACTATCAATAAAATTGATATTAGGAAAGTGGATATCCTAGATGAATCCATTATGGTATAAGCCCTAAAAATCATCATACAATTAATTCACCCTCAATTATCATATAATTGAATTTTGATATTTCAATTATAAGATCAATTCAATTGTTAGACTAACCACTGATAGTCAACTTGATACGTGGCCATTTTTAAAAATGCCTGGCCAAAGCATGAAACGCTATGATAGGACACCTTTTGACATTTAGATGTCCTATTTGAAAGTGCTTCTTATCTGCACTAGCCTACATCAGAGATCATCTGCAATCACTATAAAAGTGACAACTTAATATCAGTTCAGGCAAAATTATAAAAATTCAAACAAAACATACAGATTATACCTGCAACACTGTGCATTCAGCATTGTCTGTAATGAAATTAGGCCTTGTGGAACCTCGGTCACCCCCTTTAAAGGTAAAACAGAAACATGATGTCATTGACAGATGGCAATGAAATGAAACAATGCATACTGCTATTAAAGAAATTACATGAAATAATGAATGCTTATCTCCATACAGAGATCATAAAAAAATAGTACTGTTCTAATAGGTCAATGAATTCTAAACAGTTGTGTAACTAACATGGCAGTCATTGAATCCTAGGAATGTATATTTGAAATGCTTTCGATTAATTAAAAGAATTCAACCACACGAGTAACAATCACAAGTAAGGAAACTTTGTACGCGGCAGACACTTTCATACGGCTACTTTCAAACTTTCGCTACAATCGTTTGTGACAAGCAACCGCAACACAAGCCTGATAATACCAGCTACAAGTGTTCGTTTATGACATTTGATCACTAATGGTACGATCACCAAGACCCCGCTTTCGTTTCATGGGACTATTATTGTTGAATAAATGGGTCTCGTGAAGAACTGAAAATTATTTGTAAAACATAGACGTTCACCATTTTGGTAAACAGAAGGGTCACGTGACTAGCACTGGCCCCAAGAGGTTGCTACTCCCTTACCCCAGATTATATCCCGACGCGATATTTTAGAGATCCAGATATCTCACCTGGGCGGTCCGAAGTCTGGCCCTTTTGTAACCTTTCTCATCACCTCATGTATACCAACACAATTCACGCGATATTGGGGAACTCGTGAGATGATACGGAAACACGAGAAAAATATATATTAGCGCGCGATCGGTCAACTACCACAGTCAACTACACAGGTCAACTGCTGGTTGACAGGCGCAGACGCGCAGCCTGCATCAAGCTCCACTACTGGATATTCGAAACACATTAACTTTAACAAATTAATATATGCATATAACGGCATATGATATGCACTTCCTTATTATCTGTTTTAATTAATCTAAGGAATTTCATAACAATGGTCTATTTGTATCTCCTACTAAAGCTAGATGCACTTTGTTTTAAAACATGCAACAATCGACAGGCACTGTTCATTATATAATCATTATATATTCTCCACGCTTAATATTATATGTATAATATTACAAAAGGATAAAGAAGTTATGAAGAAACTTTCATGACTTCTTTTTCACATAATATACTTAACACAACCAACTTTAAATGAAGTTATTCATTATTCTAAGAAAAAACTGGATAACACAAGAACAGCTTGAAGAAAGGAGTTATTTTTACAGCCGGTTATCTATATTAATGATTAAAAATAATGTTTTGATTTAGATAAACTTCGATAAATATGAGGTTAAAAATTGAAAAACATTAAACATTAGCTATAATGGGTAAATGCCTTACCGATATTACCGACTTACTGCGATAAAATATCTGTATGCAAATATAGTTTTCATTGTTTTCGAGTAGATGGCGCAACGGTTGAATTTTAGATTACCGTTTATGGATGATTTGATTTTGCTATTAAATTATAATTAGCGTTTTAATTTGTAAACCAAGTGTAAAATGTAAAAATAAACTCTTTTCTCTTCGACGTCTAAAGACAAAATGACGCATCTCATGAAGTGAATTCTAGTAACTTTATCGAGGATATAGTGTCACCATTCTGGAGACAGTAGGCGTGTTTTTCGCAATCATTTATCGACTCACCGTAATTTTTCTATTCGACCACGCATGAATTCAATTATTGAAAGGAAACTCAATTTTGCTAATCGACTATGGTTAGATTTGCATGAGCATACAGTTTTACTTTGTACACGTTTCACCATGGTTAAGCGTAAATTATTCACGAAGGAGGAAAAGTTATCGTTCGTATGCGTATGAAATAGCAAAGCAGAGTCAACTATATGTTGCTTGCTATTATCAGGATGAACTTACGGGTACTGTACGTGTTCCAGTCTCATCAAGCTTACTGAATGTTTACTTGTACCACAAAAAATAAAAAAAATAAATCCATGTACCTTGACAAAGCAAAGTACACAAAAACTCGATGAAAAATATTTGTTATAGAAATTTCTATTTTTTTAAATCAGATTTTCTAAAGGAATGTATCCAGTAATATTGTTCCTTAATTATTGTTTCCTTTCATTAAAACGACAATTCGAATTCCGTTTTATAGCTCATTTACGGATAGCTTGTCTACGGATCACAAGAAGTCTCGCGGGACGCTACAAGGACAAGAGGGGATACTACGCACACCCTAGTTTTACACGAGCCTAATTAGTAACGTGATCACTTCGACCAATCATACGTCACGACCGAAAGTACGTGTGAGCTGAGGTGGGGCGCGACCAATCAGATTGCGTTATTCTTACGGGACTTCTTGTAATCGGTGAACATTACCCCTACTCCGCATTCATTCAACAAAATTCAAACATGCCTAACGCCGTATCGACACCACACCTATAGATTATTGATTGTTGGTAATTACATTATATGTTTGAATTAATCATTAAATAAACACAATTAAGTATTTAGTACATATATATTTAAATGATTGCATGTATAAAAATAAAAGTGGTTTTATTAACACTTTACCGACCGGAATCCGAACAATCGGCTTATCGATCGGGATCTAAAAAAGTCGGATTTTTCTAGCAAAACTCAACAGAGCCGGTATTGGCAACTTATTTTCATTACATTAAACCAGTAGGAACTATGTAGCTGACCTCGCCACGGCCGATAGATATAGTGTTAATAATGTTAGTAACAATGATATCATATTTATATCAGCCATATGGTATAATCATAGGTTGTAGTTCCGATATATCATCGGGCACATTTGACTTTTGTTTAAAACCAATGAGGGAAATAAATTGCGAAGTAGGGTTACGTCCGTAACTGTTACCGTTTAATATAATCGATGAGAACAAAGACTGATGAGAGAATCAACACGAAACCGAAGACGTAAACAGATTCCTTGATGCACGGCTCGATAGGCTCGCTTCCTATGACATTAAGATTTTGAGCTAAGAGCTAGGTGTATCTGAGGAACGACATAAATAAATAAGGTACAGCCCTCGGCTTTTCATTTGAGTCGAGTCTGATCAGTCGATGCCGTAATTTCTTCGATAAGAGGCGAGTAGTCTGCCGTTGAAGTTGCCTGGGGCTAGATTTTCCGGTGCGCGAACAGAAGGTCGCTTCGCGACGGTTTCGTTAGTTCGTCAGTCTATGCGCGCGGTGGAGCCTGGTACAACGTGCCCAAAGTGCAAGGTGCACAAGGTTCAAGGTTGCGCGACAAACCGCGATCAACTGTTCCTATCGAAGCTGACAAAACATCGAGACAGCTTTTCGTTCCACATTTTATTTTCCTAAGGGTTTAAGCTTATCGAGTACTACTGGCAGCGTATCGTACTGGAAATCGTTTCGCTTCGTTCGGCTTGTAAATGTTTAGGCGTAGAACGTAGGATTTCTCGCGTGTTTTTACCTCTTGTCATACCGTAAGATATTCAACGCGCCGTAATTACATGAATGTCACGCAACGACCATTTCTTTTTCCCTCTTTTTATTTTACATATCGTTCCGCGCGAAGGGATGAAAATATAACCTGAAATACATCGGTTGAAAAAAAAAGAATGGGAAATCGAAATTCTATCCTGCAAAGGAGAATCATGGGAATCACAGCGGCCACCAGGGTGTATTTTTCTTGTTGGAGGACGGTAACGGCACGCGACTCGGGTAGATCGACCATGTAACGAATGGTAGTTTCTTCTTTTATAAACTGTCCCATAGTAAACCTCCTCGAGTTCCATAAGTATACCATTTATTTGTCCGCGTCCTCGCATCTTCAACTGTTCTTCCGTCCATCCCTCTCTGTTATTTTAATTCGCCGTTCAAGTAATATCGAATTCATGTAAAGTCAACCAAGAATTCTTTTTAAGTAAAAAAAAAAAATATATGTCATTCTCGATTCGAAGGAATTCACAAAATAACTCGGAGAATGATGCAAGAGTCGTGATCGTAGGTTGAATTTTCCATGATTTCCCTATCGACGGAAAGAGGGTGTATAGATAGAGACTTTCGACTAAACGATTCCATTTAAACGCTTTTTGTTTACAGAGCATTAATGCGATACCTCTGTTCAATTTGGTCGACAACGAAAGTATCTGTTTGCACGATTTCATCCATCTATCGAACAATATTTTCGTTTCACTCGGGAAATCACTCTCGTTATCTTTCCTCGCTGGAGGAACGATCGAACGTGTCGCGCTACCGTGTTTAACCCCTACATTTTTAAACGCGATAATTGCACCGCATTGGATTCGTTTCGTCTCCAATCTGAAGTCAATCAATACTCCCGTTCGAGGACAGTAATATTTGCGTTTCGAATTCCTTCAAAAATTCTGATCAACCTTCTGAATCGAAGGTTTCTACGATTACCCAGATCCTATCTTTGTTATTCAATGTGGATAGTTGCGTAGAACTTCGAGAACATCTCCTCTGGATACGGTAAAGCTGTATGAATATTCATTAAAACTTGATATCAACTTTGTTAATCGCGTGCATCGAATATACACGGCGGGTAATTCAATTGCGTTGCATTGTCAGTCGTTGAGCGTTAATAATCTTCCATCAGAAATTTAATATTATGTTTCATATCGATGCCATCGCGGCGCCGATTCAGTTGAAATTTCTCGTTTTTTATCTCTTACGATCAGAGAAGAGAGAAGGAAATAGTAAAACGACCGCGTCGGAGGAAAAGCTTTGCGCAAAGAGAATAACTGAAGAATAGAAACAACAGGGCAGAGGGTGGAAACCGTACGGATGAAGTAAGATGTAAAGATGCGGAGGGGGGTGTCGACGGTCATCCGGATACAATGTACTCGAAATAGCTGGGAATTCCAGCGAGGTACGTTACGACGGAAGGGGTACGGTTTGTGATTCCTGTTCCCAACGGTGCGGTGGTGCAAGCTCCGTTCTCTCATTGGTCCCACTGATCCGTGACGTCACTACGCCGGCCTATGTATAAGGTGAAGCACACGGAGCGTCAGTTCATCGTTGTCCGTCACGCCGCGCCGACCGGGTCTCATCCTTTGAATCACCCTCTGCTTTCCGCACCGAGCTACGTTTTTCGCCGCAACCGATCGAATCGATCGAACGAATCGCCGGACAATTTTACATCGGACCGAAGCTGAAAAAGGTAAGGCTTCAGATTAAAGATTCTTTTAAAACCGGATTCTTTTTCGCTAGTGTATTTGCTGTCTCGATTATCCTCGTCGGTAAATTAATAAGAAAATTAATAAAATGCGGTTCGTTATCAGGAAAGGGCTTATATTTGTAACAACCTACTGTTACAATTTATTGGTGATGTTCAATTAAAGAGGCTACTTTTCACAGGCTGAAACTATCCCATTCGAATCGCTTCGAGCGTTTGCTCGAGCACAAAGAGAAGCGCGCTTGTGTCAACTTTTAACGTCCAGTCGGCGTTAACATTTTATTATGCCTCTCAGAATCCGCTCAACGCCTATTCTCTCCCTCGCGTAAACGCGTCTTCCTACCGTGTACATAAAACGCTTGCATTTTCCCGATATCCTCCTGTTTTGATTAGACGTTAATACGTAGAGAAGAGAAAAAATCTTATTTTGAAAAATAATAAGAAGGGGAGAATTGTAGGATTGTTCGCAGACGCATGGGAACGCGAGCTTCGAAAGCAACAGGCTTCCGAAAAGAACGTGCAAGCGCGATCGATCGCGTACACGCGAAATTTAGACATTTTTTACTTTCAATCTGGAACGCGGTATCTCTTTATTTTAGTTAAAAGACTTTTGTTGCGAGCGTTTAAAACAACACCAGAAGTATATTCCTTGATATGTCTCAAGGGTCCGAATCGCGACGTTTTAACTTGCAGCAGAGGATTTATCTAATTACCATAGGGAATAGAAACTTCTAGCCTGGATGCTGTATTTTTACGTTAGGGAAGTAATTGAACGTAACAACTTCTCGGTTAAACGTGTCCCTCGTTTATCAGTTTTCCGAAAAGCGAATCGATAAACTGTGATTGGTATTATGTAATACTTTTTCCTCGATAAACCGGTCGAGCAATTTGGTAATTAAGCTAAAATCGACGCTCGAATAATTTCCTCCCCGTATCGCGGCAATTGGATTATTAGCATTGTACTTGGTATTCAGCAGCGATCCGCGCCGATCCAATCCGTCGGAGAATGCAGCTCTATTTTCTATGAAATTCATACCATTTGAAATCTATCATCGACCATGATCGGCATTCGACACTCCGAAGCGAGATCGTTTTACTTTTCTCGCAAAGTGACTACCTCTGTAATTCGCGTTTCGAGCGCATTTTATGCGGCACGCGTATTACGATGGCAACGGAACGGTCGAACGTTTACATAGATATGCAACATCTAGCTTTGAAATATTAGCATCTAACTAGCTACTTTTTACGAAGGTATTACGGAGAAACACGCGACTCATGCAGCTATTCGTCTGATTAATGTATCTGATTCAAAAGAGTCTCGCGTTCCTTACCGTCTAAGGTCGCTGCATTTACTTTGTTTCCGTCGACAGGCTTTCCTCCTCTTTTTCAGTTCAGATTCAGCAAGAGCCGCGAGCAACAAGTAATAAGGGGTAGTCGGATGGTTAAAATCGAACTCCCATCTCTAGCCACTTTCTTATGCCACGAATGCACTGCTGTTCTCAAATTGCTCGTCGACCATGTTCGCCGGTAGTGTGGAAACTTTTGCGAATATTGAAGACCGTTCGCTAAGGAAGCTGTTTGATCACTTAAAACGTGTCCGGACGCGTTGTAACACGTTTTTGGTGAATTCGACGATTATTCATTAAGCAGCGCACAATTGTGAAATATTTGTGTTCCAGAGTGAATTCTGCTCGCGAACAACTCGCGAACATTGCTGCCCGCAGTGTAGACCGAGCATTTGTGTTTTGTTCGCGAGCTGCTCGTGAGCTGCCCGCAAGCTATGTATATCTGAGTATATCCAATGTGAATTCTACTTGCAAACAGTTCACAAAGAGCTCGCAAACCTTCCTCCCCAGCGTAGGCCCAACATTAGAACCACCGACAGAGAAAATAAATGCAGACGTTTCCGCGCGAAATCATTTCCCTGCCAATCGTCGCAATCGTTGGAAGGTCGTGTATTCGCAGTCGCGTCGTACGAAACGCGTTCCCTCGATTATTACGCTTTTATCGTTCCACGATTCCATCCAATGCTCGATGTTTCATTTCGTTTACGATCTATCCTATTCTAGAGAGCTACCGAGCTACGCAAAGTAAGACAGCCAGTTTGAAACCGTTCCCATTGTTGTTAACCACCGTCCAGAAAGACGGGGCAGAGATTCTTTTCGTTTACGATTAAAAACGATTTGGCTTCGCATCAAGATATTCTGATATCCTGCCGACGAAAAATACTGCCTCGGTACATCTTCATTTTCTAAATAATACGTAGGGATATTTCCGTCCTTTCCGTTCTTCCTTCCTTCCTTCCTTCCGTCGCGTTTCTTTTATTTAAAGTATCGATCGAAAGTACGCGTTCAGCGTTATCCGTATCAGCAGCGAGTAAGCTGATGTTTCTTTCTCTCGATCCGAGTTTCGGGTATCGTTTTCGCCACGAGCTTGTTGCATAGACTTTATTCGACTGAAAATTTCCCACGGTAATTGAACCAAAGGATGGAATACGTTGACAGATACTGGTAATAGTAAAGCCCCGGGAAAATGACCGGTTTAATGAACAAAGCGGAGAAGGTGTAGGTTAAAGATCAAGATTTAATTAAAACTTTTGCTCGTTGCGAGCTGTATGTATGATACCATTAGATACCGAACTTGTAAAATATCGATCGTTGCGATGCGGTTGCGTTGATTAATTACTATAATATTTTACTTTACGCTTTTATTATATTTACTTTTATGGACAACGTATTTATGATTCCTTTTGTCTGCGTTATAAAAGTTGGATTTGAAAAGCGACGCCATGCGCCGTGGTGTACAATGGAATAACCAATGGATCGCGTTGCACAGTGGTCCAGATTAAAGAATTACTAAAAAAAGAAAAAATCAATTTCCCCGTATCGATGTTTATCGAATGTATTTAGCTTTTTAAATGTCTACCAATTTAAAAAATGATGACGTTAATGAAATTTATTTCATAAACGCCATTATTCACCGAAAAAATTTATCTACGTTCTCATTCATACCCTGCAAAGTCTATTTAATATTTCGTATCCACTTTTTTTTTCTAAATGAAGGGTGTTTGTCTGTAATGAGAGTACACTTTGAATTAAGACTCATCGTTGTGCCTTCAGGCGATTTTGAATTAATTTGGGATTTTCGTGGTTTCGGAGCGGTCAAAGAATTTGAATTCAGCGGTGTCTGACAAGGGGATGATCAAAAGTAGATGGTAGAGTTGCTCGTCCAGACTATGTTTATTCGAAAGAACACGAAACGAGGAGTTTATGGTGCAATTTTTGGGTGCCATTGGCAACGGGTTCAAAAGTTATGGGACTTTGAAATTTTCATATTTTCAAGTGCAAATTGTATCACACGTGCAATTTTCCTTGAAACTCATCTTAATTGTTAGTAAACATCATCTAATCATCTCAAATTCATGCCATTGTCACTTTTACACTTAATTCTTACTTCATATTTCGATTTCTCATGTTTTCTAATCATTTGCACTTAAAAATTTTCATATTTTTTTCATATTGCCCGTTGCCAATGGCACCCAAAATTGCTATTTCGAATAAACAGCTTGGACGAGCAACTCTACCATCCACTTTTGACCATTCCTTTGTGAGTAGGGACGAAGAATTTATTTCTAAAGATGTACACTACAATCAGTCGCGTTTTACATTGTTCATCTCTTTTATATCTCTATCCCTTTGCGTGGGGATGATCAAATAAGTTCGTGTTGCTTGCAAAGTATTCGATGGGCACGTGCTGCTGATTTGGGCATTCTTTAGCCGAGCGATGGTCATACAATGTAACTTTGTGCTCATTTCCAGGCACAACATTAATGTTAATAATAATTTATTAAAAACAATAATACTCAATGGATTAAACAGAATTGTCAAAGTTTTCCATAAGTGCAATTTTTTCATCATACTTTTCCTTATATAATCATGCCAGAATCATGTTCCATTTCGTCCCATAACGAAAATTATGTCGCCGAAACTGCCTGATGCGGTAAGAGGCTACTATAAAGTTCTGCATTATATAATTGACATTAAATAATAGACTTCTGCAAAAATAGATTATTATTATCACTTACAACAGTTTATAACAATTACTTTTGCTTTTGTTTATAAAAAATGTTTTTCATTTTTTATTAAAATATTTTTGATATTTAATTATGACATAGCTTAAAGATAATCTGATTGGTTAAAAAAATAACGGATTATTCTGTATATTTCAATGTCTGGACGGATAAATTTCTATTCTAAACCTCTGTGCGTCGCATCTGACCGCTTGTCGACTCGTACTACTCGGCCGTCGCGTCGCATCGCGCCGCGTACGATAACGGCAACATTCTGAAAAGCTTGAGACCCGTTCCTCTTTCGCACACCGTCTCGTTATGAATTGGACCAAGAAATAGAACTGATGGTATCGTGCATTAGTTGCGAAAAGCAACCATGCAACAAGTCTATCACTCGGTTCCCTTTAACGTGTCCTTGCATCGCGCGTTATAAGAGGAGATTTCAACGCGTTACATCGCGATAAATAATAATGATTTTTATATGGGATACCTTGCGCCTTGATTACGAAACGATGATTCTTCGTTTTGATGGTGGTTTAACTAAAAGACCGTGGTAAATATAATTTCGAAGCTCTTAATTCGCGATTTTGCTAAACGACGGCCTTTTCTGATCGCGGTTTAGCAAGCTGCTGCTAATCCGTTGGTAATTGGATGCTTCTTCGTTATCGCTCGCTCTCGATCGAGACTGCTATCAAGGGAAAGTTGGGCGTTTTATGAAGCGAAGCTCGAGGAAAAAAGAGAAATAGAAATCTTATTGCGACATTTAACGGACGCGTCTTTCGCGAATTTCCTGTAAAGAGTTTCTTGCCGCTGGTCCGGTGTTCGACGAGGTCACGAGATCGAAGGAACAAGTCCCAGATGCACAGTGCCATTTCGCGAAAAGCTGGCCAATTACGATTTTTATGCAAATTAGTAGAGATAGCTGGTTATGCTTTTGGGTTCACTGAATTCAAATATCTCATTAAAAATATAAAATTTAAAACAGAGGTCGATCTATCGACCTCCACAGGGAAGATATTATCCACTGACCATAAATAAAATAGATACGCGGTACCATTTTATAATTAACAATAATTAAAGATTTAAAAAAAAAAGTGTAACCTTTCTTTTCATTTTCCTCTTAATTGACGTACATTTAACTTTCATTATTTCAACTGAGTTGTATGTAAATCTGTAATAATCAAAAGGTTGTTAATTGGTTTTTCTTCAACCAGGAACCAACTGTCAAAAAGCCTATTAATAGGCTTCCGGTAGATAAAGAGTTAAATTAATTTTTGTGAAAATTGATTATTTTCTAATTTTTTACTAAAATTACATAATCAGAATACAGCGGTACCTCGGTATACGACCTTAATCCACACCTGATGTTTGGACTTATACCGAATAGAATAGACTTGTATGATCAATCAGTTAATAATGCATCAACTCCGAATATAATTGATTATTAATTTAATCTTTCCTGTGAGATAATTATTTAAAAATGACGCAAAATTGACACAAAAAATTTATGTCGTATACCGAGCAAAATTTGTCACGTCTAAACAGGACGTATTCCGAATTGGACATATTCCAAAGCAGACGTATACCGATGTACCACTGTATCTACGTTGATTTTAAAAAGTTTTTGAAATTAGTTACATTCAAAATCTGATTTGTTACGATTTTCGTATCAGTGTTTCATCTCGGTCAATAACAGAGTTGGGCATTATTTCAAATAATCTCCTGATACAAATTTTGGGTAAAAGGAAGATATTCAAGAAAATAAATAGATTATTTATTCAAATAAATGTTTATCTTGTTGAAAATTCGAATGTGTAATTAAAAATTCAATTAGTTATTTGAAAATAACAGAAAAGGTTACATTTTACTTAAAATAAAATCTTATTCAAAGTAAAATTGTCTTTGAATTGAAAATTATTCGCTATTCTCAAATAATTTGCTCAGAAATCTATAAATAAATTTTAATTAAATGAAAAATTTATTTCTGACTTTTAAATGTTTTGAATACAGAAGATTATTTGAAATAATGCTCAACTCTGCTCAGTACCAATCAACATATTTAAAAAATTTATTCGGCATTTAATCCAATCTGATATAACAACAAAAGCTGTCGAATGCTTCAAAAATTGAATTTTCGCCAGTTTTTCACTTTGAGACGCGTTGTGTCACCTCAAAGAAGCATTCGTTTTGTGGATTCCCAACTGAATTCCTTAAATCGCGAATCGACAGCCTAAGGAGAGATTAAAGTTCCTTCTGTCCTTTCGTACTTTACATACTCTCCGTTAACCACTTTTAAATGTCCTGCTCGAAGGAGTTACATTCGTTTAACAACAGCTCTTCTCAATCTTCCCAATAGCATTTTCTCGTCGTTTCTCTTTCAACGCCAAGAAAAAAAGGAACTCGTTTCACCGCGTTTGCTTCTAACCTTTTAAACATCAGACGGACGATGAATTCCTTTATCCGTGCGAGTTTGAATTTGCTCCAAGTTATGCAAAAGCGCCGACATCTTGCATTACCTTTGAGAAATTAACGATCGCATTAAAATACCTTTTTACCTTAGAAAACGAGTATTGAAGATCGCCGAGCAATTTGCAACTATAATGCTCGTTTTGAATTGCACAGAAATTTATTCTATTACGTATTCGTTTGCGCCACGCCAACGGCAGACCGTTTATTCTCGAAATTTTCATATAATCTTGCAGAAAGCATTGCGTGGTGATCGCGCACTCCAATTTCCTTCTTTTAATCAATTTCAAGCTAAGATGAGCTAAGGGTAATCTAAATGCAGTCAAAGTTGGATAACTAGCCGAAAATCGGGACCGAATGCGGGCAGTTATGAAGCGGGGGTGTCTTTTCGGTTTTTAACCTCTTAACTTAAAAGTCCGAGAATACTCGGGATTTTAATTTTTACATAAGCTTAAAAGCTCGAGAATACTCGTCTATCTTGACAATATTCTGTTTAGAAGTTTAAATCCCGGAGAAATTCGTTGCGTCTAGAAAATGGTACTTTGGTCTACACAGCTACTTGAAGCCCTCTATTGGCCTGCTGCAGTCAGGGTTAGTTTTGAAAGAGATTCAACTAAAATATTCGGTCCTAAGACATTTTATTCTATGTGGAGTTATTTTTTAATAGCAACGAGTATACACGGGGTTTTAATATAACCATTTTTCAACATTCTCTAATTACCCTTTAAGTGAATAATTCGTCAAGTTACTGTCTGCAATAACCTATAATTATAATAAAGTTTAAAATTCAGCAATAAACAAAATTGGAAATTTTGGACACACTGGAATGTTGCCGAACTTAGAAAAGAACAGAGAGTGAATGAGAAAAAGGGCTGTAAATCAAAGGAACCGAGAAAAATACAGGATGTTCGACAACAGGTGGGCAAAATTTTAAGGGGTGATTCTAGGGATCAAAATAAGACGAAAATCAAGAATAACGAAATAGTGTTTACGGCTTTGTTTTCCAGTAATTAACGTTTAAAAATTCGAGTAAAAAGCGCCTGAAACCTGCAATCCGCCCAGCACCGACGACTGAACATCAGGTCAGCAGGGGAAGGTACAGTCATGACCAAGAATCGAAGCCGAATGCTGCAGTACCGAGAAACAGAATAGCACGAGGTAAGTTTCTACTATTCAACGATTCTTGGTCATGACTGTACCTTTCCCTGCTGACCTGACGTTCAGTCGTCGGTGCTGGGCAGATTGCAGATTTTAGGCGCTTTTTACTCGAATTTTTAAACGTTAATTACTGAAAAAGAAAGCCGCAAACGCTATTTCGTTATTCTTGATTTTCGTCTTATTTTGATCCCTAGAATCACCCCTTAAAATTTTGCCCACCTGTTGTCGAACACCCTGTATATTGCTGAGATGATATTAATTCACCAATAAAACTTTTTTATTTTTTATTTTTACTAAATGAAACTTTGACCAACGTAATTGTGAGGTTGTTCTAATTAAAAAAAGACCAAACACGATATAATTTGAAGCCCATTTGGTTATTCAATGAGTGATTTTCATTCACCTATTTAAAACCTAAATGTAATCTGAAGTTCCTTTCTTTTGTAAAATAATAAGTAAATATGCTTCAAATAATATTGGGAAGAACTTCACAATTACATTGTTGTGAAAAGTTTCATTTAAAAAAAATGAAAAATCAGAAAATTCTTCAAAGGGCGCCACCCTAATGATGGGGGTGGTTACCGGGTAGTTATCCAATGGATCTGCCCGAGATCCAACTTTTACTCTAGAGCCTAAATACAAAGAGAAAAGGTGTCTCGTGTAATTGTAAAAAAAGTCGCGACGTCGCATCGCGCCTGCTGATGAGGCACGCGCATGCCCCCCGGCTATTCAACCCCTACATTTATCCACGTCAGATTGGCCAGGAGTCACGAAACGGTACGAGTTTATCGATAAACGAATCAAAATAATCCGTCTTGGTCTCCGTCGTTCTTCCTATTTGTATCCGAGAACGAGCGACGCCCCCTGTAAGGGTAGAAAAATTCTTGTGAAGGAGATGCTACGTGCCACGAAGGTGAACCTGCTCGGGACACGCGTCCTGAGATTAAGCGCGTCGATACGCAGGTGAGTGCACGCCACCGAAAATTCATAGCGAATAAAGCAACAGCCATAAATCATCGCGTTCTCCAGCAAGTTGCTCGGTAGAAAAAGAAAAAGAAGATGAGATTTAGAGACGGTGATAACCAGACGTTGGCTCAGACCTTGGCCACTCTTCCGTTGATTTCATTTTCTTTTTCTTTCTTTTTTTTTCGATTTTGCCTCCGAGACCACCACGCACTGATTGCGAATAAAACGACTCGTCCGATTTTTCCAAATAAAGAAGAAAGTTTATAGGTTCTTCTTGGAAACTCGATAACCGAGCGCTAAGCGTTGTGTCAATTCTACTCTCGATAACTTAGTTGGCAAAGTAAGAAACTGGAAATAATCGTATCATTTTAGATGAGAAAAGACGGTATTTTATAGCCGCATCACGGCGATATATAACGTTGTACAAGATCCAGTCGGTAATCTTGCAAGACGAAACACGATGTTCAGTTTAACGACGTTCGTTCTTTACCGCCGCGCCGGTTAAAAACGATATCAAACTCCTACGGTTCGAACGGTAGTTCAAAGCTACGCGTTTACGAACAGGTATTCTAAATGGATTATTCTAAACTTGCTCGTGCTCTTTTAACACCGTCCGTTGCGAAATTTCATCGCAATTTCAAAGCGCGCCGGTATTAACCTTCGGACAGCGCGCGTACCATGCCCCAATTTTAACTTAATTCTCTATCTCATATTATATTCATTTTTTCAAATTTTACACTATTCCTTTATTCTTTCAATATATGAAGGTATTTTATTTAAAAATTATACATTTAACTTTAGGTCACGAATGACTGAGAATCCGATGTTTAAGAATCGATATTATTCTAGGATACGTTCTAATATCAGCGTCAATTTTTTGATTGAAACCTGTTTGCACGCTCTTCTGACGAAATAAAATAACCAATTGGAGAAGAAGGTATAATAAAACTCGCGTAAACTGTCAGTTCTGGAGGAATGGTGATTTATTCGGAACGCGATCGGATATCTTTGATTACCCTTTCCCTCGACGATGTCCAGCAGCATTCTGATTTTCAATGCAACGGGATCGTGCTTTGAAACGATAGAATCGTATGCGCGATACCTAACCGTACGGGCCGATATGCGATACGCGATTTACGACACTCCGTGTCCGAAGCCCCGAATGTCAGCCAACAAACGCGATAATCATTTGCCAGTGAATTTCTAATCAAATCGAAACGGTGTGTAATTAATATCTAGTGTAATCCATCGGGTTTCTTTATTTTTAGCTACGCGGTTCGTTTGTACGAATGCTTGTTTGTATAAACGAAAAAAGATGAGGCGCGACAATCCGCTATAATGAATAATTAATACCTGGCGTAATTACGAAGGAAGGCGCGAGAGAAGGGAAACGATGCTTGTCAACGTTTATATAGCACCCGATATGTCGATCTGCCATTTATTGTACGAGATTCTTCTAATAGTCGCAGTAATATCGCGGTTTCATCGAACGAATAAATACAGGGTGTTCGACAACAGGTGGGAAAAATTTTAAGGGGTGATCAAAATAAGACGAAAATCAAGAATAACGAAATAGCGTTTACGGCTTTGTTTTCCAGTTATTAACATTTAAAAATTCGAGTAAAAAGCGCCAGAAACCTGCAATCCGCTCAGCGCCGACGACCGAACGTCACGTCGGCTGGGGTCGGTACAGACATAACCAAGAATCGTTGAATAGTAGAAACTTACCTCGTGCTATTCTGTTTCTCGGTACCGCAGTATTCGGTTTCCATTCTTGGTTATGACTGTACCGACCCCTCCCGACGTGACGTTCGGTCATCGGTGCTGAGCGGATTGCAGGTTTCTGGCGCTTTTTACTCGAATTTTTAAACGTTAATAACTGGAAAACAAAGCCGTAAACACTATTTCGTTATTCTTGATTTTCGTCTTATTTTGATCCCTAGAATCACCCCTTAAAACATTGCCCACCTGTTGTCGAACACCTTGTATAACTGTACCGACCCCTGCTGACCTGACGTTCAGTCGTCAGTGCTGGGCGGATTGCAGGTTTCAGGCGCTTTTGGAAAACAAGGCCGCAAACGCTATTTCATTATTCTTGATTTTCGTCTTATTTTGATCCCTAGAATCACCTCTTAAAATTTCTCCCACCTGTTGTCGAACACCCTGTATATCAATGGGCGATCGAAGACTATAAAACTGCGTCGGAAGAACGAGCCGAGGGGCAATATGAAAGTTCGATTGAATTTTCCGATTTATAATCGCATTTCAAACGTTCGTCTTGAAATTTCAAATTGTTTCCATCGATCGCTCTCTAACGAATATCCGCAAATATTTCACTTTTCGATTGAACTATTGAAAATGAAAAAAAGAAGACTGCTTTTTCGAATGGAGAAAACGGCTCGAAATGCGATAAAATTTCAGCCAAGAAATAATTTTCTTCTTTCTCCGAAAATATGAAAGCATGATAAGGTGGAAATGTGAAATATGAAAATGCAAATCGGAAGATTTTCGAAGGTACGAAAAGGCCTTCGCTCGTTCCATCGAGTCTTCTCCGGTTCGTTTTTCCGTGGGATAGGTATTGACAATTTTATCGGAAACGTTCGCGAGCAAAGTAAAGTCTTTACACGTGAAATTGCGGTACACGTGTTATTCTATTCGTGGTTATTCTTTAAAAGGTTGTAAATTGAGCGAGTGTGTGTAAGTACGTAAAAGCGTGCCGTTCATTGATTTATCGCTGGTCGGACGCGTTAAACGATTATACCTTTTTCAGTACATATTAATAAACCTGAAAATATAACTTTTCGACAAAAGGCTTTGCGCTACTTTCCGGCTGAAAATGATTAGAATAACTAAAATAGACGGAGACTAAACTCTTAGGTAATTACCTAGGTAATCCTTCGCGCCACGGGATGGTAATCGAGTACGTTTAACACTAGAAGAAACACGATTCGGCAACCACCGAGGAACCTTGCTACCGCCAACTTTGCAATCTCCCATGCAATTCCTCCCTTATTCGATTAGCTTGCCGACTAGTTTCCGCGATACTCTGGTAGCCGAGACTCGCCGGCGACGCAGCTGCGCGCGTCCGACCTTCCGGTCCATCGAAAAAGCTCGTCTACGGGTCCGTCACAGCAACAAGAAAAAGTGGAAAACTTTTGAACGTAGGTGACATCGTATCGAAATCCATCGCTCGCGTTTCCTCTTACGGCGCACCTGATGCTGGACGCATTTTTGTATAGCGTCAGCGGCGGTCCGTGCTCCCCGCTCGGAGGATAAACGAAGACTTTGTTCAAATTCGTTCTATCCCAACTGTCCTTCGGCTTTGCTACCCTTATATTCGACCGATCGATCGGTTTCTTCTTCGAGATGGAACCCGGATGTTCCTTCCCGCAGAGACAGAAGCGTTCAGGAGAGTCAGGAGAGCGCCGCAACGTCTTCAACGACAGATCTACCGAGTTCGAACAGCAACAGGTTGTACCGGAATTCTTTCTCGCCAATGAATCTCCTTTTCCACATTTCCGACGGCGAGGTAACGTGGAAAACGTATCGGGAGACTGTTGAACACGGTCCTCCATGGCATTCGCGTCGATTCGCTCGAATCGGAAATCTTTCCAACTGCAACGCGATTCGAATGGCAAACCTGTACCCACGGGAAAAGCGGCACTGCTTTCCACCTTGGTTATTCCACCGGTCCTCCTATACTTTTGCGTCGACTCGGCCTCGTTCTTCTTCTCGTTCGCCGTCCCGTATGGAAATGCAGCGCCGTTTCCGTCCTTCGTTGTTCGAACCTTCGACGAATGCTGATTCGTTCGAAATGTTTTATCTTCCGGTGCTCTGCTGAAGGTTCGCAATTTTACAGCCGATTTGCAACAACCTTCTTCCTCTTCTTTGCCTTCTCCTCCGCCTCCTTTTCGACCATTCTTCTTCGAATCATAAACATCCAGGGAGGTCTCGCGCGATCGGTGGATAATTCTCCTTTCTATTTCTATATCACTTCCTTCCGCACGATCGAAACCTTTTCTTCCTCTTAAACTTAGACTGTTTGCCTGTTTGCTCGGCCCTTCTCCGTTTTTAGCTTCCTCCACCCTCGGCTTCCTTCTGCTCTTTTTCTCCGATTCTTCTATAGGTTTCTGCACCGACTTCGCATTGTTTTTACTCGTGGAAGTGTTTGTTCTATCGCTGTACCTTAGATTCCGATGGGTTTTCCGAAAGCCAGACAGCTTCTTTTCGCAGGCAGAACCAGAATATCTGCGATATTTCGACTGATCGGTTGTTCCAACAGTTTCCTTTTCATGATACTGAGAACCGAATCGCTTCTGATCATCCTTCTTTTCCTCTTGTTGCTTCAATAATGCTTCGCAACGTAGAATTTCCAGACTGTTTAGATCGTCTTTGATCGGGAAGAAACGGGAGAATCGCGCGATTTCTGCACCATCCTGCAGGATTCCATCTGCACAGGTGCAAAAGTGTTTCCACTTTGAACGAAACGACGGCACCGAACTGTTTTGCCAATGTACGTTAGTATCGTTGTGTTTCAACTCGGTCACCCGCCCTTCGGACCGGCTTTCGGTGATTCCGCAATTTGTTGCCTTCGGACATCGTCGGCAAATCTTGGACATAGTTCGATAACATTTTGCATCGTGGTCCTTCTTTAAAGATTCGATACAATCTTCCAAATCCCTCGGTCTTCCATTCTGACAACCGATCGAGCGATCTTTGGAAAAATTCCAAACTCTATCGATCTCTTTACGCGACTTCGTTTCTCTTTCCGCTTCGTTCCTCGAACGCGTGATGCTTTTCACGCAGGTATCATCGTCGATATCTCGCAGGAACGCTTTCTCCAGTTTCTTATAATAATTCAACAAATCCTTTCGTTTCAAGATTTCCTTGCAGCTTTGAATCTCGTCTCGGCCAGCCAACTTTTGCATCTCTCCCCGCGGCTTGATCCCTGATCACTGATTTCTCTTCGCGATTTCTTTCCTGCTCTCGTGCCATAACACAACCCCCTTTCTTGTTTATTTTCAAGAGGAATACGCGTTGGCCACCCAATTCTGGTCAAGGGAATTCATTATACAATAGTAGAAATAGTTTACCAATCGAGCTACTCGAAATTTCCTTCGGATTTGATTTTCGAATCAAATTATATTTCCCATCGTAGAGACTTTAGTTGGTAAGGTTACAACGAACATTTAGGTTACATTTACAGCGAGAATTTGTTTACGTTAAGAAAATAAAAGAATAATCGTTGCTTGTTTCTGTCAAATTGGATAATTGATATTTCATCGATCGTTTGTCCTATAGTATTTTCATTTTTATTATTTTTCTTCTTCTTATTTGTATTGCACATTTTATTTCGCGTTACCAAATGGCTCTTTATAGGATCGCTTTGTAGACGGTTTTGTAATAATGAACGACTTTAAAGAAGATTTTCAAAGGTTGGTTGAAACACGTCCGATCGAAATTGCGACGATTATTCTCGTCTGCGGCGTTTTTTATTATATTAGAAGATACGTTTCCACGTAAATAAAACTCCCCCGTTTAACGATGAAAAGCAACGACATCGCAGAGCATCGATAAATGAAATATTGCACTATGCGGTACGATATAGCCTTGTCAGTTTCCGCTTTGTTAATTCTGTAATTGTAATTCATACTCGTTTGCTTTTATTGTACGAGTTACGTTTCTCGATTCTTTCTTTTCAGTTCTCCTCAAACGCTCTGCTCTCGAAGAAAACGGAGATGCATCGTTTTAACGTGAAACTTAAGAAATATACATTTCCCAGTTCCCAATGAAAATACCGGAAACAAACCGAACGAACGCATGCCATCATGTGATTGTCTTACACGGAATATGCAAGGGTTGATTTCTCTGAAAACGGTTTACTAAAAAAAGATCGCTTTTTGAGTAAATATGCAATAAAAAAAGAAAAAGTTAACACCCTTGTTTATTAGTAAACGTGTCCCTAGTTATGCTGCGTCTACAGTGCTATTCGCGAACAGATGCGGAGCAGTTTGCCAACAGCTCTTTCTCGAATAGCGTTCGCTGTTCGCTAAGGAAGCTGCGGTACATCAAAGGGCTCAAAACGTGTCTGGGCGCGTTGAAATACCGCTTCATCGAATTTGACGATTATTCATTAGGAAGCGAACAATCGTGCATGCGTTCGCGTTCTGTTCGCGAGTTGCTCGCGAGCTATGTATAACTGAGCTCTAGTGTAAATTCTGCTCGCAAACAGTTCTCAATGAGCCCAGTGTAGATCCAGCATTAGGGTAACTCGATGGGGTATACTTCCGAAAGGCCCCATCACCCCAGGACAACCAAACTTCGGATTTATAGTAACTGAGGGACAAGAAATCGAATGAGACCATTTTCAGAACTGGCAAATAAACCGTTCTCGAGATATACAGGGTATTCTAAAAGTGCGGAAACCCCCTATTACCTCGATAAGAACATATTTTCACGGAAAATGACTAACCTAACCTAGGTTATGGTTAGGGTTAGGGTTAGGTTAGTCATTTTGCGTAGAAATGCGTTCTTATCAAGATAATGGGGGGTTTCCGCACTTTTAGAATACTCTATATATCTCGAGAGCGGTTTATTTGCCAGTTCTGAAAATGGTCTCATTCGATTTCTTGTCCCTCAGTTACTATAAATCCGAAGTTTGGTTGTCCTGGGGTGATGGGACCTTACGGAAGTTTTCCCCTCGATGTTATATACAGGGTGTTAAAAAATTCCCTGAAGACCTCTAGCCAATAGAAGACTACACGGAATCCGAGTCTCCGTTTGCTTGCTCCTCCGTCGCAACGCGACTCTCGGAGTGGCTTGGCGCGCGGCGCAGCGGTGGCAGAGGAGGCTAGTCTCCTACTTCGCGGGTCTTGCCACTCAAGCTGCGCGCTGATTGGTCAATTTTTCAATTTTCAACAACAAAATGTGGCTAAATTAGTGAGCCTATCGAAAAATGCCACAGAACTTTTCGCTTCGATTTTTCGTGATCTATCCAACAGTTTAGAGGTCTTCAAGGAATTTTTTAACACCCTGTATGCCACAGTTAAGTTTGGCTAACAGTTAACTATAAGTAGTTATAGGGGAAAGGATAAAACTATTCAATAATACAATTAATTTTATGTTTGTTGATAAACAATTACAGATGTCTATTATTATTATTTATTATTATTGTTAGTTGAGGCTAGCCGGGCACTCAGTCCTTGGGGACCATTGTACCCGGGCCGCTAGGCAGCCTCCTTACTGATTGTGCCTAGGAAGCTGGGCTTCTGTTGCAAATTTTAGAAGCACCGGCACCAGGCCAGCCGAAATGCTTAATGATGAGGGTTCCAAGGTCCCCAGGATTGATCCTCTTAGGGCCCTTAGTTCCCTGCATTTAGATGTGCGTGGAGAGGTGTTTCGTCCTCCGCCCCACACCTCGGGCATGTCGACTCCACTGAGAGTCCCATGCGTGCGAGGTGTTTCTTCGTGTATGTATGTACCAGTGTCCTGTCACTAGGCCCACGAGCATGCGCAGTTGCACCCCGTCCAGGTGAATTAATGTGTCACCCAACTTCTGAGACGGTCCCTCAAGTAGGGCCCTCGTGTGTCTCATACCGTTAGCGTTTTGCCAGAGCCTGGTGAATTCCTGGTTCAGCCATTCTTTAGCCAGGCCCTTTAACGCATAGGTTGAGACACCAATAGGGTGCTCCTGGTATGGCTGAGAGCTTGTCGCCCCCAGTCGCGCCAGTTCATTCGCCCTTTCGTTACCTAAGATACCAGCGTGACCTGGTACCCATATCAGCTTGACTCTGTTATTTAGAGATAGCTGTCTCAGAGTCAGTGCGCAGTCCCTGACTAGCTTAGACCCGACCTCCACTCTGTGGAGGGCTCTAAGCGCAGCAATGCTGTCAGTGCATTACAGATGTCTAACTCATATACATATAGTTTAATAATAAAAGTAAAAGTTCAATGGCTTTGAAAGTGGCATCTTACCCAAATAGTGAAGCAATAGGCTATGCGATATGCAGTGATATCCCTTAAACCCTGTATTAGGAAGTAATGATTAAAAATTCATGAAAATCAATAATTAATCAATAATACTTTAAATTAGTAAAAATAGTGATAACCAAAAATCTTCGAAATCGATGAAACATACAAATATTGGAAAAAATACTATTTTTTTACGAAGTGAACAGTCCTCACAGTTTTCAGATAGAATGCGCCCTTCATGGACCTATCTTTTGCAACTATTCTTAAACTATTCTTCGTTTAAATGTACGATATGGTATACCATAATCTTTAAAAGCTTGCCATATTGTAGTACGAGCCTCCTTCACCATCTTCGTGGTTTCTTTTAAACTTTCTTCTAACCAACAAATATGAATTAGAATATTTTTTGGGCATTGTTCTAAAGAAGAAAGAACAACTGTAGCGCATAAAATAAAGAGATGTTGTACATTCAACTTTTGTGGGTAATATGCCACTTGTAGCATCTTATATTAATAAATGTGGCATTTCACTCCACAGAACCATAAATAAAGTAGAAACCACGCGGATTTACTCAATGTTTGAGATGTTATACAATTCATTTATGAGTGTAGTTTATTATCATTTATTAATTAACTGCTAGACTAATCACACTAGTGAATAATATGTATTCTAATTGCAGCATAGAATGCAATAAGACGATAGTTTTGTTACGTTCCCGTCTCTGAAATTTTCTTATTTGCAGTTGGATGCGTACATCCAGCAAAGTCAAGTTTTCCAGAAATTCGGGACCAACGCGAAGCAAGGACGCGGTCCCTCGGAATCACGTAAAGTCCATCCCCACTACTCTTTTTACTCCAATTTTTAGGTATAAAAAGGGGTGACGGCGAAGGCACCTCGGGTCTAGTTAAAGTCTACAAAGTACGTTTCTCTTACGGATAATCTCTGCGACGAGAAAACTCTGCGAGATCGGTCTTTATACAAGTCTCCTTCAAGCTACTGTAGTAACCATACAGTACATTATTTGCAGTTAGGCATTATTATTACCGTTGTAGTTCGCCCTCGTTCGCTCGCGTTCGTTAAAACCGAGGACTAAATTTTCTTGCTTCGCGAAATCGAAACCAAACTCTCTTAATTCAATTCACTTAAAATTGTAAATCTAGAATGAAATTCATTCAATACTGCGACAGTTGCACGCAACAGTTGTAAAGTCCCGGTAACAAGGAGAATAGATTCAGATCTTTCTATAACTTACATATTGTTGTTCAATTGTAATAACCTGTCCAGAGAACTCACTAAGGGGCTGAACTTTTACCGGACCCAAAATTTTGCACCTTTTTTATTTGAATCTGTAGTTTTTGATGCGGAGAATCCAAAAATGCAAGTCTCAACTTTAGGAATTCAGTGGTTAAAAAGTTATAAGCGTGTAAAGTTTGACATTTTTAGAGGATTTGTTACGTTACTGTGACGCCATATTGACTTCTTGTCCAATGAACGGTGTCGCTAGCTGCAGGCAGATTCACGTGGGTGCCGACTACTTTGGCGGGTAAATTTGATACTGTCTGAGTTAGTTAGGTGTATATTTTTTTAAAGAGAGAGAGAGAATTCAATTTTATGAATAATTTAAATACAGCTAGTGATGGGACTCATACCCAGCAAATAGAGTCAAATTGGCGGCCGGCAAAGGACTGGAAGAGGGGGAGGAGTCGTTTTCACGACGAGGAATTTGCCGATCGCTTATGCGAATATCTGTGGCGACGGTTTTGCCGTCACAACAACATAGACCTCATGGGATCAATGATGAAAGCGATTCGGAAACAATATGTTTTTAATTAAGGTAAGCGGAAGTTTAGTTCTACGCTATGCGAGGACCAATCAGGTTATACATCTAAGGCAATATGGCGTCACAGTAACGTAGCAAATCCGCTAAAAATGTCAAACTTTACACGCTTATAACTTTTTAACCATTAGATTCCTAAAGTTAAGCCTTGCATTTTCAGATTCTACGCATCAAAAACTATAGATTCAAAAAGAAAAGGTCCAAAATTTTGGGTCCGGTAAACTAAAGTTTTACCCACTAAGGTGTACCTTAATCGCTCGAAGTGCACTAATAATTCACATTAACATTTCCTGCGGCTCCTTAAGTTAGCCATACGTAGGGTTCGTCCGCATATCACTCTCTCAAGGTTCCCTACGTTAGCCATACGTAGATTCGTCCTCACATCTACTTCCTTAGCCTCCCAGTCAGTGCCGGCGTTAGGAGGGGATGCGGTCGGGCAATCGTCCAGGGCGCTAGATCTGTAGGGGGCGCCGCAGCCCGGTGTCCCTAGTATGCAAATACAATACCGATAATTTCTCATTGTCTTTTCTGTCTATCTACATCTCATATGTAATATTACTTATATGCTATATATGCTGCGGCGTTTATGTCTACATCTTCCCTGACGCGTTTTTTAGCCCCTGAATGGCCACGATAATCTTGCCCAGGGCGCTAATATTGCTAAAACCGGCACTGCTCCCAGTGTTAATAACAACACTGGTCAAGCCATTAACAACTCCATAACCGAAATAAAGTCCCAGCTACCCAGCCGCCCCCTTCGGCTCGTAACAGTTTTAAAGGGAAATAAAAGTAAATATTTATTGTCATAAGCGGTTACATTAAATTAAACAAAATAAACACGTAATTATCGTAATCTCTGAACTAAATAAGAAAATATTGAAAAGTGGCATATTACACCGAGTTACCTAACCTATATGGATATACGCCACGATGACGACGCTTTTAAAAAGGTCATTGGAAATTAAAATCTTTTTTTGCCGACAGGCTTTCCAAAGTTTAATTAATAAAACCGTGGCGCGGCGAAGCGAATTATCGGTGTATTTGGTGCACGGTGTTACCAGGTTGCACGTGTACATACACCTGTGCATACAGAGCAGGACGTGTTGGTTAACGTGCATCGAGTTTTTACGAAACACCTGAACTTTTATATACGAACGTTTATTATGTACTTATCTACGCGTATCTTCAACGCTCGAAAATACTAGAAAAATAATCACCTTCGAATCGGACATGTACATTTCTTTTGCTCCTTATTTTTCCGAGACGGGAAACGGAGAAATTTCTGTTCGCGCCATCAGAGGAAAGATATTTGCCGTATAAGCAGAAGGTTCCCCTTTAAAACTTTCAAGGAGCTGAAGAACGTCTACGATTCTCTTGTTTCTCTTTTCTTTATCGCCAAATTCGACCACCATCGTTTCGCTTCTGCTCGATTCGTTTGCTTCTGGAACGAAACGGTGTACACTCACGATCAAATCAGACTTCCCCAGGAAAAATGGTGATATTCCAGATTTTCACCATTCCCCATGGGGTTTTTCGTGTTCGAGGGTTTCAGGGTTCCTGGCCCTTTCCCCGAGAACTTCCCCTTAGGCCAGGCCTGTCCAAGTAGGGGAATCCACTCCTGGAACACATGTTTTGGGTCCCCTTCCAACGCTGCTCCTTCAAGTAAGATGGGACGGTTCCGACTACCGTGTCTCCGTCTTTCCTAGCGGCGGTACTGTCTCCTCGGAGAGATGGTAGTCGGAACCGACCCATCTTACTTGAAGAGCAGCGTTAGAAGGGGACCCAAAACATGTGTTCCAGGAGTAAATTCCCCTACTTGGACAGGCCTGCTTTAGGCCATGCCGAGGAGAATGACGGTGCAGGGGAAGAGGCCCTGTATACAGTCCTGTGACCCCCCAAGCACTCGCGCGAAAAACGTTCACGCGGGAATATTTCAAATGATATTATTGCTCATGTTTCTCAATTATGTAATTTTCATAATATTAAAAATCATATTATTCGGTTTCTAAATTACTTTTAATATAAATGTTTCTCCTATATTACCATTTTCTCTACGGAAACTTGATTTGATCTTAAATGTATACAAGAAAACTAATAAGATGTTTCAACAATTTTCAATGTTTTCTATATATTATAAAATAATACATTTTCGAAAATAAATCGAATAATGAATTAGATTAAAGAATGAAGCACCTGTTATTAAAACTCAAAAATTGTAATTGAAACAAAATGTTTCAACTGAACCAATTGAAATGTATTATATAATATATAGTTATAATTTCTGTTTCTCCTATATCACCATTTTCTCTAAGAAAGCCTGATTTGATCTTGAGTGTACATGTAAACGCGTTCGTGTGCGAGTCGCGCTCCAACGATTCCAAAGGTGCGTGAGTTACAGTCAAAGGTAAGATAAAGTTAAAGGTAAAGGTAGGGAGGGGCTAAAGGTAAAGGTAAAACTAATGGTAATGATAACGATAACGAGGAAGCCAAAGGTAAAGGTCATCCTTGATTTCTTGTCGATGTCGCGATGCGATGTTACGCGAAAAAGATTGATCATCGTTAAGAGGAAAGAAGAGCAACGATTCGGAACTGTTTCAAACCGATTCTTGCGTATCCTCATCTGCCCTCATCTCAACTCGTCTCATCTCATTCCACCTTTTTCCATCCCCATTCAACCCCGATGCTCGGCTGTAAATTGCAACGAACGCGGCTATTTTTGTTTTCCCTTCGTTTAGAAAGGAGGAAAATCATCGTCCGATGCCGAGGAATATCGCGATGGAATACGCGTTTTGACACCGACAATCTGTCCAGTACACAGGCTTCAATTATCAATTAATCTCTTATCGATATCGATATCGATGCTTCCGGCGAGTCTATCAACGGGGTAATTTCTTTATTATACGTATCAGTTTATTAACATTGGTGAAATAGTTGCTGTTTGGAGATTTCAGACGTAAACGAACGTAATCTCGATCGACGTGGGTAATGAGCGAGGAAAGGTGAAATTACCTTCGACTGGTTTCGAGGAAGGTTCGTTGAATACGGATCATCGATTTTAAGAGAAAATATGGAACGGAGACGGCGGAGTGGAGGCTCGTTTCCAACGATTACACGAGCGACCGATCCGTGAAGAAAAGCTGCTGGCTCACCGCAGAATCTATACGACACCAGCTGGAACAACCCCTGCTCTGCTCCTCTCCCTTTTCTCTCCTTTTCCACCTCGACCGGCTTCCCACCCTCCGATCTATCCTTTTTCTCTCCTCTTACCTGTCTCTTTATCGAGTCGAGAAATCCTCGCTCCGTTTATTCTGCGTCAACCAGCTAACTAACCTCGACGCTCCGTCACGCTTGCCCGTCGCGTCGACGCGACGCGGACCTTTTACCGATCGGTTCGACGCTTCCTCGCTAATTTTGCTTTCTCTCCTTTCCGAAAACTTTGCCTAGAAAATCTTTTTCACCGTCGATCCGTCTACCTAGACGTTGATAGCGCGACGCGCGAGAGAATAAGCTTTCGGGCTTAACGATGGAAATGCCGCGCCGGCAAATATCCGAGCTTCGTTTTCCGAGTAAGCTTCTCGAAACTTTTAACTCGGCTATGTTTCACGCTAACTTTAACTTTCGATTCATCGGTATACTCTTACTCTTTAACGAGCCTCGCCCAAGAAGGTAAGCACAGATTAGGAATCGGGACGAATAGTTTGTACTATGATACTTGCCTCCTTGAATCTTTCAATGAAAATACATTTGTGAGGGAAAAAGTTGCGGAATGTCGTTCGGAGGCTCGCGGAAGTTTGATTTGACAGCGATTTAATTGTCGTCGGTCCGAGCGATAGGAAAATTGAATTCGAAACAGAGTCGGTGGAAACCGACTGCGACGTTTCGCCTCAGGTTCGATGCTGCAAAATAGCATTTCCTTTTTGTCACGTGGAACCGACCAGTGACAAATTGTTGGATATCGATCATGTCGCTCTATTTCTACATGCCTATGTGTCCACTTACTTAACTCTTGAAGAGCGGAGCCTGGGTCCATTCTGATACAAACAAGGATATTCTAAAGTTGAATGCATAATTTTAGCACAAAAGAATTTCATGTATTGGAAGAATCATTTTATAATGATTCAAAATAATATGAAGTACATAGGTAATTACATTAGAATTGTGGCTTTCTCCATGGTCCGCCGTCCGAGGGTTAAGGAATTACATACACATACTCTTGAGCTGGGAAATAAGAAGGAAAATGAACAAATTTATTTATAGATGCAGTATTACTGTTTATTTTAAAAATTACATATAATTTTTTAACATATTACCCTGTTAATAATTTCTAAAAATTTCAACTATGTAATGTTGAATTTCAACTATGTTTCACTTCAAATTGAACTTCAACTATGTTGCCATTTGATTTTAACCCGTTTCACTGAAACTCCATCTGTAGAACCAGATATATCTCTCGGAGCTTTCAATAGAAATAAGTTCTTTTAAATTTTCATTAAAGTAGACAAAAAGGAATTAGTATTTGTCGAAATCGATTTTGAAAATGACCACTGCTGGAACCTAAACTTGTAGTTTCCGACATAAATTTTCAACTTCTTTTGTTGATAAAACAGAAACTACTAGGATTTAGTCTTAAGAATATTACCACAAAGTTTGATCCAAATTGGTTCAAACTGCTTTTGAAAACTGCATTTCGATCAAAACGCTATTAAAGTTTCAATTGTCTTACTAGTGGATGCGACAGGCTCTAACTTTTGAAGCTATAAATCCGATAGTTTAAGGTGGATACAGACATGCAACAGAACACAGTAACGTATCTCCGTCGCGCAACATTTGTCGTTGCGCGACGATGTTACGTTGTGGAGGTACACGGAATCTCATGACGTATCATCAGCGCGTAGCATTATGCCGTCCTATCAGTTCATGGTTCGTATGCACATCCAAACTTGCATAGATGGGGTGTATCGTGAATGCGTAACATTTCTTCGATATGACGACGGCGAAAAACCGACAATTGATGGGATGTTACACTGTTGCGGGGTGGCGTCCACACTTGATACACGACGGAATTACGTTACTGTGTTCTGTTGCATGTCTGTACCCACCTTTAGGAATTTTTAAACGAAAGTTCGGGGAAGTATTCTAGAACATAGGTCCTTAAAGTGTGGTCCTCGGACCCCTGGGGGTACGCGAAATTATAAAAAATGATTGCAAACAGTTCAAGAAGACGATGAAAAGGCAAGAACTGCGGAGCAATAAAAAATATATTTTTAAGGCAATAAATAAAACATGAACCTATTATTATTATTATGTTCTGTGATTTTTATATCATTTTTTTTTATTTTTATATCATATTGCTTAAAAATTATTTAATATTTACATTATTATTTATATTTTTGTCAAAAGTTGACTTTTTTTCATGTTTTTACATTTTATATAACTAATAAACAGAACCTAATAATAAGAACCCTCCCCAAGTTTTCTGAGGTTTCCAAAAATTTCTCAATTAAATTTTATAATTAAATTTTCATTTATTTTACTTTCTTTATCTATTTTTTTTTTTAGAAAATATTTTTATAAAATGAATAATTTTAGAATTTTTCTCTTTTATATTTATTGGATATTTAAATTTTAATAATTCAAATAAAATTCCAAGATTAATTTATTTTTTTATTTCTAGAATTTCTAGTTTATTAATTTTTATAAATTTTATTTATTCAATAAATTATTTAATTATTCAATTTAAAACTAATATTAATTTAATTTTAATATTTAGATTATTTTTAAAATTAGGAATAACTAGTAATAAGAACCCTTGTTCTAGAAGAATATACAATTTTTGAAAAATTGATTTTTGATACTTTATCAAAGGTATGTAACCCCTTAAAAACGACTTTAGACTTTTTTGTTTTTTACAGAATGATCATCCATTCGATCGCTTTGCTGCTGGTATCGATTACTTTTGCGTGTGCCGAAGAATCCGCGCCGAGTAATGTTGTCGCCGACAAACGTGGCTCCTCCATGGGCTTTCAAGGAATGCGCGGCAAAAAGGAGTTTGATTCTTCGCTGTACGATCAACTGTCGAAACGAGCACCGATGGGCTTCCAGGTAAAATACTAGCGAATAATATGAAATTAAAAAATCAACATATTCAATCCGATATTCTGCACAATATGTTACGCAGGGTATGCGTGGAAAGAAAAACTCGATAGTTGGAAACGAACTTCTTCCGGAGGGCACCAACAAACGGGCACCAATGGGATTCCAAGGCATGAGAGGCAAAAAGAACGGTTTAATGGGCGACTTGGAGGATTCGTCGTTTCTGTACGACGATTACGAGAAGAGAGCACCGATGGGCTTCCAGGGTATGAGAGGGAAAAAGTCATCCCCGGAGGATGGATATTACAAACGCGCCCCGATGGGATTTCAAGGAATGAGAGGCAAAAAGTCTCTCGATGAGGTAAACAAATTTCGATTAACACCGCTTCGATATCTACAAATTAAGAAAAAAAGAAATAAAATAAATTTGGTAACGTATACAGTCGTATTGACCCTTATATAATGATTGACCCTTTTCTTAAAAAAGTAAAAAATATTATATAATTATATAATTATATTTTATTATTTAACTCTTGAACAGCGAAACCTGGGTCAATCGTGATCCAATCAAGGATAAAGTTAATTGTATAATTGTTAAACAAAAAAATTTTATGTATTAGAAGAATAATTTTTAACGAGACTGTAGAAAATTGAAAAAATTAAAATAATCCGAAGCACAGAATTAAATTAGAACTGTGGTTCTCTCCGTGGTCCGCCATCCGAGGGTTAAGAAACGCGTTATAAATATACAGGGTGATTCTCTCGGCGCGCAACACAATAGCCGTCCTTTACAATGGAACCTTGCGGTTGTTGCGGGTAAAGAGACCCAGAGGCCATATCGCCGGACCCAAGACTGCTCTGTGTGTGTTTATGGCTGAGACGAAGACAAGAAACGAAACAGCAGGGGTTCCATTGTGTGGTACGGCTATTGTGTTGCGCGCCGAGAGAATCACACTGTATTTTTTACCTTTTTAGGAAAAGGGTCAATCATTGTATGCAGATCATCAACTGTATACATACATACGTTATACTACATCGCGTTAACTTATTTGTTCAATTTCTTATAAACAGATTGTGGAGGAAATTAGAAAGAGAACTGCTACGAGGTTCCCAGATCCACGAGAAGAATACTTGATCGATTATCCAGAAGATTTAGCTGATAGAGGAACATGGTCAACAGTATATCAAAGTATTTGCGACAAGAACGAGGATATTGCAGGAGCCTCCGCGGGATTTCAAGAAAGCAGGGGCAATAGAATTATTCTCGACGCGTTGGAAGAACTCGAGAAACAAACTGATATGGATTTTCACGTTAGTTTACATACATACATTTTTTAGGCACTTTTCTCTTCTATTCTTTTTCTACTTGGTTAAACGCAGTGGCGGCTTCTAAAAATTGACCCTTCGTGCAATTAAGATTTTTCTGGGGTGGACCAGATACTATAAAAATTTTGAAATGTTGAAACTGGAATTCTGGAGTTTTCAAAATCTAGAACTTTGGAATTCGAAAATTTTAAATGTTGATAATTTTGAATTCTGTAATATTGAAAATCTGAAATTTTCAAAATCTAAAATTTTCAAATTCGAAAATTTTGCAATGTTGGTAATTTAGAATTCTGGAATTTTGAAAACCTGACAATTTTCAAAATCTAAAATTTAAAAATGTTGGTAATTTAGAATTCTAGAATTTTGGAAACAAAATTTTCAAAATTTAGAATTTTGAAATTCCAAAATTTTTAAATGCAATTTGGACTTTTGGAATTTTTTAATAACCTGAGAATTTCAACATCTAAAATTTTGATAATCAAAGATATTAAAATTTTGGAATTTTGGAAATTTGAAATTTTAGAGTTCTGGAAATTTAGTAATATAGAATCTTTTAATTTTGGAGTTCTAAAATTCAGAAATTTTGGAATCCTTAAATTGTCCTCTACCTAAATATTTACGCCAATGGCTGTAATAATACTAACTGTAGTAATATAACAATAAAACTAAAAATAATTTTATCTAGAAAACAATCGATGGTGAAATTGTAGAAAAGGCGCTCCTTCTCCGATTTCGATAATTTTTAAATATATTGTAAAATTCGACATTTTGAGCAACTTTTTTGCTCTACGCTATACGTCGGACTCGATTAGTTTGCGAGATATTCGCGAAAGAAAGAATATTATTACTACTACATATAGTGAATTTCGGCTATACGTATGCATCCGTGGCTGTGCGTGCATCGACCCGTTTACCTACCGTTTCTTTAAACAGCACCTTGGGATCCGACTTCTATTCATACAATGGGTGAACCGAAAAATCAAATTATGACATTGTCCAATGTCAAGCAAAAATTATCACAAGTCCAATAACAAAATTATTGAAATTAGTTAACTTTAATTTTAAGTTCACCCGTTGTATGGACGGTAGCCGGGTCATGTGGTGCTATTGACAGAAACAATAGAGAAGCGAGGGTCGCTTGCTGACGCACACACAGCCGTGGACGTATACGTACACTGAGTTGCATTGAACTTGTCGCAGTGAAGTTGGCCACGCATTCACTCACAGACGCGGCGTGAATGCGTTAGTGAATTTGTAGCCAACTTCACTGCGACAAGTTCAATGCAAGTGTACAGGCGAAATTCAATGCAGCAATACTGATGATTTTTCGTGAACATCTCACAAATTAATCGAGTCCGACATATAGCTTAAAGGATAAAAGTTGCTTAAAATGTCGAATTTTACAACATATTTAAAAATCATCGAAATCGGAAGGAAAGCGCCTTTTCTACAAGTTCACCAAATCGACATTACCGATTTCGATAATTGTTTTTAAAATGATATCATTTGAAACAGAAACTTTCATTTTAGTTTGAAAGAGCTGCACCCCTGCAGCTCTGCAACCCACTAGCCCTGACGCAAGAACCGCCTCTGATTAATCGTATACTCCCACTGGCTGAATGCCATTCAAAACGAAAACTTTACATCGCTTTACTTTACGTTATTTTACTTTGCTCGGCAGGGATTGCGAGGTAAGAAGGATCCGTTTGACAATTACTTTGATTACTCGATCACTCCGTCCGATTACGAGAAGAGGGCTGTGGATCTGCAAGATAGCGAAGGTAGTGAATCCTTTAAAAGAGCCAGGATCGGCTTTCACGGGATGAGAGGTAAAAGAGACGCGGCACAAATTTACGGATCCAATTCGAGCAACGCGAGAACGACGATGGGATATCGTCAAGGTAAACCGAGATACCCGGCGAAACAGGCAACGATTAAACTAAATACGGATATGAATACAGACACGAATACACAGATAGGTTATTTCTCCGTAAATAGGTATAAGTAATCGTGGGAACGAACTGGCGGCGTATGAAATCGACAAACGATCACCCTTCAGATATCTTGGAGTTCGGGGGAAAAAGAATCCACGCTGGGAATTTCGAGGGAAATTCGTTGGGGTGAGAGGTAAAAAATCCTCCTCCCCCTTACAAATCATTGAACAGGGACAAGCCGTCTTTTAATGTACCCCGATATCACATCGAAAGGATGCGAGTGGATGAAGATTCGTTGACGTCATCAGGTAATATTACATCACCGATCGACTAATCCCAACCAAACTAAATTCTTTCCTATTGCTTCTGATTTCAGATGTTCGACGGTAGTATCGTTGTTCCCGTTGCTAACAACCCTAGCGACAACAATAATCACAACAATAGCGTTAGCCTTCTTATCTGAACGCGATAAACGACCGAGTTACTATATGTGTAACAGCGGAAGATAATGTAATGATTTTAATATAGATTTATTTGGTACCATCGTTCAGTTCCATCGATTCATCGCAACAAATTGTATTTCTGCTTTTTCTTAAATATTTATTTATTTATTTGTTTTATGTATATGTTCAAAAGATAAGAAGCTATCAAAGTACTTACTAAAAGTTCCTCCTGGAAGTCCATATACAAAGTAGTCCATAATGTCGCTCATTCGCTTGATACCTATTTAATATCGAGTATCCATTCATAGCGACACATCCTTCGAACATCGATTTTAAATATTTGGGAGAACGATCTCACACTAACGAATCGATACGAGTTACGAACGAATAAATGGTATCGCGATACATAGCAATTCTATTTTTCTCTGAATGTTAAATCGTTGAGATGTATACATACATGAATCGTGTAATTGTATCACGATTCCAAAGGGAAACGTAATATCGTGAAGCATACGAGTAATATGTATTTACCGTTTCGTAATACTTGTCCTGTTTTAGGAGACATTATGGTTACAGATTGATTATAAACGTGATTAGTAATCGTGAATAGTTACCAAACGCATCCATGTATATTTGTCGATTTTTAGGATCTCTGTACAATTTCCCTTTCCTGAGGACTGGACAACTGGATATAGAATCGACGAACCCCTGTATAGTTAATATTCTTTTAGGTTAAGAAAGGGCTCGCAATAGTGCAAAAGGATCTCTATTAATACAGAAAAATCTATAAAATTGTCTTATTTAATATTTTCAAACACACGCTACAATGCCATTCGAAGTCATTTTTTTTCGTCGTATTAATTAATTTTCTGTTACCCGTTGCCCGCATTATCGTAAATCGGTAATTTATAAAATGTATAATTACCGTTTTCTCGTAAAACAAGTTATTCCCAGACTGAGAAAATATAATGAATGTTTCACAATCCATCCAGTTTCCCTGTTTACTTCTTCAGCGAGTAACGTATAAAGTTGCCACGTACAAGAAATAATGGAAAATGAATGCATATTGCGTACGTGTGTGCTCGCGTGTATGTGTGTAAATCGCGAGATACGCGTGACGTACATCTATGTACATTATTTATTGTTTGATAGATTAAACATATTACGTGTCTATGTACCTACATCTAATCAAATACATATCAATAAAGGCAACGCATTATGTTAATTTCTGATGTAAAGGATCTTATATTTTAAGAATTTTAACTTGCATTACTATTAATCTTGCATTTCTATTTTTGTTTCTCTTAATTGAAATGTTCCTTTGATCCCTCGACCTTCCCTACTTTGCATATTTAATTACAATGTTATATCTATTTGTTTTATTCTATGTATGATTTGAAAATTATTATACATTCAATTTTTTACTATTACAGTAAATTTTTTAATTGTCATAATTTGGTGCTCAAATAATACCGTCAACGTCATCTAATAATATACCGTTGAACTACGACAATACCATTTACCTAAATCAGTAAAATAATTTTATCATAGTTCAGCGCTATGTTATCAGATAGCGCTGATAGTCGATTATAATGACAAAGCTACGGTTGTTTCATTTATGTGTGTAAGCAGTGACTACAGTCACTGGCATAAGACTGTAAGTACTTATGTATTTATATATCCTGTATAGCGGAGTGTAGAACATAAGGTTAACTTTACTTTCAAATTGAATTGTTTTCACTGAAAACACACTTATTTTGTATTAAAACAATACTTACTCATTATGACGTACGTATCTTGAATATTAAGATTATTTTAAAATTAATAAAAAAATGATATAACCACAAAATATGTACACATATTACTCAACATATGTTTCAATAATACTAATATTTTGAAACTTTTATGGATAAAAATGATAATTTGTTACAGGTCTAAAGTTACTTTTAAAATAACTCTCACTTCTGATCCAAAACTTCCATTTAAAGTGTAAGTATAGTCATTGATGCATGATATATTTTACAACATTTTTTACATGTGTGTATATTTTACAGTTAATACAGAAATGTCAGAACTAAATTTTCTTGAAGTACTAAACATGTTTGACACATTTTTTGTACTCTTAGAAAACCCAACAGTCAATGAAGAAATAAACAGTGAAAATATTGTGAAAGCTTTTCAATGCGCTTCTTTTATTGAAGCTACAATTGCTAAAGCACATGAAATAGGCAAAGAAAAGGTTCTTGAAAATAATCTTCATAATTATTGGTTAAAAAAAGGCAGATCAAATTTGTATACGTGTCTTGAACTCAAGAATGCCTGTGATAAATTGTTAGAAACATATTTAAAAGATAATAACATTCCAATTGATGTTGTGGATGAATTTATAAAGTTGTATGTTCAATATTGTGGCACTGATAGACTGAATGATATTCTTAGAGATATAGTAATTAATGGAGTGTGTACAAGTATAATTATAGAATCATTAAACAAATTAGGTGTGTCTACTTCTAACATACAGGATGAAGCTCTAATCATGTCATGGGAATTATTAATAAGCAATGATAATGAGTATGAGGTTCTAGAATGCATTCATGATATGTTTAATGATGGTTTCTATTTAAAACTTATTCAATTTGCTGTTAATTTACACGATAGTAGTAGAGTTAAACAACTAATCGGTCAATTATTATCAAACAAACTTGTACAAAATGATGTGAATGTTTGTATAACTCTTGTAAATATAGACAAAAAATCACTTCAGAAATTAATGCAAAAAGATCTAGAATTATACACAAATTTTCTTGATGCCATATTTTATTTTGCACGTCATATGAGGCAGGATCAGAATCATTGGGTATCGAATTGTGAATTTAAATACAGTCATCTTGTCAGAGTAGTACAGATATTGTTAAGTGGTCCAACAAAAATTTCAGAAATAATACACAACAGAGTACAGTTAGTTAAAACACATCCCAATGGGACAATATGGTGTGATATTGAAAAAGATACTAGATGGTAATAACATAATCCTTGTATAATAAGTATAAGGAAAATGGGAAATTAATAACATTAACATGATGTATGACATTATGTGTTTATAATTGCAGACTCAGTGTACCAGATAATACACCTTTCACTGCTGTATTAAAATTTGCTTCTGAAGAGTTCAAAGTATCACCAGCTACATCTGCAATAATTACAGATGATGGAATAGGTATCAATCCACAGCAAACGGCAGGTTAGTAAAATATTGACAACAGAATAAGAAATTTCAAAAATAATACATGTATAACTTGATTAATTTCAGGCAATGTTTTCCTTAAACATGGTTCAGAACTCAGATTAATTCCTAGAGATCGAGTTGGATACAGTAGATGATTTGCAGAATTCATAATAAAACCACGTTATATTGTAAAATATTTCACGTATAAATTATTATCTAAGGTGTTATAATTTTCATTAATAACTATATATAATAACTACTTTTTATATTAAATTTGTTGCCTATAACAGTTAATAAAATTAAATGAAACATTCCTAAAGTTTTAAGTATGCTTTTATAAATAATGTTGTTTATATAGTAAGGAATATTATCGATACATTGAACTTTACACATATACATGTTAATGAGTTGTAATAAATATATTAAAAAATTGCATTCATAATAAATTATAAATAAAAATTTTAAGCATGAATAATTATGGGTAAAATTATACAACTACACCGAATATGTCTTTGATAAAAAGATTTATAAGTGAAATACATGTAAGAGGTATAAGGGCGATACAAAGGTATATTACTACATGATAAAGTTATTTAGCAATCAGTCATAGTGCAATATTAAACACTAAGAAACTTCTTGTTGCAATTAAAATAATTTCTATGACTAAAATTTTTGAATTACACTTAAAGTAATTATAAATCTATTGCTTTAAATGTTTCTGAGAAATATTATAAGTAAAAATCAGTCTCCCTTCATTTTACAGTAACTTTATCATTCCTTTTTCTATTATATCATAGAATAACCAATAACTGAGCCATCAATAACTTTTAAATATATAATTTCTGTATAGTGCAATACACACATGAAAAAGACGAGACTAACAAAATATGCAACAATGACGTTTCTCAGGTGTAGAATATCCGACGGATGGTTATTTAGACATACAAATGTGATTCATAGTGCGGACGATTAAATGGCAGTAATATTTTCTTTTTATAGCGAAGTATTACCTTGTTCCTCTTTGTTTTAGTTTTTACTCCTGTTGTGTATAAAAAGTTTTGTCGTTATTTCTGTTCTACTAGAAACCTTATATTTCTAAAACATTATAAAAAAAGCGTGACGAATGTAGAGAAAAATATACAGCTTTGTCAGTGTAAAGCTTTCAAAATATTAAGCCCATTGGATATAAAAAATTTCATTTATGAACATTTCTCTTCCGTTCTTTTATTTTTGGCACCTCCTTAATCTCTTGTAGAATAAAGATTTGCTGTTCATGATATGGTAAAATACAAAATTGGAATGTTATCCTGGATTGTTGAGTAAACTGAGCAATAATGTACTTTCATCAGTAACTATGAGGGGTTAGGATCTGTCGAATGAGCAATAGCACCATAAGATTCATTTTTTACATATGATTAATTAATCGACATTCAAATATAAAAGTATAAAGTGTGCGTGATTTGATGGTTAAGCTGTAAACTCCACGTTTATTTATACATGTTCATGTACTAAAATGAAGGGGAACTGTGGTCGTATAAAATTGTTAATTGCATAAGTAGGAACACTATCGTATTCTGAGTAATTACAAAAACTATCATTATGGACAGTATTTTACTCCCTTAGAAAACAGTCTATCTAATCAGAGATTATATTTGTGTAAAATTGTAAATGAATATATTTCATAGAAATAGTAAATTATTATATAAAATAGAAAATCATTACTACAATATTGATCTTAACTTCTATACACATATTTATATGTGTAATCTAAAATTTGTCTTAATCGCCAATAAACATGGAATTTACACTTTAATCCTTCAATGACAGATGAATAAAAAAATTCTTTTACTTTAGTATATTCAATGGGTCTTTAGCCGTTTTGTTTCTACAAATATTTTGGCGCAATTGGGAAAGTATGAAAATTGATTTATTCACTACACACGAGACAATCGTTGCACTATTATTTAAGTTCTGAAAAGTGTTGAACCTATTATCTGTATACTTCGCCGCACAATTTAATTATGTGTAATTTTCATTTATCATTCATCTCACCTAATATGTGCGTGTAGGTAAAAATTTCTATTCTTGATCGTGAAAAAGGTATCGTTCACTAATATCACACGTATGGTGGTTACAATATTGTATACACTGAGATTATCATTGATAATGCTCTGTTAAATAAAGAATGTTACGTGGTATTGATAGATACGTATTGTAAAAATCACATACTTCATCAAGACTAATTTTTGTAGACACTGTCACTGCAGTAGAAAGGAGCAATGCTTGTTGAGCAATGTTAACAACTATTAAATTCGTCTTTTTCTCAAATTAACTTTACATTAAGAAATAAATAAAAATAACAGTAGCATAGAAAATAAATACTGATACAAAAAGACTCTAAATGCATGTTCAAACAGTGCCCATTTCTAACTAACAATACCCTGGATATTTGTATATTCTTTAATTATGAATGGTAGCTTAAAAAATAAGAAGATGAAATCATTGAGTATTAGAAATGTTTTAAAGTTACTTAGTTAGTGTAATCAAAACTATTGTCAAATTCTAATAGATTCTTGAGAATATCTGTAAATCTAAATTTCTAACACAGCTCTTACCAATAATTATCCTACATAATTATTATTAACACCAAGTAAATCATAAGATGGCAGTTAATAGAAATTATTTATGATGATAGCTGCAATGATATTTTTTTTCTTTACAAGAACATCTTCCTTAAAACATTGTAGTATGTCATAAGAATTGATGTCCACTTTTATGTTTTTCTTTCTTTTAGGGTTAATTTAGTACGATATTGCGACTGATTACATCTATGTAAAAAAATTACGACAGTTTAAAAAATTACACATGTATCGTTAGTGTTTTCGAATGAACAATTTTTGGAAGTATTATTTCAATTATAAATATCTCTTACCACGTACACATTAATATCGAAATATTTTCGCTTATGATGTGGCATTTAACTTAAAAATAAGTTACGTTCTGAACAACTACATTTAAATTTATTTTATCTTACCAGTTTATTTAAATGACCTACTAATGCTGCTCAATTTTCACTCATCCTGTAATTAAAATAATAAAAAGAAAACATTATTATTATTGTTATTATTATTATTAGGTATAATCAAAATTATTTGATATCTTTATGTGGAGATTATGTTATTCATGGCAATGCAACAAATATTACCCACCCATTCGTGCTCTTCTACACCTTCCATGTGATCCTGTTCCAACGAGCATTGTATTACATCTCCCACAAAGTTGCTCATAGTTTTCTGGATCTACCACACACACGCACACACATTAAACGATACACTCATTGTCAGACAAAATAAAATAGAGAACTACAAAGTTTTATAATGTAACTAAAGAAGTTAAAAAAAATACTCATCGAAGCATGTTGCACTTGTAAGTGAAATACAGTTTAATCGAAGAAGCTGTGTTTTATAACTACTGAAAAGCTTGGCAATAGAGAATTACACAAGACAAAATACACAGAGAATTCATGCCAGATCTTGTTCTTTTAAAAAATATTCTGTACACACTCTTCATATTGTATTACACATTACAATATTTATTCATGTAATTCATGCTTAATTGTATTTAAATATTTACGCACCTCTTCTTGCTTAGCTTTTACATCAGAATTCCATCCAAGTCTGTTAAAAGATTGCACGGATACGGAAAATGGAGCTGCCGGTTGCTGTTTAGCTGCAACAGGTGCAGTGACAACTCCTTGGCCCTGATTTTCAGTTACTATAAATCAACATTTATAATCAATAATGATTCAAAATCACATTATAATCAATAAATTAACATTTTTCTTTTTTAATAAAAATATGAGTCATTTCTACTTACAATTATCCATACCGGGTGGTTTTAGGCTTATTCTGTATGCTTGTTTATTTGCTCCATTAAACCATTCAGTCGCAGTCATGGTTGGTTTCCATGTAACTTTTGTTGGTGGAAATAGGTCATCTTGGAAAAGTTCACTCTAAAATGAATAATAATTAATTTTCTTTATACGTACACTTGCAATCAAAGTAGACTTCCCTAGAGAAAAATGACGTTACACAGGAAGTAAGAATACTCAATAAATATATACCTTTATACGTGGAACTGTGAAACTCAAAGGTTCAATGGTGTTATTAGTTAATCTTAAAGCTGACGCAAATTCTACACTAGCAACATCGCACTTATTCTTGGGAAGAAATGATAAGCCTTGATGCAAACTGCTACATCTATGGTGACTGAGTGGGCAACAGTATGGTGGTTCCTCTGTTACCTCGAAAGCATATATTGTAGAGTCACCCTATAACATATACTTTTTATTAAAAAAAAAAAAAAAAAAAAAAACAGAAACAACTTTCATTTGTATTACTTTTAATAATATCTTACACGCCCTGTTAAGAATAAAGTTGAACTGTCTTCATCATAATATGGCATTAAAATTGCCGGTGATACATCTAGTCCAACTGTGGTCAATGAGTTGTTAAGATTGTCGGTTTTAAACACGTATATTTGTCTCTCTGAAACTCTAAGTATAAACGCAAATTAAAAAATGATAAACTAAACAATTAATTACCTTTCAGATAAAAATATACTTTTTAATTTTACATACTTATCAAAGCCTAATACAACGAGAAATTGGCCTTTCAATGCCCAGATAACTCGTGCGCCTCTTGTGCCAACAGGTCCTTTCCCTGATTTTACTGGTACATCACTGGCTCTTGGTTTATAAATTCGTAGCTTTCCATCCTTGCAAGTACTTGCAAGATACTGACCGCAAGGAGACCATGCTAAACTAAATATTTGATCAGTGTGCCCTGTCAATGTTATTTTTGGAACTGTCAATTCGCTGGATGACAAAAGTGTTAAGTCCCAGATTTTCACAGTCATATCATAAGAAGCTGATGCCAAAACATCTGATGCCAGGGGGTGGAACTTAATTAAATATATTTTATCCGTATGAGCTTTTATAATATGTTTGGGTTCATTTGTTGGTTCTGATAGACCGGATTCTGGGATTTCCCACAATCGAATCATTCCATCATCACACGCAACAGCCAGTCGTTGATTATCAAACGGATTCCACTGGAAATCCATCACAGTGGTACCGTGTACTAATGCTGGCATCACACCATCTGGCAGTCTTCCAGTTTTTTTCAATTCCAGTACCGCTATTTTACCACCTGGTCCACTTAATGGTACAGCGACACGATCAGGATTAGCTATAATTATATCATCAATCAGTTCATTTCATAATACAATAACAATATTTTATACAAAGTATATTACCGTGAAATCCATCACATTCTCCAGATATCTGTCGACTGATATTTCTTATATTTTCAATATGTGTAGATTTATGTCCAGGTGTTCCTTTCAAATGTCGAAATTTCGACACTCTACCTATATATAACAGAAAATATAATTAATACGAACCCAGATTTTAGTTATTCCTCAAATGTTTTATATTTTTCTTACCAAATACAGTGGATGTTCTCTTTGGCGTCGGTGTTACGCTATTATCTACTTTCTCTAAACGTGGATCCATACTTTGCTGACGTAACATAGAGATAACTTTCTTTACCTCGTCTTCCTTGATCACCTCGCTCTTCGTTTTAAACGAATCTCTGCGTCTCAACATCGTTGGCGATCCCATTGCCTTCTCCGCTAAATTTCCATCAGTTACAGATACAGAACGACTTTCGTATAATCGTCGTCTTTCGGCAATGGAATTTCTATTTGCATTACCCCGTTCGAAACTCCCGAGCTCTTCGTTTTCTGGTGATTCATCTTTGCCTTTTATTTCAAACACTTTACGCCTTTCCGCTGTGCTAGGTGTCTTCGGTTTGTAACCGGAGTCGCTGGAATTCGCGTCCTCTTCCAACGAACTAGAATCACTCTTTCCATTTTCAGCTTCTTTGATACGGTCGTTGTTAAATGATGGCGATTTCTCTGATTCAGTGTTATTCTCGAGCTGGTTATTCAAATCATTTTGATAACCATTAGTGTCCGAGTTTGGTGCAATGGGGACTGAAAAGATTTTATCAAAGGAGAAATCTTGAGTGCCAGATTTTGCTTGAAACGGTTTTGGTCCAAGTCGAGGCTAAAAAGAGGAGAAAAATTAAACCTTATTTTTGTTGATAAAATTTCAACCAGTCTAAACTATCCATGATGATGTATTATGATTATAAATGAAATGGAATATTGCTGCACAAGATATCATCACGCATACAGAAGTAGAACATTGTTTTTGTGTTAACGCTATTTTTTTACAACCTTATATCCCCCAATCGCATTAGGATTCACAGATGTAACTACTGAGCCGACGTTTGGTGAAGTACGAGGACGCGCAACTGGCTTTGGTTCGTCCTCGGAAATGCTATTAGTTCTTGACGTTCTTGGCAGAGGTTTCGGTGGAATTGTTTGTCCTCCATTTTGAACCTTATTCTTGTCTTCTTCAACATCTATCTTCTTCGGTTCTTCTATCTTTTCAACGTCGTTCTCAGGTGCCAACTCTTTTTCATGAACTTCTTGAGGCTTTATGTAACCCTTTGGTACAGGGATAGATGCAGATTTCTGTTGCTTTTGTTCCACTTTAATTTCTCGTTCGTTCTCTTTAAGCGTTGCTAAATTTCCCTTGTGTACCTAAAGGTACGGTAAACTCCTTAATGACGCAATTTGAATAAACTATTCAACTCCAAGTTTCACTCTCAACAAATTTTATACAATTCTGTGTCATTTCTACAAGCTTTTTCACATACACACTTGGTTTTGCGTTTAGATTTGAGGAAATCTAACAAAATAATGCAACTACGCTATCAAAAACTTTGAAAATATATACAAAAAAAAATATATGTATCAAAGCGCCTGCCTATGTCATTTCGTACTTTGGATTACTTACGCTGACAGAATAAGCTACAGAACATCAATTGCCATTTAAATTACACGTGCCAGGAATAACGCTTTGAATGGTGCTAATGTATAAACTATAAAACATACATTGGATATCTGAAACGTGAAAAAATATACACAAAACATAAAAAACGAAACGAAACGAAATTAATTGGAAAATAAAACATATATTACCAGCCGAAACAATTTTCTTCCAGAAAGTATAAACTCGTAAAATATTTCAATAATGTTCTACTTCTATATTACTTTTTTATGTACACAATATCACACAGACAGCAATATATGAGTTTGAAAATAATTTATAATAAAAGCTGATTATAAGTATACAATACAACATCACACAATACATTTAAAATATATGAAAACTTATTTTAGGATCAGAAAAATAAATACTAAAAATAATGAAGTGAAATAATGATGATGATAAGCATGCAATTTCAAAAATCGCAAATTCATATGTAAAAGATAAAATTCTAGCATAATGCATTTTCTTCTATATTTAGTTGTAAATACTGTTATGTAATACGAGCCTTGAAGCTCGCAAAAATGATAAATCCTTTTACTTACAGTGATGGGTTCTTCCCCTTTGTTTCTTTTAGCAGGGTCTAATGATATTTTAGGAACAGGCACGTTATGCCCCTTAATCCATGCTGCTGCATTATTTTGAGCAATATAACCAGCTGTATCAGGATATATATCTGCATGGAAGTCTCTGTATGTCTATAATAAAAGTTCCATTTTAATTCTGAACAATAACAGACAGCACTTCTTTTATTTTATAATATAATATACATGCCTTTCTTGGTACTTGATACATGATAGGTATCACCATATTGGAAGTAAGTTGTAGTAATCTGTTAACTTCCGCTTGCATAACATTTAATGCTCGTTTCGGTACCAAACATACTCCTTTCGTTTGTTCCCCGCTGTGACGAATTCCTTCAACCAAGAACGGATCCTTATCCATAACTTCCATGTACATGATAGTTGTATCTCCTTTTCCAGCCAGGAATAGCATATTTGTATCAGGATCAAATAGTGGCATTAGAATTCTATGGAACATAATTTACAAATATAGTCACAATACAATGATCGCAATAAATACTTCGTTAAATGACCTTTACCCAGTGCTGCAATCTAATTCCAATGTTTTTACAGCTTCGTTTAGGTGCCTCAAGTCTCTAATATAAATCTGCCTCAACCTTGCTGCATCAAATCCTGTAGTGAGTATCCTATCGCTGTTATTTAACCAAACAATTCTGGAATCCTTAATGCTCTGATGACTCGAACAAGAATTAACAACACAAGTGGGAACCCTGGGATCTATGATTCTCACTTGCTTATCTTTACAAGATGTTGCTAAAAGCACACCATCTTGTTTCCAACTTAAAGACTGAATAACATCTGTGTGTTCATTGTTAGCTATAATATAAAACAACTATAAATATTTTGTCAATAAATATTTCATATAGAAAAGAAGTATATTATTTTAATTACAAAATAGTTCTTGTTGTGAAATCACGTCCCACAAAGACAGGTTTGTATACGATACTGTTGTGAGAAGATGTTCAGCTGAGGGATGCCAACACACCACTTCCACTCTTCTTTGACGATGGGAAAATGTACATTCAGGATTACATAATGATTCTTCTAAACCAGTTTCTGGAATATGCCATAACTTGACCTATAATAATAAACATTGTAAAAAAATGAACCAAAAGATTAATAAATATTAACACAATTGTAAAATAATTATAATTTACAAGACAGTCTTGCGAGCCAGTAGCTAGTAAACCATCATGAAATGGGGAAAAATCCATGTCTGTAACTGTATCAGCATGAGCATGAAGTAAAGGCATAGTTTTACTTTTTCTACCATAATCTTCCAATGGTAGCACGGCGAGACTAGATCCTAGCAAAATGAAATAGGAAGTGAAAGAAGATCTAATATCAAATATATGCAATATATAAAGATGTAAGTATACCATTATGATCTACATTAAATGCCATAAATGCAGCAGACGCTGCTATATTATTGCCGTAGGTTTGATATGAACCAACTGAGATGTCTCGAATACAGGCCTCTGGTTTAGGAACAATGGGAGCTGCATTTTTATACTTAGACGCTTTAAAACGCCAAGCCATTTTGATGTCAGTGATACAGCTTCTAGATTGGTTTCTTTTTATCTCATGTAATCTAATAAAACAATATTACATGTAAACAATAATTTCCTTTTGTATGCAAATGAGCATACGCATATTTAATTTTCAATTGTTAATTAAATTTATATTATAAGACAAGTAATTAGTGTTTTATAACTAGATAAAGAAGATAACGCTACCGGAAGATTTCGACACCAGCACAATGCTGTGTATGACTAATAATTCGGGGGGTGAGAACCACCCCACCCTTAATCGTTCTAGCTTCGCAAGGAATAACAATGACAATCGGAACAGAATTTCTTAGAATGGAAAAATCAAGAGAGCCGATTGATTTACTTACGAGTCGCGTTATGGCGTGGCTTTGCACGCTTTGCAGAAAATATTAGTATACAATTAGATTGAACAGGCAGCTACCTACTATAAACACAACGACGATGGCAAGTAGGCGTCTCTGATCACGACGGCTGACAGGCGGAAACAGGAAAGTCCCCCTCCAAGGGGCTTTTCTATCTCTGTCGATCACAAGTTGCATCATACAGCGTGTTCCAAAGAGGTAAGAGATTCTACTATGTCATAAAAAAGTCCAACTCAACAGAGAAATCCTTTTAATATAAACAATTAAAGATTTACATTACTTGTAACTTCTTACAGTACTATAAACAGTTAAAAAATAACAATTTTATGAGAATATATGGGAATATATTACAATATTAAATATTTTTAACAAAGGTATCAATATTTAGAAATAAAAGATAGTTTATTATACATACATTCAAAACATATGGTACAATAAAGAAAAAAACTGTATCTTTAAAATTGTTTTCCCTCTGAAGGATTACTATACTTGGATCATAAAGTACAATTATAATTATTGTATTGAAAGATTACAAATTTTGCTCTTTATAGAAATAGTTATCGTGCACGTCGAATACTCTTATTAAATAGTGTTTTCTATAGAACATTATATGCATATTCGTATTTTTAAAACACCCTATACATGTGTAGTTACGTTCCGAAATCAGCTGCAAGTACAGGCAATGTTGGTCTTCATTCTAGCCATTATTTTAGTGTTATAATGTTAAAATAGTACATAGTTTCCAAATTAAATATCTTTTACCATTGTAAAGAATATATTGGTACCGGTTTCTTCATCCAAACTTTCTACGAACAGTAAACAGATTTGTGCAGCGATGGGTAGCACTGTGCGCAGACGCAAAACGTATAGTACTATAATCCCTTGAATTTAAATTCAAAATATAGAGTATAATGTTAATTTCACATTACTCTCTTAGCAAAGCCAATTGCAATAGTGGTATAACTTTTAAAGAAGATAAATCTGCTAAGATCGCCTAAAAATATGTAATTATAAACAACAAATTCATAATTAGACAAAAGATAATATTTTCTTTTACCTCGACACTTTGTTGATTGTTGACTTGTATTAAATTTTCTTTCCGAAAGCTTAAAATGGTAACTGCGAGTAGAGGGATTATTTCCAAAGAATCATAACCCAAAATTAAATCCCAAAGATAGAGCAATTGTTCAGGTGGTAAATGTCCACTGAAGCCTCTCATGATCCACTTAAAAACAACTTTCACCCTAAAAAAGAATATTTAATTAATTGTATGATTAAAAAAGTAAAAATAAGACTTACGGCTGTATATGAATGTTTCTGAAATGAATCCAGAGCAGAGGTTCGTGGCATTGTAGCAATCTTTCAAAAAGCAAACACAATGCTACAATACCTTGTTCATGACTAGATACAGTGTGTAATCGGAACCAATATCTCAAATAAAAGGCGCGAAACGTATAATAGGTGGCGCAGCAGTCGTCGTATAGATAACAAAAAGGAGTGGCTGCAAATAATAATATCTAATTAATTTTAATTAATTACTTTATAATCATGGAAATATATTTTACAGTACCATACATTGCGAAACCATGAAATGGAATCACACCACTTGGAGGGAATACAAGAGTGTTCTCCAATGTCGCTGGTTTCCCTTGTAATACCGCGTGTATTACTTGACCACCCGCACTTTTGTCTGTGGTAACTGGCGCTAATACTTCTGAATCACGAGAAAAGCATAACATTGTTTTGTATAAAACATCTTCAAATACAAAATATTGATCGTCGTTCCGTGCCGTTAATTGTACATCCTAAAAAACCAAAAATATTGCAATATATTTTTAAAAAAGACAGTACTTGATTACCTTTATTATTAATTTATCTATGACAATATCATACTGCAGCACCATGTTCTTTAATTCTTCATAGTATTCTGCGTCCTAAGAAAATATAAAATTCTATGTGTATAATCAAAATAGAAAATAGAAAATAGAAAATAGAAAATTATTTTTAGGAACAGTAAGAAAAGAAAAAATAATTGTATTCGCCCCCGATTGACCTCGATTGAGGGACAAAGTAATATAAGTATCTTGGAAGAGTGAAATAAAGCATTACATTCTCTTTTACTGCTGATCCTAATACCAGGGACCAAAGACGTCCTCGCAGCCCTCTGGGCGCTCCACGCTTCAAAAATTCTTGCGCAATCGGTGCATGATTGGATCTTAATACTTTTTCACCAAGATGGATCCTTTCCTCCTCTAGATTTGCAAAATTCTCCGAGCTTGGCATGTCGGGATTAACTCCTAGCAGTGGCATTCCAGTAGCCAGTTCTACGTAAAAACGCCTCTTAAAAAAATATTAACAATTAAAATATGTTTTTTTACCGATTATAAAACAAGATATATGTATAACAAGAATTCGTACCAATTGCGTGAGTGTTTTTACACGAATTTGTATATGACTGAATTCCCAATTTAATTCATCTCTGAAACATTAACAGTGTTAATTAAAAAAATTAAACAATGCAATTAATTATAAAGTATGCATACGGTTGTTTCTTGAAAGAAGGATTTCTTATAGCAAGTAGCACATCCAGGAAGTCCTTTGGTGCATAGAGAGGTCTATATTGTGACAAATCTGAAAGTTGTATATTTAATTAAATTTTGTATATTTAGCGTTAACAATTTCCAAAATTTATTTATAATTATAGTAGGGAAATTCACCGATATCGAAGGTGCTTAATTCGTTCCACTTTTCGGTGAGTTCTTCTCGATCAATGCTCGGTCTTATACGAGCTAGGGGTACGTTTAATTCGTTGCACGTCGAATTCAGTGATTTTTGGATCCTGCGCTCCCATTGTATTTGAGCTTTTTTCAAATAACTCAAATCAACTTCCTCCGTAGATGATGTGGATGTAGTTAAAGAACCCTTGAAAAAAATTATGGTCAATAGACGAATACTTTATTGAAAAAAACTTTGCAATTTTAATGACAAATTTTTTATTCAAATTGTATACCTGTGATCTTGCCCAATGAAACACGGTATTTCTTATTTCTGTTTCTAAACCATTGTTTTTTAACGCGTCTAACAATGTACTTTTGAAATCTTTTCGTTTTACTACTGTAGAGGCTACAAGTTTCTAAAAAAAAGAAATAATTTGTTAATTGTGTTCTATATTTTTAAAATATCCTGTATTTCCAGTTTCCAATTCAATTAATTAACAATTAATATATATAATTCTAGTACAGTACTGAGCATGGTGGGCTTTTCCAGGAAAAATGGCAGTAATCCCCCCCTCCCCCGTCCCCGAGTTCATGACCTTTCCTGAAGATTTCCCGGATTCCCAGATTCCCAGTTCCCCTCGCAGGTTACCCCTTCCAAGGGGTCTTGCCCTTCCCCTTCGGTGGCCAGGGAGAGAATAATGATCTAGGGGAGGGGGTCCCACATATATCACTTGCATATGAAAATTTACGCGGGGGAATTTGAATTTATAATTATGTTATTACTCATATTTCTTAATTATATACTAGATTTTATAACATTGAATAATTAGAAATTATGTTATTTTGTTTCTAAATCACTTTTATTATTAATATCGTTAAAATTAAGATCTTGAAATTTCCTTCTACCCCTTTAACGTCATTTTCCCTAAAAAAGCCTACTTTGTTTATTATAACTTATTGCTGATTACATAATCTTGAAATGAATATTGTAAAATTATAAGGAACGTTATATAAAATTCACAAATTTAATAATACAGCCGTATCCATTAAACACTTTGCACTTGCCTGTATTTCAGTGTAAAGACTTTTATAGTTCGTCATATTCTGTATCTCCTCTGTTAACTTTTCTGCGGACTTTTTTAACTGTGATTCTTGAAATTCCTCTGTATTACCAGCCATTATTAGAGTTTTCTAAAAATTCTTAATTAATTTAAACTGTTTTATAACCAATTCCAAAGAACAGTCGCCATTTGTAAATAAATTCTTTCCGGCAATCACGAAGGTGTATGCCCTTCCGTTCCCGGGATAATTTTTTAAACTTAGAAATGACTAATGAAATAATAAGTCATTATAATCTTAAATTCGCAACATGTACATATTACATGTTTTGAATGATAAAAACTTACAAAAAACTTACAGAATAGATGTTTCTATTATATAAAGTTGATAAGCGTTGTAATACAATATTAATTTTTAAACGATGTATTTAAAAAATGTTATATCTTCTTTGATTTTGATCATTTATTCGATGTCTGAAAATCTTGTAAATAAATTTTCTTTACCGCATATCCTTTTGAACGTCAGAATGATTTTTCCCCCGAAATTTCAGGCCGGTGCGCTCGCACAAAAATGGCGGTGCGATAACCTGTGTTTTGAAACCTAATATTTAGCGTAATTGTAATCAAAAACATATTAACGATGGATATTTCAAGTATGCTTGAAGTGCAAGTAGACGAAGTAAAGGAGTTGGACGTAAAAGAGAATGGTATGGTTGAAGCATTTTCCCTGAGAATTAGATGCGAACAATCATGAGACATCATGTCTAACCTACTTTGTATTACAGTAACTCCCAGGGAGCTGCTTCCAAGTACGACAAATGTCTCAGCGCCGATTTCCCAGGAGGAATACAGCTTTTACAAACTTATGTTTGGCAATGGTGAGCTCCTCGCGTTTCATTAATCCTGTTTTATCATTCATTCTTTCTGCTTTCAACATTTTCTGATATGCTTTATGATGTATTTGTATATATCACTTTTCTTAACAATGCATAAAAAATTGTGCTACAAACTATGTTTACGAAAATATTTAACTTCATGGATATTTGTAAAAAAGTATTTATAATGTAATTAAATATGTTCTTTTTCAATCATATGTATTTAGATACTTCTGTCTAGTACGCATATTAAAAATAATATTTAAAAAACTAAATTGTTTCATTATCATTAAATAATTATGTAAAGTTTACCTAGGATATACTAAATTTGTTATGTATATTTCTCAGATATATCCGCAGTACGATTTAAAAGATTGCACTGCACAGCATGTGATGCACATATTGGATCTGCAGTAGCAGAATCCTACAATATGTGTGAACATCCTGTTTTACACACATTACTGTGTGCCAAATGCAGAGACTTTTATGGAGATGGTACCTTTGAGCAAGGTACTTATATTATTAAAATAAAGAAAGTGTATACATAATTTATGAAATTTTATCGTTATGTGACAGGTGATGATGCCACAGATATGTTCTGTAGATGGTGCGCAAACGGTGGCAATTTATACTGCTGTTCGTTCTGTAGTAATACTTTCTGTTATAAGTGCATTAGAAGGAACTTTGATCCAATTTTAAGAAAAAAGATTGAGGCAGATGAAAAGTGGAAATGTTTTGTTTGTGATCCTAGGGATTTGTATAATGCCAGAGCGACCTGCTGGGCTTTGCTTCAACATATTCAAACGATGAACAGGTAATCGATAACTTATCAAAAAATGATGATCTATTAAATTATATGGTTGAACATAAACACGTAACGTTTTAGGTTACTACAAAATAATTGTAATTTGACTGAGAAAGAGATAGAAGAAAAGATGAACTTAGATGAAACAAAGTGTTGTCCGCGTAGAAGAAAACGAAAACGCCGAAGAACCGCATCCAATTCGGAGGAAGAAGACAAAACTTACATACCGGAATTGATGGAAACAACTTCGATTACGAAACGCAGAAGAAGAGGTCGAGGTAGAGGAAGGTTTTTCAACGGGAACATATCCATAGCTGAGAGGCCACATAGTAAGGTATCGGAAGGAAAGTTTAAGCCTCATGCAATACTACCGTCCTTATTCTCCTGTGAACAGACGATAGTCGAAGGTAAAAATGCCATCATTAACACAAGCGGTGTCATCTCTCAACATCAAACCACCTCGTTTCTTCATAAAGTTAAGTCTACTGCCGTGCAACATCCAACAATGTATAACACAATTATGAATGTTGTGACAGCACCAAACTTTCTGCACCCTACATCTTCGGTTGTACCTATTTCGCATGTTTCTGGTTCGATAAATCCAATGAATCAAATGAATTTATATCAGGCGATGCCTTACACACCTGTCCCAATGGTTACCATACCTAATCAAAGCGTAAACATACTGAATAGATCACATTTTTCTTTACCAGAGGTACAAACGTCGCTTTTGAAACCAAGATCTAACGTTATAGAAATTGAAAGTGATTCAGATGATGTAGCAGTCGTAGGTTCATCGAAATCATCATCCTTTAAGAACAACATTGATAGTAATAAGGCGGTACCTGTTGCTCTTGTGAGTTTGAAAACAATTGACACAACAAAAACGCTAGAGACGTCAGCTAAATGCATTGAAAAAACCTTAAATCAAAAGTTGCTTCCGCATGGTCAGGAAGTTGATAATATTTTAACAAATCTAAGAATTGAACTTCAAGATCTGTTCAAGGCGTCAAAACGAGATGAACTTAAAAAGTATGAGTTAAACGAGGCTCGTGTCATGATTAAGCAATTTCACCGTAAAATACGTAATGCTGTTACGCAGTTAGCATATGTTAATGATAGAATAGTACGAGAATATAATAAGTGGAAAACGCAGCACTTAAAAACGAGTTTCGTTCATTCGACGAATAGTAATAATACCCCTAACGTAGACAAACACGAAGACATACCTTTAAACATGAGTTGTGTTAACGAGTCTGATTCGGATTCGGACACTGAAATACAATACGATAGCATGAATCCATCTGAGTTTATTGGTACCACAAATGCTGTGGAAGAAATGCAGTTTTTCAAGAATAAAACTACTGTAAACAAAGCTATCGGTAATGATTCGGTTTCACTGGTTGATAAATCAATACAAATATATGATGTTGAATTGCAAGATTATGATAAATGTATAAGTCATTCTAAATTGAATAAAATTGATCAGGAAACAGAAAAACAAAATTCTTCGTCACTATCAAGTAGAGAAGACAAGCAATTAAAAAGTTATGAAGAACATTTTATTCGTTTCTTACAAAAAAGTAATGCGAAGGTTCAAGGTGTGCAGGATTCAAAGAAATTACCTGATCCGAATGAAACTCCTTTAAAGGATCTAATAGAGGCCAATTCACCATTTATTTCGGAAATGCTAGAAACCATGGATACATCAGTTGTACCAAGTACTAGTAATTTAAACACTTCTGTTGCAAAGGACAGTAGCTCTAAATCCGCAGCTCAGCCAATGAATTCAATCACGTGCAAAGCGGTAGATGATCTTGTAAAAATGGTTAGTAACATGAATGATAATTTAGAAGAAGCAAAGACTATTAAAAAAGAATCTATACCCGTTGATGAACTTCAGAAACATTCTAGTGATGAAATTTGTGTAGAAAATGAAATGGAGAAGAACGAACAGAATACGAGTAGGAGTAATTGCGGTATAGTTGAGATTGAAAGCAGCAATGAAGACGACTGTACTATTATTGACGATTAATTAAACAATAGTTATTAACTAAGTTTCGTAGAACTTTCATCATTTGTTAACATTTGTATATCTTATTATTCACAATCAATCAAATATGCGAAAATCGGTTTAGAGTATTGTTTACAAAAAGAATCAACATCGGTAAGTGTTAGTTTTTAGTTTTAGATCATAATATAATTCCAGTTTGAAAATTCTTTGCTTGCATTTTTCTATGCGTACATAACGAACCTGAAGGAAAAGTTATAATACATGAATTCATAATGATAGTATTGCCTATTGATATCTCAAATTTACTGATGTAATTCTCCTATAATTGATCATCCTAAAAAAATCCTAACTGAATATTCAATATTTTCAAGTATCTACACATGTATAAAAATTGGAACGTATTTTATTAACTCATTAAATATTGCTTATTGAGAATAAGTAAAACATATACATGTTTCGATAGTGATGTGGATCATTATGCTAGTTAAAAATATTTGCCACGTATACAATGTATTGTATGACGCAAATTATGTACAAAGTTTTAGTAGTTCTTTTTAATATTTAAAATGTTAATTACTGTTTATTGTAAAAATTTTATACACGACATTTATTTATGATGACCTTCCGTTTCATTTATCACTTTTTATTTCATAAGATTATGGACATAGAAAAAAATAGAATTCTGTCATTTATATTTGTGCGTAAACATCAGTTAACGTTTGCATAAATATGTTTTATAAAAATACTTAATATTGTATTTACATTCATATAGGTAATAGATGTGAATAAATAAATATTGAAAACTAATGAAAAAAGAAAACCATAAAAAATATTGATGGTTATTGTTTTATACGTCCTAAGCTAATAGTTCATTCTTAGTTTATTAATATTATATTGAAACAAATGAACCTTTGTATGATAATTGTAAATTCATCTGATAATTGGACATAGAATTAAGTCTAGAAAATAAATTTACTACAAATAGTTTTGAGCCTACTTTATTTTTAAGCTACTGGACATTAAAACTTCAAATTTTCTTCAGTTTCATTTATTTCTTCTTTTCTTCGTATACACACACACTGATCCCAGAAATCAATATATTACTTCCTTTTATTTTTCAAGTAGCCTTATCCTACATAAAGAGACGAACATTTCTCAGTATTATTTAGGTAGGTACAACAGGTCATTAGAAATTTTTTTTTCTCATAAACACTATCTAAACACGTAACACTTACGTGATTGCAGTCAAGATGTACAAAGAATCAAAAACAAGAGTTACGAAATGATTTCGTAGCTTTTCGCGACGTTATAAATCGTACGTGTATTTGTAAAGAATATAAAGGTGGTGAGAATAAAAAAGTATTACAAATGTGTTACAATTATTATCGCTATAGTGACTGAGTAGTACATTGTTGCATCTTTTAATGATATTAGATACAAGTACTCGGAATATTATGAATTTGTATGTACATGAAAAAAAAACAATGATCTAATTTATTTTATTTTATATTAAAATGAAAAGATTAATATAGTTACATAACTGTCTACAATAATTAGTGCTTTGTTGATGAACTAGATGATTATACAAAAAAAAAAAAAATAAAACAAAGTACTGAACAAAAAAAAAAAGTTCATTTAATGATTTGAGTACTTCCATCTAATCAATTCTTTATTCTCTTTTCAGCACCGACAAATAGAGAAGCTCGTGTGTTCTAAAGAGTACACCTGAGCAAACAAATGTTTTAAAATGGTTTGTATGCAGGAAAATCAATGATAGTATAAAAGGGCAATTTTATGATGAAAGTTCAGTTAAAATGCAGAGAAATGCTAAAAGCTGCACAATAGAGACGTACTTTCATACGCGTGTCGCATAACAATGATGATTTTTCATTTTAATCGCAATAACAATGATAGTCTAATCACTAGCACCGTAACGTAACATTTATAGTGTCGTTAACACTTTTCCTTTTTCTTTCCTAACCCTTTAGTAGCGAAATTGACCTTTTCTGCCCATACCGTTGTGGTAGACCCTGAGCGGCGTGTAACTTCCATTTCCATTCATTGCTACGTTAAAAAAAAAAATAAGGACATGACATAATAACTTAATATTACTTAACAGTCTAATGTACAGAAATAGAAATAAAATTATATGAGTTGATTTCAGTATTAAATGATTTCAGTATACTCACTCAATTCATATTCCTTAATGGCAGCTTGCATAACAAAATTAATGCATGTTAATTTTTTCTATTAATATATTAACAAATTGCTTTACCTTGTACAACAGTAGGCGGTTGTCGAGGACCTTGTATATTGTGTGCATGACATCGTGGTTTCAATAGGCCATGATATAAGATGAAATACAGTGCAGCAACAACAGCAGCTGCAACTGCCATGCAACGATAAACGAATCTAAGCGAGTCAACGATATTACAGTTATCAATATTGATGTAAGCACCAATCACAGCTCCAATGCATCGACCTGTTTAGAAGCATTTAGTGTACTGATTCGCAAAAATATCATTTTAAAAAGGTAAACAATGATGCATACCGACGCAGAAATGTGCAATCACAGGTAGTGCTTGAGCAGTCACAGTTAAATGACGTGGAACGAGATGTCTAAGATAGAGAATGGCAGTAACCCACATAATTCCTAAAGTAAAAACTTCAAAGGCCTCTGAAATTAGAGACCACCAGGGTTCTGCAATCAGACTTAGACCAGTAAACCTAAAATTTCAATTTTCAAATTATGACCAGCAAAAACTTTTATATTGTATAACAATACATATAATATTAGGCAAAAAACTTACCTACCTAATAATGTATACAGTAAAGGCAGTGATAAGAAGATTACTATGACCACAATAGTCAACGAGATGCTCAGATTTCCAAAGGAATAGAAAAGCTGCTACTGCTCCTACAGTCATTGCTACTCCAATGGGCAATTCGTCACCTCCCAATTTTTGTAAATGTCTAAAAGGAATAATATAAATTAAACTTAATTTACAGTAATTAAAAAAAAGAAAAAAAAAAAACAAGTTGATAAAGCAGCTAAACAATCTTCTAAACGTATTATTTCATCGTGTTCTTTTCCACACTCACAATCAGTGACTCAAACCATCATGACATATAGTCGACCTTTACTTAGTAGTCTTCCATTATCATAAAGAAACAACATCAAGCCAACTGCTTTTCATATTAGAGAGATCATAAATTCTTACAAAGGTAGATAGCTGTCCATGGCGCTCCAAAATGTTCCCATGACAATCAGTACAATTACCAGCGCTGCAGTTTCGCTGCCGTACCTCTTGATAGCACTCATGGGAAGCGCCAGCATGCCGCTTCTGGTATGCCACCACCATTCTGGTGGACTGAGAGGCATGCCATTCGCGCAAAGTGCCACCAGAGCAGCCAGCAACATCATTACAGAGTGCATACAAATTGGCAAATAACAGAAGGAATTGAAATGTTGAATCAAGGTGCATAAATAACCGGTTAAGGAGCCAAAGATAGCAAAACCAAGTGAACCAAAGGCCAACTGACGACCCACGTCTCCACGACCACAGGATGTTTCTCTGGTGGCTATCACGACTGCAGCATCAATCAGAGCCACTGCTGTTGTTGGAAAAATGTCAGCAGTTGATCGAATGGCTAAATAAGTCCAGAATACTAATTCAGACCAGTCCTCTCTTTGTTGGCATTGGCTCTCTACAAGGACGCTGTCTGAAAGTGAAATTACTCATTTTTAATATATTCAGGAATTCAGAGGGTATTTAAAATAATAGTACCACCTGGAAGAGTATAAGGATCAACCAAGTCGCATTCTATGAAACAGCTCTGATCGACTTCAGCCATTCTGGCTTCTAATTCTGGGGGTATACGACATGCAAAGTACTCAGCCAAAGGATATGCACACCATTCTTGATCGCTCTCGTTGTTCAATGCTTGTTTTAGAGTGGCATTTAGAGCTAAACTATCTGAGTACTCGGTGTAAACGTGGCAGACAACGTTGTCACCTTCTTTGAAGCATAAATGAGGAGGCTCGCTGTCATGTGTTACAAATCTCTTTATCTTCTTCAATTCTTCTTGCTCCTGGGATAGAAAAATAAAAAATGACAAGCTTTCCTCTAAACTTTGATACTCTGAATAATATCTCTAATCTCTATATATGTATGTTGCCGGATATTCACCTGGGCGTACATTTCGGTTTCAAGAGGTATCACGGTCGTCTCGCCGCTACCATCAAGAACGCCCATAACAGAATCAGTGGTCCCATATACAGGAGAGCCGTCGTTTTCGTCAGAGTGCCACCGTTTCGAACCTACAGGATAACAAGCATAATTGCAACTCTCCAGGAGCAACGGACCAGCTCTGGTGTCGTCGGACCATTTGTGACAAGTTAACTGATCTTTGCATCTTTCTTGAAGTACTACAGCCCCTGTTTGGTCGCAATTAAACTTTAACGCTGGTCTCCTTTCCCTCGGTGGCTCGATCACATCCACGCTGGGTATAAACAGTAGAAAAAAGTAGAAGAGAGCAGATAGAAGGCAAGCAATGGCGATCATCACCCTGAGATAACGACCAGTTGACGATTTGTCGTTTCTTCCTTGATGACCAGCCAACTTGTCCGCGACTGGAGCGGCGATCAATGGTCCTAGTATCGCAATTGCTGGTGATATCATCGAGATCAGTCGTATTTGCTCGATGCTCAGTCCCTTTTCTGTCATATGCAGAGGAAGAAAGGGGAAGAGGCAACCCATTCCTGTTGAAACAATCATTATGTTAGAATATGCAAAATTTATCTTACCTATTTGGTAATTTATTTTAGATTAACACGTTGAACGCCATGGGGCTCACCGGTGACTGATACCGCAAATTACACATGCCCGAATAATTAAAAGAAAACAATAGAAAAACATTATTTTAAGTAATGTTATTATGGTACTACACATCATTATGTAAAATGGCAAATAGAAAGCTTAAAACTTGAAATTTGAAAATTAACTACTTCTATTTTTAATAATTACAGTTTCAATACGTCCCACAACAAATGGCCATTTTCACTGTGGCGTTTAACATGTTACTAGTGAAATCTGATGTGTAGAACATCTCTTGTAACAAAGGATTCTTAAGGATTCTTGCACAGAGTATTATTAATTTAAAGTGAAAGAAGTAATAATTCTATCTTTCAAGGCATATACAGTGGTACCTCGGTATATGACTTCTGTTCGGTATACAACATTAATTTTTGTCTGAATTTTGCGTCATTTTTAAATAACTATCTTAGAGGAAAAATTAAATTAATAATCAATTATATTCGGAGTTGATGTATCATTAACTGACTGATCATACAAGTAAGGATATCATATAACAAACTATAACTGTAAAACAGAAGGCAGTAAAATTTATTCCATTTGGTTTGTTAATTTAGATAATTTGGCTATCATTTATATTTTACAAATTAATTATGTTAAATAAACTAATGAATATTTTTTGTAAACTTCTAGGAAATCGTTTAAATGCTGTTCATGACATAAACAGTGTTTAAATTATTTTACAACCCCAATAATGTAAGTATAATATCAATAGGAGTTTTTTTTTTCATGAGAACGGATTAATCATTTTCACATTACTTCTTATGGGAAAGGTTGGTTTGGTATTGGTACGTCCTATTCGGTATAAGTCCAAACATCAGGAACGGATTAAGGTCGTATACCGAGGTACCACTGTATTATAAATCTTTATTACCTACACGTATAGCTGTATTTTTAACCGACTTCGAAAAGAAGGAGGTTACTCAATTCGATCAGTATGTGTTTTTTTTGTGTTCACCGATTACTCCGAGATGGATGGACCAATCGGAACGAAACCTTTTGCATCTTGTAGGGTATGTTTCTCGATTGGTCCCATTGAAAAAAATTTTTTCATTTATTCATTGTTATTGCAAAATACAGAAAGTTTTTAATGCCAAGATTGGACGATTTCAATGACCATTTAATATGTTGTCAGGGACATGATTCTGAACAACTTTTTCATTATGCATAATTAACGGAAAGCTTTAGTTTCCGAGATATTCGTGAAAAACTATTGTTACTACTACATTGAATTCTACATATGCCTGCGTATCTCTACTGTTTCTATATATGTATGTATACTCTGCAAGACACGTACATACACTGAGTTCCATCGAAGTTGTCGCAGTGAAGTTGGCGCACTAACACATTCACGCCGCGTCGGTGAGCCGATGAGCGAAGTGCCGACGACGCGGTGTGAATGTGTTAATGAATGTGTAGCTAACTTCACTGCGACAACTCGATGGGGCTCACAAGGGAACATCGGGGACTGATACACTCCGATTTTGATGAAACTTCGCATAAATATTTATTAGACCTGTTTATGAAGATAACGGTAATTCGTTGGTGCCCGTTTTTCACTTTGAGGGAGATATCAACCCTTTTATCCGAACCGCCCTTTCTATATACGTACTTATAAATTGTAAACAACAAAAGATATAAAAAAATAGTTGAAATAAAAGTTATACCGTTTCTTGAAGTCTATAAAGCTTCGTGTGAGTTTTTTTTTAAATCATCTTTTTTACAAAATTGAATTACCCCTCCCCCTCCGTTTTGAAAAATTTTACGCAGTTTCATAGACCTCAAGAAACGGTATAACTTTTATTTCAACTATTTTTTGATATCTTTTGTTGTTTACGATTTATAAGCACGTATATAGAAAGGGCGGTTCGGATAAAAGGGTTGATATCTCCCTCAAAGTGAAAAACGGGCACCAACGAATTACAGTCATCTTCATAAACAGGTCTAATAAATATTTATGCAAAGTTTCATCAAAATCGGAGTGTATCAGTCCCCGATGTTTCCTTGTCAGTGCGCCCGATTGCGATGAAACCTTTCACATCTAATAGGAGATATTTCCGCGATATCTCACTTGCAAAAATTTATGCAATTTGTTATTGTTAATAACTATTGTTATAACTCGTATGGAACTTGTTATCGTTAAAAACTATCGTTATTGCAATTAACCAATAAGAACGGTAAACCACCTTACGGCATCCTATAAATACTGCTCGTTCCACTAAAAAGTGTGAAATAAAATAATTTTTAACAAAAAATACAACCGACTTCGAAATGCACTAAAAAATATGAAATAATTTCTTCTTCATTTATACAAATACCCAACAGCTATTAATAAAACCTATTCACTCGTTAAATAGTATACTAAATACATTTCAACCTTTTCGGAGGCGGCGCAAAATTAAAAATGCCCGAATATACGATGCTGCCAATAATGATTTGATAGGTTGTTGACACCTGAACTAGAATCTTCCTAGTAGAAGAAAAGTTTTTAATTTTGCGCCGCCTCCGAAAAGGTTAAAATGTATTTAGTATACTATTTAACGAGTAAATAGGTTTTATTAATAGCTGTTAGGTATTTGTATAAATGAAGAAGAAATTATTTCATATTTTTTAGTGCATTTCTAAGTCGGTTGTATTTTTTGTTAAAAATTATTTTTGTATCAAGAATATAGCGCAATATGTACGGAATTATAAATTGCTATGACAGTTATGTTTGGATACACAATATGTGTGTCGATCGACCGCAAAGGGGTAAAAAAGTTTTTAATTGTTCTCTTATGATCTTACTCTGATCAATTCTAATTCTTGAAGCATTTTTTGACAAATTTCTAAAACTTACTTTAATCAATTCTAGTTCTTGACGCATCGTTTGATAAATCTATAAACGTACCACCAAAAAATATGAATAACAAAAGCTTCAGTGACAAGAGATTAGTATTGATAAATTTCTTCTTCGGAAGATCCTTCGTCGTGTCCATCCTCTCCGTAGACGCCGTTATCGTCATCTTGAGTATATGATAAAGTTTCTTTCAGTAGCAGGTACAAGTATTCCAAAAACATCGGATGACCCCTAGTTCGTCTATTATGCCGACGGTTCTCCTATTGACTCCATCTTTTTGCTCCTCTTTTACATATATCTACAAACACAAAGAAAATAATTCTTTTTAATGAAAATTGTTTTATCATTTCACATACAGTAAAACCTGGATAAATGCAACAGAGATTGGGACCCAGTGGTTGCATTTATCCAAGCGAGGTGTCGAATCTCGGGTTACACGCGACGACCAGCCAAGAGTGAACGTAGAAAGGGACAGACAGTGGCGGAAAGAGAGAGGTCCGATGATCAAAGGAAAGAGCCGAAACGTATCGGTGTGACTAATACTAATTCAACTATAACTTTTTTACTTTTGACTTTTTTTTACTGAAACTTTTACTAACGCATTGGTGAAATTTTTCTGATTAAAATGATACCAAACACGATATAGTTTGAATTATAATTACTTGCTAAAATTAAAAGTTGGCGAAAAGCAAGAGAGATCGAAATCAAAACCAGTCGCGGTGTCGGCTCGGTTTCAAAGGTTTCATTTATCCAGGCGAGGTGTCGATTCTGGGCATTTAAATGTTGCATTTATCCAAGCGTGGTGTCGATTCTGCGTCCGTACACATCATTTATATTCAGTCGTGGTGTCAATTCTATGTTGTTTATTCTATTACTATTGTTTATAAATATAATTCAAACTATATCGTGTTTGGTGTCATTTTAATCAGAAAAATCTCAGAAAGCGTTAGTAAAAGTTTCATTAAGAAAAAGTTAAAAATAAAAAAGTTTTATCGATCAATTAGTATTAGTCACGGTCGGATCATATTACACGGTTTCCTCGTCGAGCGGCTCGGTTCGCCTAGGGGGATCCCTCCAAGTGGAGGGGATAGCGATGTTGCACTTATCCAAGCATTCTTTCGTTGCATTTATCCAGGTTTTACTGTATACAGGGTGAGTCAGATAAAGTGTTAGAAAGTATTATCCCGGGAACCGTAGCAGCTAACGACCTAATTCTTTTTTTTTAATTAAATGGTATGAAATACCTGATTGTGTGGAGTATAACAAAATTTTTCTAAAGTGACTACCCTAAGGTCAGAATAAACTGACGTTGTCCTTGTTACTTTAAGAGGTTAGACCATTCTAGAATTTTGAAAAAATCGACATTTTTTTTTGCTTAAAAGATGCCTTAATGTCTTAAAAATGATATGGCAAAACATTATGGGTGGGAAAAATCTCTAAGTACTCGAATTTCGAATTCTGGCGCAGCCTCTCCCGGTCTACTGCGTCTATTACTGAAAACTTTAAACGCATTTTTCTTGAAACCGCATTTCTCAAATTGGGGGGACTCATAAATCAAACAGATCATCACCAATCGATTTGAAAATTTAACAGTATATTCAAAACTCAATTCTTTACCGAACTACGTAGGATTTTTTCATTATATTGCATAGTTCTTTTATTATAAATAATTTTCTGGCGATTTTTTCTTGAAATTTTACATTTTCTCTTAACAAATACTCCCTTTTTGCAAAAATCAATATATCAACAAAATCCTACATAGTTCGGTAGCTGTTCTCATATATAATCGAAAATATTTTGGTTTTTTATCCTAAGTTAAAAACTGCAGGAGCTGCTGGTCCGGCCGTTTAGTCCTACAACAAAAAGGCGTCATCCAAGATATGCTGCAGTGCCCATATTTTGACTTGAATCACTATACAAAAATTAATTTTTGAAGTTTATTTGTTGTAAAATAAAGGCATGCTTACAGAATTTGGATTTATTCCATCAGTTTCATTAAAAAAATTCCCAAAATATGCCTATTTTTTCATGTTCTAGAGTGGCCTAACCCATTAATATCCCTCATAGCTAACGATTTATGACGAAGGAAATATCTAAGGAGCGAACAGATGTGAAACAGATGTATCTTTGTGTTAAAATTAATTTTATTAAAACTTTGAAAATGACGACTTGTTAACAACATGTATTTCTTCTTTGCTTTTTATATTACGACACTTATACAGGATGTAATTTGCAACTTGCAAAATGATTTTTCTTTTTAAATTACAATAAGAAGAAATTATTCGATTGGACTGAAATTTACAATAACGGAAACAGTTAAAACAAATGGAGAAGTGCGGATGCACTTTCGCCTCACTGCAACTTGCAAAATAATTTTTTTTTTTTAAATTACAATTAGAAGAAATTATTATTCGATTCAGGGAAACTTGAACAACCAAACTTCGGATTTATAGTAATTGAGGGGCGAGAAATCGAATGAGACCATTTTCAGAACTGGAAAATAAACCGTTCTCGAGATATACAGGGTAATCTAAAAGTGTCGGACACCCTATTATCTCGATAAGAACGCATTTCCACGCAAAATGACTAACCTAACCAAATCTAACCAAACCTAACCAAACCTAACCTAACCTACCTAATTTTTCACAAACGCATTCATTATTCATGAATAACGAATAATTGCACATTGTTGTTAATTTAAGACGATGTAACATTTGTCGCACGCTTCCCTCGATACCCACGCTGTGCCAATGCGTTTGTTCACGACCACGACCGAGCGTGGCTGAACGCCAACGCTTTCGTGATTCAGCCCGCGCTAAAAGCGCGCTCTGATTGGCCAGTGTTTTTCGTTAATAACTCAAAAACGAAGCTTCAAACGACATTTTGGTAAAGGAAAATATTGTTCAAAATCACCCCAGCAACCCCTATTTCCGGGAGTTACAGGAGTTACGGGATACCCTGTAATATTGTGTATCGGACAACATTATTGTAAGCATTTTGCATTTGATTTTATGTTGTAAGGGTATATGAAGTATAAAATAATGGAAACTCCACTTACCACAAAAGAAGATATGAAAACTTGAATACAAAATGCTTGTCAGTTGGTAAATGCAACAGCACTATCTGATGTACGTAATAACATTATGAAACGAATAAATACGTGTTTACATTGTATATGGTCGTCATCTTCAATATTTAAATGAATTTTAAGGCAAAATACGTCTCTTTTAATTCTCTTTCGAGGCCTCCGCCTATTCGTTCCTTCAACATTCCCTTAGCCATAATTCGTTATCTATTACAAATATCAAAAGATGATTCAAGTAAATGTTATTCAGTTTGATAAAAGCTATTTAAATACAAACAAAAAGGAAAGAAAGAAATTAGTATAGTATCTCATTTAAAACAGACGACTTAGGTTTATTCTGACATTCATTGAAAGCCGCTTTAGAAAAATTGTGTATACACCACACAATCAGGTATTTCGTAGCATTTAATTTAAAAAAAAGAATTAGCTCGATATTTGCTACAGTTTCAGATAATAGTTTGTAACACTTTATCTGAATCACCCTATATATCTGTTTTTTGTATTTCAATCTATCACGAGTAGATAGTACCGGATTTTCATTAAAATCCTACAAGAACTCGTGATCGTAGTGATATTCAGATTCCAAGGGAAAAAGTCATTTTCTTTGCCGGTATTCTTACACTGCTATAACACACGCCATTACGAGATTGGACAAGAGACGAGGATGAATATGAATATCTATCGCGTGCTACCTTACAGGAATAATGGTTCGAAGAGAGCGAGCAAACGGTGGCTTCTTGTTCAACACAGGAAGCACCGGTTGCTGCTTACATCTTTCGATCATCGAAAATCGCTGATAAAAAGCACGTCCATCTTCCAGCAATTTTAGTTTGATTTCTCGGTGTATATTTACATTCTTTCAATAAGAACCTCAGGGTGTACTTCCGAAAGTGACAACCCTCCGATTTTTCTGAAATTTTTGCCAAAGCTTATCCTTGATTAGAGAAGAAAGTCCCTAAAAGGATTTATGGCGACAAAGCCTCGTTTGCCCCCCAGCCCCCATCAAAGTTTTGACAGTTCTTACTAAATATCTCCGAAAATATTGATTTTAGAGAAAAAAGTTTCAAACAAAAAATGAAGCTCATAAAAAGCTCTACAAAAAAGGTTCAATGCATTTTTCACATAAACCTATTATTTTGGCTGTTATGTAAACAAATAGTAATTTCTACACTATCGTTGATGTCATTCCCTACCTTACCGACACAGCGCATAATGTATAATTGTCTATCTGTTCCGAACACATACACAATCCGCACTTTCCGGCAACGCTTTCATGAAATAATAATAAATTAATTATAAAAATATGTGTAAATGAAAGCATTACTGGTCGCCTTACGGTGGCCGAATTTAAATATATAGCCTAACCTAACTTAAATACATCAAATTATATGTACATGTACATCTGAGGAAAAAGTACTATTATTGTTCATAACAGCCAAAACAATAGGTTTACGTAAAAAATGTGTATAACCTTTTTTGTAGAGTTTTTTACGAACTTCAGTTTTTGTTTGAAACTTTTTTCTTTAAAATCAATATTTTCGGAGATATTTAGTAAGAACTGTCAAAACTTTGAGGGGGGCTGGGGGGCAAACGGGGCTTTGTCGCCAAAAATCTTCTTCTCTAATCAAGGATAAGCTTTGGCAAGAATTTCAGAAAAATCGGAGGGTTGTCGCTTTCAGAACTTTATCCGAACCTCATTTAAATGCGATTGAACATTCATGTAAATTTACCAGAAGCTTTCGAATGATTTTCTTTTCGATTACTTGTTGGTGGGAAAATTTCTACGTGAAAATTTCGTTAATCCCGAGGAGAGACGCGGAGAGACTTTAAAAAGAGCCGTGGAAACGCGAAACCGGCCGACGCAATTAGGAAAACAATACGAGAAGCTTACCCCTGAAACAATAATGATCGTCCGTTCTGTAAATGTTCAGAATTTCACCAGGGGAGCCGATTTAAAAGCTCGAAATATCTTTGTCGAAGAACGTCTGAAGATATTTCATTCATGGCCGAGTAAAAGCTTCAAGTCCTATATACAAAATTTAAAGAGAAATACCAATACTTCAATGCTTTACTATTGTAAACTATATGGTAAGGTTTAAATCCACTTTTTGACGCAAGACATTAGCTGGAATTTATCAAAGAAATAATTATTTAGGAATTCGTATCAAAGTCTCAGGAGTTATGTACGTTAATAGCAGTATCATCACAACGTG